CTTAGACTACCATCCTCTCAGTCTCATATTTTACCAGATAAACATTAAATATTCTGGAATGCGAATCTTCTTTTCTTTTATTCTTCGACTTGCCTATAACTGACCGCCTACCATCTTCAGCATACTCTTTTTTTCTGCCCGCACATACACCCCTCAGTCTGAGATCGTCTCCGACCAACTTTAATTGATTCCTGTATTGCCAAAATACCTTTGGTCAATTACTTCCCGTCTCAATTCTAGATCTGCTTTAGCGGATCGGAGATTTAGTCCTTTCTTTTGATCTGGGGAAACGAAGGGGGCCCGTTCCCACATTTTCGGCGGGGCTCCTGTGCTACTCGCACTTTTGACTAACCTCTGTCGCATCGAGTCTCTTCACCACAAGATGAATTGGCAACCTCAGCAAGAGCCATTGAGGCAGTTGGCTCGCTACCTTCGCGACTCGCTCAATGGATCTAATCTTCCAGCTCGAGCAGAGGCCGAACAGGTAATGCCTCTTCCTTTTTTTTTTTTGCCCTATTGAGCTTCCTCTCAACTGCGGTCGCCGCAATGCACCCCATGGAAACTAACCTTGGATTTTTGCTTGTTGATAGATGCTCGCGCAAGCGACTGCGTCCCCTGATTATGTCAATTACATCACCTACATCTTTTCCAACCCGCAAGGTGCTCCCCTGGCAGCCATTAACGAGAATGAATACCCTACTGTTCGATTTGCCGCCGCCGTAAACGTCAAGACGAAGATTGCCGTTGCTTACAGAACGATCTCCCCTGAAAGCTTGGCCTTCATCAAGTCCGCTTCTCTGGTTACACTACGCGACAACGACCGCAATGTCTCAAGGGCTGCCGGTAACATCATCACCGCCATGGTGCTCCACGGAGGCCTCTTAGCCTGGCCTGAGATTGTCAATGAGCTATTGACTACTGTCGCTGACTCCAACGGGGATGTCCCCATGTCGGCCAGGGAAGCTGCAATGGACACATTGTACAAGGTCTGCGAGGATAACCGCAGGGTTCTGGATCGTGACTACCATGGCCAACGCCCCCTGGATATCATCATCCCCAGCTTGCTGCAATTCATTACGATCGTAAACCCGCGCATTCGGATTGCTGCTCTCAACGCCATCCACGTTTTCTTGCCGTTCAAGCCCCAGGCGTTGGTGGCCTCGCTCGACCAATTTCTTTCGCAGTTATTCAGAATTGCCGGCGATGAGAACACCCGAGTCCGGCAAATGGTGTGCCAGTCGTTCTCCCAGCTTGTGGAGACTGCGCCGCAAAAGTTGGCCCCGCATATGGACGGATTGGTCAACTATATCATCATGCAGCAGCAATCCCAGGACGACCCAGAGCTTGCGCTTGATGCCGCCGAGTTTTGGATCGGTGCTGGAGAGCAAGAGTTGTTGCAGGCCGAATTGGCTCCATACATGCCCAAGATCATCCCGGTTCTTCTGCAAAACATGATCTACGATGAGGATGAAGTGGCTCGACTAATGGAGGAGCAAGATGATGCCGATGCCGAGGACCGCGCCGAGGACCTGAAGCCACAGTTTGCCAAATCGAAGGCTGATCGTCTAAACATGTCCAAGTCAGGTGAACCGGAATCCTCCCATGGCCTCGAACAACAGATTGAGGAGGTTGATGATGATTTGAGCGAAGGTGAAATTGAGGACTCAGAATTCGGAGATGACCCCTCGGGTAACTGGACTTTGCGCAAGTGCTCTGCTGCTGCGCTCGATGTTTTCTCCACCGTTTACCACCGTCCTGTCTTTGAAATCCTTCTGCCGTATCTGATGGAAACTCTGCGCCATGAGCAATGGCCAAACCGAGAGGCCGCTGTTCTTACACTAGGTGCCGTGGCGGATGGCTGTATGGATGCCATCACTCCCCATCTCCCAGAATTGGTCCCTTACCTGATCTCACTCCTCAATGATGCCCAGCCTGTTGTTCGACAAATTACTTGCTGGTGCTTGGCCCGGTATTCCGGTTGGGCAGCCCACCTCCGCGACCCAGCTCAGAAAGCCCAATTCTTTGAGCCCATGATGGAGGGTATCCTCCATCGCATGCTGGATAACAACAAGAAGGTTCAAGAAGCTGCCGCGTCAGCGTTCGCTAGCCTGGAGGAGAAGTCAGAGGATAATCTGGCTCCCTACTGTGAGCCCATCTTGCGTCAGTTTGTTGCATGCTTCAATAAGTATAAGGATAGAAACATGTACATCCTTTATGATTGCGTGCAGACGCTCGCCGAGTGTGTTATGAGCGAACTGGCTAGGCCGCATCTAATTGAGATCTTGATGCCTGCCCTCATTGGCCGCTATAACTATATTTCTGATGATTCCCGAGAGCTCTTCCCGTTGCTTGAATGTCTCGGGTACATCTCTGCAGCCTATGGTGATTCCTTTGCCCAGTTCGCGCCGCCTCTCTTCGGTCGCTGCATCAAGATCATTTACGGAAACTTGCAAGCTTCCATGCAACCGACACATGCCGCTTTTGACGAGCCCGACAAGGACTTCCTTGTTACTAGCATTGATCTTCTTAGCGCAATTATTCAGGCTATTGACCCACAAAAGAGTGGCGAGCTCGTGGGTTCTTCACAGCCATCGTTCTTCGAGCTCCTTCGCTACTGCATGGAGGATGAAAATTACGAAGTCCGTCAATCCACATATGCCTTGCTGGGAGACTGCGCCATCAGCATATTCCCTCACTTGCAGCCCTTCCTTCCCACCCTTGTCCCGGTTTTGATTAAGCAACTTGACTTGGACTTGATTCGCGATGACGACCGTCATACCGGCTTCAGTGTTTTGAACAACGCCTGTTGGTCGTGCGGTGAGATCGCCGTCCACGAGAATGCCGCCCTTGCGCCCTATGCAGAGCAACTATACCAAGGGCTCTTTACGATCATCACTAACGAGGAAATTATCGATTCGGTGAACGAAAATGCCGCCATGGCGTTGGGACGATTGGGATTCTGCTGTGCAGACCAGATTGCGCCCCATTTGAGCGAGTGCTCCGGTCCTTTCCTGAAGTCAATGGACAAGATTGAGTTCACGCGTGAAAAGGCTTCCGCCTTCCTCGGGTTCAACCAGATCGTGATGAAGAATCCCCAGGCCATGGAGTCGAGCCTGCTCGACTACTTCCAGGCGATTGCCTCATTCCCCGCTCGCTCGCTGGCACAGGAAGAGTACCGGGATATCCAGGCATCCTTCCAGCAGGTAAGATCATTTTCCCCTTTGCTAGTGACATCCTATTAATCATGTATAAATTATAAATAAAGGTCCTCCAGGGATATAAAGCCTTGATCCCTGACTTCAGCAACTTCCTTGGCCAGCTACCCCCAGCCGTGGCCCAGACACTACGCACCGTGTACCAGGTTTAAGTAGAGTTGGGTGATCTCTGCTTGGATCTTTGTTACTGGGACGTCAGATGACGTCTACACCTGTCTCAAATCGGGCCAGGATTGGGTTGGAGGGGATGGAGGGGATCAGTACATAGGGGGTCAGCTGGAATTTTCACGTTAATAGAAAGAGGAGGAAAGAAAAGGAGGGAAGCAAAATCATGGGAAGGAGCATCTGCGATTTAGCTGTTTTATCATGATTGCAACACGGGCATGACCCTTTATGATTTCTATTTCGTTTACTTTGCACCTTTCTTCTTATTTTGCATTGTGCATAGTCTTCTAGGGCTTAAAGGTTTTCTTTTTTCAGCGCTGGTTTTCGGGGGTTTTTGCGTGGCATATTCATATCCCCTTTAGATAGATACCTAGATAGATAGATCTTCATTAAGGAAGATCTCAAACATTATTTCCTAAGTCTGGAGTGTATTTTCTTGTCTGTCTTTCAACTGGCGAGTACCCTATAACATGTCTTTTTGGACTAACTCCCTTTTCAATCGTTTCGGAAGCATGGTTGATATTTAGGTTAGTTCGAAGACACATAATTAATATTGTTCTTTTCCTACTGGGTCAAAGATCTTCTATCAAAGTTATTAATAGAAAGTATCATCGGGTTTACCGTTGTGCTTGGACGTTTATACCATTTCCTAACATCTTGGCCAAATCCATTGGTCTATAGAACCAATCCCAAACCTTTTACTTTGACAATCCTATCTACTTCTAGGAAGCTGAATGAGTAGACTACGTAGTACAACATGGCACACCTCTTTCATCTCCTCACATCGTGCCTGACACAAACCTATCCAAGCACCCCGGTCTTCAAAAGCACATACCTTGAGATCGACTCGCTAGACCATTGACCAACAACCAATGAACAAAAAGCAAAAGATTAAGATCAGCAGGGCCCTAGCAATCTCCGAACTGCAGACTTATTTTTGGATCGACGATGCAGACACTATAGTCACCTGTTAATAATCATGCATACATATCACATCAAGTACTGAATCACATCCCCAATCCCTTAATCCCCCAAGAATCACATAGTAAACATCAGGCTAAAAAGGTTCAAAAAAAGAAGTAATTCCCGACTTTCGCCTAATAATTATCTCGGTATCCCCCCAACCGGTATCCCTCCAAGCCCCCACCGATTGGCCGCTCAGACCAAAAACCGCCCGAAATACCAAGACGCGAGCCTTTCCTTTAACTACTAATTTTCACGAACCCGGACGCCATCCATTCCCACACCCCCACTCGATATCCTGTGATTAAAATGCCATGTGTTGCAGTCTAGCGTACCGGGCGACTGGTTATCGCCCCGACACATCGGGTATATTTTGATCTATGCCTTTTGTGGCTTGCAGAGGGTTATTAAGGACTTTGGACGGAGTATGATTTACAGATTGGCTGTTTCGGTGGGGATTCCCGAGTTCCGCACTCTATCCTAAACGGGCGATATCTCACGAATTCGGCGTGGGTCTTGATCTATTAGGGTTTATTTTCAGCCTCAGCTGTATTCTGTATAGATTTTTTTGATTTTTATTTTACTAGGATTCTGTATTGTACAGGGGATAGACTTTCCTGAGACTTTGTGAAACTTTCGATGTTTTATGAAACAGGCTTAGAAGCATTCCATGAAACTCAGCTTTCCGTCTTCGTTTCTGATGCAATCCGCCAGGTTTACTGTGCTTTCTTGCGTACCGCCGTCGCCGGCGTCGACTTGGGCGTAGAGCATGGGATCGTTGCTGGGGCCTTCTAGTTGGAAGGAGACGTCTTGTGATTTCTTTGAGAAGTCGTGGTCGCCCCAGGCTAGTTGTCCTATATGGATATTAGTTTCTGATGTACAACATATGAATAGAAAGGTCTAGCTTTAGTGCTAGAGTATACTAGTTGGAAAATGCAGAGAACAGCGCATCCTTACCATTCCTCACACCGAGGAGTTCATCCAGATCTAACTCTGAATATCTAGTTTGACCGGAAGGTCGCTCGCAATAAGCAGTGAGGAGGTGCTTATCTTTGAGCTTGATGCCTGCGGATGATTTGTGGAAACCCATCTTGGCGATTGTAGTGCAATATTAGACGCAGATCAGCCTCGTGAGGCAGAACCAATGATAAATATATATATGGATGTGATATATGCAATATGTTTGTTGTCTGGTGCACCGATATCCTAGAAAAGTCAGGTGCAGTGCGGTATTATAAAAGAACACAAGTAGACAATTGAAGTGAGGTTTTTGAAATGTACGGTGTTGCCTCTAATGACATCGGTATGGTGTAGATTTCTGTGGCTAATTTGAACTGCGGAAGCGGTGGCTCTGGTATCATAGTTTTCTCATTATGATATCCGAGTATACATCTACACGAAGAATAGAATATTCCCCAGACTCAAGATAATTTCACGTATCAAATGTCGGGCATTAGTTTCGGGCAAATAAGTATAACAGACGTGGCTTAGACAGAGTTAACGCTAGGGAGTCTATTTAGGAAGGATGATATAGCTCAAGTCTGGGCAATTTATAATTTTCCTAAGAGAATAGACTTTTTTTTTTCAATCGAGATGGCTTAGAAAGTTAAGATGAGCAATGTCAAGTATATATATATATATATCCATAGATCCTGGTCTAATCTGGTCTATGATCTACAAACATCTAGTCTCCACAAAAATGGTCTAGGATAACCCAAGTCTTGGCAAAATAGAGTTGATTAGCGTGCCATTCCAGTTGTGTCTTGACTTGTTTATAAGGGACTATATTACGTGAATATACTATGTTTCAAGATCTACCTAGTAGTAAACTTAATACTCCCGAAAAGGGTCTAAAACTATTCCCAAATGTAGAAAGACTAGACTTAAAAATAAAAATAAAGTTAGTACTTTTGGCCCCCAACTACCGTGTTTGGCCTGATGTTGCGAAGCGAGAAATCATAGCTGATTGGATTGAAGAAAAAGCCCGAACATTTCCGTCCCGCATTCCCCCCCCTTTTAGATGTCAAACATGTCAAACATAGATGATGTAATGCCACGTGTGAGAATATGCAGTGTCGTACAAAGATCAAGCACACCGACTTTAGACTGGTCTTGTCTGAAAACGTGGTTTCAGTATCACAATTTAGATGGACTTCGCCTTTAATTACCCACATTCCTGGGATTCAGCTGGACCCTGCATACCTATTCCAAGTACTTTGTACGGAGTACGGAGTACTCTATACCCTAACTTAGGTTTACTAGAAACTAATCTCACTCAAATCCCTGTACACCTCGAAACTAGACCAGCAGGGGTTCATTTCCCGTTTTGGGCTTACTGACATATTCAGGCTCCCCAGACATGGTTTCCCTACGTTCCAGCCCAGTGGTAACTTTACCGGAGAAAGGGATAGGGTAATTCCGCGGACAACGCATAGGTCACGGTAGGGTGTTAGGATAAGGGATGCGCAAAAGGAAAAATAATTGTCAAATTCAGATGTGGATGCGGTGATCCCGAGAGATTGGTCTTACACCCCCCTGGTTGCGAACTAAACGTTCACACGTTGCCTCTCTCCCCAGGTTCCAAGGGGGGCGTAAGACTGTTCTTTTTTTTTTTTTACTTTACTTTTTTTTTTGGACCCTCCTTAAGATAGTATGTTATATGCAGTTCCTAGATTTCGGTTGCGATTACCAAGTTCAGCGTTTAATGTCCCATCTGACTCACAGGCGGGTAGAAACGGCCGACTTCCGCCTGTCAGGCTAAGCTTGGATTATTAGCGAGAGAACAGCCAGTCGCAGTGCGTCAAAGATGCGCGTCTAGGATAGCAGTTCTTTCCGAACAGGGCTAACGGTCCATGATGGTGACCCACTAAAACCAGGGTCCTTTAGATCCAAAGACGATCGATTATCTATTGTATCATTTTTGAAGTCTGGGGTCTGGTCACCCCTGCATAGTTCTTGGCTGGAAATACTCTACGGGGGATGAGATCCGAAAGAGTAAAAAAAAGCAAAGAGAATACACATCATCACTAGTTTGCCTTGTGTTGCCTTGTGGTAAGCATAGAGTACTCTGTACTTTTAGAAAGGAGTACTTTGAACTGGATTGAATTAGGGCTAGATTGAAAGCAGATTAAAAGCGGATTAAAAGTCAGTCTAGTTCAATTTAAAAGATGATAGATTATAATCCAATAATATTTCACATATTTCATATATTTCATATTTTTATTTATATTTTTTTATAAAAAAGATGGGCTCACATGCCTAACCTCTAAAGGGCATATAAGCTTCCCTATGTGGTCCCCGAGGCCTGAAATGACCGAGTGCTATATTAGACCATTTCTATTTGCTTTTTTTTTTCTTTTTTTTCTTCTTTCTTTTAATTATATTATCGCTTTTTCTCTTGGCTTACTGCCCCCCTGTACCCAGAGGCTCAAAATCTCGATCGTCACTGGAAAATTAAAAAAGCATTGAATAATACAGAAAATGGAGAAATTTAAAGATATCTTGCGCCTGACTCTAGAACTTGTAGTACCCCCCCCCCTCTCTTCCCCCCTTTCATCTCTTTCTCTCTCTCTTCACAGATCTCTAGGGCTCGTATTCTCCACGTGCTTAATTCAACACTTCTATCTCAACGGCCCCCAAAGTTATTTTTGGGAACGTCCTTTTTCTTCTATAACTACAGGGCATACTTGCCCTTCTCTATCTTCTTCACAACATTCACCTGTGGAGTCCAAGACTCCAATCCCCAAATTCCCCTCAACATGGTCGGTCCAGGCGGCGGTCCCCCACGTAAGAGCCACACCAAATCCCGAACTGGTTGCAAAACATGCAAGAGAAGACATATTCGATGTGATGAGACCTTCCCACAATGGTATGTTATCTAACTATTAGTATACCTTCTTTTACTAATTTTGATATAGCCGCAATTGTACAAAGCACAACTGCCGTTGTGATTACCAAGATGCGGCTGCCACTCCACGTGGTAGTCCCCCCGCACGCCGTGGTCCTGACCTCCTCATTTCGCCAGACATCGAAATGGAAGTAGATAGTTGGCATCGCACTGGCGTGCCTCCATATCCGGAGCTCTTGCAGTGTCCACGATCAGGGTGGTCTGGCTTATCTCGGACTGATTTGCGCTTGATTCACCATATCATTGGGCTTTCTATCGACTTGCACCGTCGAGGACTGAGTGGCTGCACTGTATGGGCCCAGAAAATGCCCAAGTGAGTACTCTCTAGACACTTGTGGGGTTGAACTTTAACTGACGGACATTCTATAGTTTCCTGGCTATTGCACTGGGCATCGACTTTGTTATGAGCTCTATCTTGAGCTTTTCAGCCTTCCATCTTGCTTTTGTTACGCGGGATCAGGAGACCAGACAACTGGCTTTCCATCATAAAGTCACGGCTCTCCAGGGACTACAGACCGCTCTGGGGTCCTTCTCGAAGGATAACTGCAATGCTATTCTAGCAGCTTCTGTGCTTTTATCATGGCAAGCGTCAGAACAGTGAGTGCTATAGATCAGGCTCCTTGATGATTCCCCGGCTAACACCAGAACAGTCAAAGTTGGGTGTCTTTACAACACGGTATCTCTAGTGTTCTGGAATCTATGCATCCATATTGGAAGCAAGAGTCAGATCTGGCACAGTTTATAGAAAATCAACGAGCACTGAGCACGGCAGATCTTTCGATGGCCGGTGTCTACCAACCCCTCGACGAAGATATGGTACATCTAGACCAAACCATCCAGGCTCTACGAATGACACAGAAGCGCATTTCCCACAATCTTGAGCACTCTCAACGCCTAGGAGAACTCATCGAATTCACTCAGCAATTCCGCGATGACTTCCCCAACCAAACAACCGAACAATCATTCGAAAGCATCCAAACCCTCCGCCGCTGGCTCTTCTGGCTCCCATCATCCATGCTCCGTAGCAGCGAATCCGACATCAGCGCCCTCCCAATCCTAGCCCAATTCTTCGCTGTCGGCATCTCTCTCGACCGCTTCTTCCCAGAACTAGGCGGTGCATACCTAGGCGCCTTGTCTATTAGTCCTATTGAAGAGATATACCGCATAATAGCCGCCCATAATGCTGCAGATCCTTACAACACCGACCTCCGTCTACCCATGGAGCTCATGGATCTGCCACGCAGAACTGTCGCCCGATATCGCAGCCGCCTTTCCCTCCCCTGGTCCCCTCGCTCATCAGTCGACCACTACTCCCCTGGCCCACCAAGTCCTTTCCACCCCGCAATTCAGGAGTACCCCCTCGTCGCCTGTTCCTCGCCTGCTTCCGCCTCCCCTTCTTACACTTCGACTTCTTACGCTTCGCCTACTTACGCCACTTATACCCCACCTCTGCATTCCCCTCCTGCTGTCAATATTGACAATTCTGCCTTCCCCATTCAAGACGGCTATGTCCCCGCCACACCCTCGCATCCTCTATACCCACCCTCTCCACAGCTCCTTGATACCCACGACGTGCACCTCGGTCTCTCAGATATGGGCCATACCCACGCCAGTTCGCATCACACGCCCATTCCTCATACGGCATCATATACCCCGCCATATGGTGGTGAGGTCCTCTGTGATCTGCCTCGCACAGAAGGCACACTCGGTCTCAATATGGAAGTCTATCCGCAAACACATCCGTTTGAAGTTTCTGGCTTGGCTGCTCCCGCTTCACTTTGGACTTGAATGTGAAGCTATTACCAGAAATGAAACAAAAACATGGGAAATTTCGGACTGAACAGGGTTGGTCCGGTTCTGGCTATTGGGTACCAGGAGAGAAATTGGAAGACATGGTCTTTTTTGAAAATATGGAGGCTACGGAGTTTGTTCTACTGGGAATTGGACCTGGAGAACATGTTATACGCGAGTGTTTCGGTTCCACTCGACTTTCTTTCGTTTATATATTCGGTTTTGTTGAGCATGAGCGTTGGTGCCGATTCAATGCTCGGTTTGGTTTTATATTTGTCGCTGGACTCAAACTGATATTTTGATATTGATATATATACCCTGATTTATCGAATATTCTGTTATCCAACTTTGTCTGTATGTTCGCTCAGTAGTATATTCGTTATCCACTATAACTTCAACACTACAATCTCAGCATTATGATCTCAGCACTATTTCAGAACTATAGCAATCTCGGCAGACCCCCAAACACCCGTGGATAATAAACAAAATCCATTCACCTCGGTCCATATCTAAAGATAGCAACCCCCTCCCATAAACGGATATTCTCGTACCTTACGATCGACAGGTACATATCCAAAAAGCAGCCCCCGGTAACATCACAACTAAGAATAGAAAATGCACGGGACACATATTAAAGGAATTTAACCTACAGATCCACCCCTCCGATTGGCAATTCCAACCCCGCCAACCACCTTCTCCATCCCTCGTATTCGGCCGCTCGCTTGGCTTCCCACGATCTATCCAAATGGGGCAGCAAACCCCCGAGCTAGCACCGATTCGGTTCCGCCGGGAGGAAGAGATATCCCATCTCGTATATCAAGTCTAATCCACAAGCGTTTCAAGATTGGGGCTGCGAGATTCAAACATAGTAATCCGTATTTCTTCACGAATATGACATATGCAGCTCGCAGCCCTATCGTCTATTTTTGGTTTTGTTTTCGAACCCGTTTCTTCAACGGGTTACTGGAATGAATTTGACTTCGTATTTTGCGGTTGGATCTTCGGGGATTAGTGATCGTCACCCCTCGTGTTTTTCTATATTTATCTTCGCTTTTCGGTTTTCCACAATTGAACCCGTTGGCTTTGGCTTCGTCGCACTAGTCGTGATGGACGGTTGTCGGAGGGCGTACGGAGTATGGTCTCCATATTCCCATTCCATACGCCCTTGAGTTCGCGTCTTCGATGGCACTCTTGTTCTTGGTCCTTGCGCGCATGGGGAATGCCGTTAGTCTGTGTGTAGTGGAATCCGCATTGGGAGATTTTGATGCATCTAGTGATGGATGGGCTTGAACTATTTTTGGGTTGAGTATCGGGGATATCCGTTTGTTGACTTCGTTTTCATTTGGCTCGTGGGGTCCCCCGAGGAGTAGACTAATTCTGCTTTTTATTTCTCTTCTCTACGATGGTCGGTGAATTCGCTTGGTTTGTTATGTTCTTCCTTCAATTTGACCTCAGGAGGAAGAAGAGTAAGTAATCACTCCGATTGATAGCCATGAATGCTGTATATTACTCTTTCTGGCCTTCTAGAGTGCATCTGTGCTGTAAGTGGGATCCTAAGACTCATAGACTCCATTCATTCACCTAAATTCAACATAACCACAGTTTGATATTGCTTCTTGCTTCTTGCGTGCTGTGCTGCTAGAAAATTCTCCGTTCATACTTGAAAATGTGCACGTGACTTGAGGCTACCACTTCACGTGACAATGACATAACCGCATTCCCGTTTGGGGAAGAAAGCAACCACAATATCGACAACACAACAACTCCCATTCAATTGCCCTCAACATCCATCACAGACAGTCAAAATGGCTGATGCAGGTGGCTGGAGCACCATCGAGTCAGACGAGGTACGATAACCCACATAGTCTATCTAAACAGCATACTAACCCAAACCAGGGTCTCTTCACCTCTCTCATCGAGACACTCGGAGTAAAAGACACCCAATTTGAAGAACTCATCTCCCTAGATGCAGACACAATACGGTCCCTAGGGTAAGACTCCAACCTCTACCACATTTCTATCCAAACCACTGACCAAAACTAACAATCCCAGACCCGTCTACGGCGTAATCTTCCTCTTCAAATGGACCCGCGAAACAACCAGCGGTCCAACCAACACCTCCACCCCCCTCGACGGAACCTACGACCAAACATCCCCAGAAAACCTCTTCTTCGCCGCGCAAACCATCCAAAACGCCTGCGGCACCCAAGCAATCCTCTCAGTAATCCTAAACCACGACAACCCCCCGGCCCCAACACCGCCCATCCCCCTCGGTGACGAGCTGCGCTCCTTCAAAGACTTCACAACCGGCTTCCCGCCCGAGCTGCGCGGCGAAGCGCTCTCAAACTCCGAAGCCATCCGAACGGCGCACAACAGCTTTGCGCGGGCGAGTCCGTTTGCGGATGAGACGGCAAGACCACAGGATGAGGAGAAGGGGGACGTTTACCATTTCATTGCGTATACGCCTGTGAATGGGACGTTGTATGAGCTTGATGGATTGCAGCCGTATCCTATTAGTCATGGGGAGTGTGGGATGGGACAGTTTCCCGAGAAGGTTATTGAGGTTTTGCAGAGACGCATTGCGAGGTATCCGCCTGAGGAAACGCATTTCAATCTCATGGCTGTTGTGAGGGATCCTAGGGAGAGGGCTAGGGAGATTGGGGACGTTGAGACGCTTGAGAGGGAGGAGAGGAAGAGGGCTGCGTGGCAGTGGGAGAATACGCTTCGGAGACATAATTTTGTTGGGTTTATTGGGGAGGTTATGAAGGGGGTTGTTGCTGGGAAGGAGAAGGTTGGGGGGTACGAGGAGTGGGTTGAGGGTGCGAAGAGGGAGACGAGGAAGAAGCTTGAGATGCGGAGGTAGATGGGGATCTTTCTTTCTATTTCTGATTTTTCTACATTGGCATTTCAGATACCCTTGAGATATGAAAAAAAAAGATATGGTATTCGATGATGATGTTGAAACCCCAACGCTATAGTATAGAAGATACATGTAGGTGTGATAAATCACCGATTTGACGCAGTATGTATGTACTGGCGTCCACATTGTAGATCATGATAATGTGTATGAACAAGTCTCCGTGGAGACTATCGTTAGTGCTCCTCCTAGTATGCCACAAGTCGTGACTTGACATGCTCCACTAGAGGCGCAGGTAGTTCCTCTGGTTTGATCAGATTCAGTGACAGCACATCACCCCAGAAGAACATGACTCGGTCCTGTGCGTAGGCCAGGTAGTCGAAGTCCCCTTCATCTTCTTCCTCAACATCTGCATGCGCAGGCGGCGTCACGGTCTCGCCATTTTGAGTAGCGAGCATCTTCGCAATACCTTCTTCCATACCAGGCACCTTGGCCTGGACGATACCCCAAGCCACCCACTGCGCCGAGCTCATCGCCCGCCACATCCGGGTCTGTTGCATGAGGTATTTCACCTCTGCGTCAAGTTCCGCCTCTTTAGACTGCTCGGTTTGCGAAAGCCGAGAGCTGGGTCGATCTGACACATCGTCCAAGTCCAATGGCGCAATTACAGCAGAAGTGCGGGCACGAATGGTCGGCGAGGCCAGAGGTGAAATAGCTCCGCTGGTGTTGAAAGGTCGGTGGGTAAGGTAGGTTGACACGAAGTGATATTGCTGTTCCGGTGTCGGGTAGGTGCGATTGTTGCAAGCCCATGGGCGCTCTTCATCGTGGTAGTTGTAGCACCACTCGCTCTGTTACAGTTAGCATCCGTTCCGATTGGCATGAGATTAGTGGACTTACAAAGTGGTTGGCAAACTCGAAGCCACGTGTATTGGCAGAAGAGTACTCAAAGTCGATGACGATCAGCTGTTTGTGTTCATTTGCAGGTAAAAGCAGTGGCGACTCCGTGGCCGGCTCCATGCGAAGCAGATTGCCATATTGAGTCTACACAACACGTCAATACCATAACCAAGGAAGGTGGAAGGGATGGAAACTTACATCGTTGTGCGCAAATACAAGCTGTCGCTTAATCTCAGCACTTCCACCAGAGCTGGCAACCAGCCACTGTTGGTACCTTTCGACAGCTTTGCGGAACACGTTCCATTTTACGCCGCAGACATAGCCGCGACGACGCCATGGTTCCAGTGCGGCTTTGGTCTCGTTTTGAGGGGATTCGATTTCCTTGTCCAGCCAGGTCATCACTTGCTCGCAACGATCCACCCACTTCTCCCAGTTCTTGAAAATCATGGGTCCGCCTTCGCGTTCTTCTTCAAGAAGTTCAACGCCATCATGTAATTCTCTCATCCGCTTGGCAACCTGCTTTGCTGTATCGGGCATCCGCAGCTCCTTGGGAGTGAGTGGGCGAGCCTCGAAGTACTCTTCGAAACGGCCATTTTGGAAGGTTCCCAGAATACGTGGGCCAATATTCTTCTTGCCGAGGCGACGAAGAATTTGCAGCTCATTCTCCCGGTCGATTAGATGATCGACTTGAGGACCGTAGATACGCAAAAGAAGCTTCCTGTAAATTTAATTAGCGGTGTCTCCATGGTAAAGACGGCAGGTTGTTGCTTACGGCGGGGGCTTCCTTGAAACCAGACTGTTGCTATCGGTCTTTGGAGGAGGCAAATTCTTGGGTGGTCCAACGACATACACGGCGTTTGTGAGAGCGCCGCTGAGTCGGACCACTTCGATCTCTGCCGCTAAATCCGCTGGAACCCTGCGCCAGCCCTTAAGCTGGAGAGTGTGTACAAGGCGCACGATCTCGGTCTTGAAAATCACCCAAGCCTCTGCATCCTTTGCTTGTTTCACACTCGCACTGGAATCGGCAATCTCTTCTACTGCAGCGCCGCCAGTGTAGGCAAGTGTCTTTGTATTGTCAAGGACAGCCTCCACGCTTGGCGGGGCCCCCTCGACATCGGTGAGTTCAGACTCGGATGCCGAGCCTCTTCGTAGGCCTCTGAGGCGGTGTCGAGATTGCTTTTTAACAGGTTGTCTGTGGGGCAAACCTGCACTGTTGGGCCGGGTAGTCGCATATTGGAGGAGGATCTTTTCCAGTTTATCAAGGGAAAAGGTGTTCTCCGAGGAATTCGAGCTGCGTCTTTCTAAAGAGTCATCTTCTGTAGCTGACTCGTTTTGGTTTGTTGCATGGGAGGTTGCTTCGGTTTTCCGTGCTTTACGATTCTGTCGTCTGACTTTCTCATGGTGAAGCCATTCGTATACTTGGTGGAATAGACCCTGCTGGGGATCTTCCTCGTGTCTGGAATGCTCTTGGTCTCCATGCTTGCAGCACGAGTGATCGTCCAGAGAAGGCATAGTGAATGGTTGTGCAATGGGCTTTGGGGACTGGTCCCGATACTATTTCAGATGTGTTTCGGCGGAGAGCCGAGAACAGTTCCACTTGCAAGGTCTTAGTCAAAGAGCTGATATCCAAGTCCGTTGCCGTAGATGAATCTGTTGGGAATTAGTACGGTTAGGATTAAGAAATGATTTGAAGGGGCGACAGTCGCCTCATGGGAATTACAAGGGGACAACGTGTATATGAACATAGCGATACAGTTGATTCCCTAACTACACGAGAGTGGCATAAGGAAAGGAGAGCCTACCTCTGAAAGTGGTAATGTCACGGGTAAGCCAAGACAAGGAGGCTCAAGGTGAGCACGCGACCAGTTGCAGAAGCAATTTTTAGTCGCAAAGAGCCCAGAAGGAATGATTTCTCAAGATAAAAAGGGGAAACCAAGGTGGGGGGAAATAATTGGACCCCTTAAAATCCAGGAAATCACCACGGGACAAGCGAACGGAAACGTCTTGGAAATTAGTGGAATACTACCCACTGACGAAATCTGGGGAGATCCAGTGCTAATAACCAGACAGAGAACCCAGTACTGAAAAGAAATGTCTTTTGAATATATCTGAGCTCTGGTGGGGGTATATGTTCAAAAAAAAAAGTGGCGAAAAAAAAGGAGCTTATCAGCTCAGGTGACTCCAAGGCTGTTTCGGGTTCCTGGCTAAGTAATCGGGCCAACGTCGTTCCTGGTTCCTTTATCGCAACACTTCCACCTAAATAGGGTAGTCTTTGAAAAAGGTTCATAGAACATCGGAATATCCGGGAATCGCTCGCACCACTCAGTAGTGGTGCGGAGTATTCAGTGGCGTTTATGGGGATTCGGGGTAGCTTCTCATTATCGGAACCGGTTGTAGAGGAAACATCGTGTTAAGAAACTGCCTGGGCGATATGGGTCAATGACATAGGTACATGGCGCTCATGGCTTTCAATTTGTCGCATGTGGGAGATGAGCTGGCGCCAAAGTTTTTCTTTGGTCTCGGCTCCGGTCTAGTTCTGGGAACGTCCATGGAGGATGTCGAAGTTTGAAGTGAGTAGCATGGGAATACTGGAGCTCTGGCATTTTCAAATCTGGCATTTTCAATGTCTCAAAGATCTGTTGGAAAGATCAATGTGGACAGAAGTTGGGAGGTTCAGAAGGGAGGTGTGAGAGGGGAAGCTTAGTAAATTACCGTATCAGGTGGTCTACGGTATTGCTTAGGTGTGTCACATATCTTTACATTTGCAGTAAGAAACAAATTACTTAGATCCAGATCGCTGTGATAGATTCACCTAATTCATATTAAGTGAGTGAAGCTAAGACCGAAGTTCGAATCCGAATCTCGCTAGGGAGTACGGAGTACTCAAAAGCATACATGAGCCCTCGACGTGAAAGAGTATACAGCAATACTTCTGCATTATCTTCAAGGCATTTTCTGAACGTTCTCTGTAGACAGGACATCACTCATTATCCTTTATTCTCTTGCCGATCCTGGATGTCAATTGGACATAAACATTGCCATCAGTCAAGCACAAGATTTAACCCCCAGATAGTCCATAGAACAGCGAGCATTTCGTAGTCCTTCATTTCTGAAGATCACGGGGATTTCAGTACATGATAGGCGCGTGGTGATCGTCTAGGAAAAGTATTTTGGCGTTCCAACCATGGGCTTTGTGAAGAAACATGTAAATCGGGAATGCTGCCTGTAGACGCCATTCAGCCACAGATTTGGTGTTGCACCGAGAGATGGTATATTTTGAATTCAAGCACAGAAATTTACTCCGTATGGAAATAGCTGTGTGTCCCAGAGGGAGTAGAGAAAAATAAAAGACGGTGATGAACAGGTCACAAAGCCATTCCTTGAAGACATAACAACGCTAGTCCCAAAGCGGCAAGAGATAACCAACCCCTTCCTCTTGTTCATATCAACTGTATCTTGAAAAATGATTCACCGAGCTGGAGAAATATATGAGTGCTTATTTGCTGGACGGTAGTATTACGAAGTAACTCGACAATTGCAAACCAAGCGCAGTCTTGATAGTAGTACGGAGTACTTGCAACCCCAACTGCGCATCTATCACAATTAAGCGAGGATCTAGTCAAAACTAAAATCTAATCATGAAGTCTACAGGTATTTCTCTAAAGCTTCTCTTCTTCCATCGCCATTATTTGATGATATCAACAATGGCCTGGACTCTCGTTGCCACGATAATCCCACTTCTTCTTTTCTATCTTTGGAAAAAGGTCACATATTACCGAACGAAACAATATGCTTTGTTTCCTCAGCTTCCACCATCGCTAATATGGGGTCATTTGGCCACGCTCGGGAAAATATCGAAGACAAATCGACCAAATATACACATTGGTCAGACGAGGCACATTCAGGCTTGAAATATAAAACTAACCATTGGTAGACGAACACTTGAGAACCATATACAATCGTCTTGGCAAGCCCGCACTATTTGTGGTCGATTTACGACCAATCAGCCCTCCTATGTGTGTTATCTGCGATCATGATGTTGCAGAGCAAGTATCCCAAACCTCGAAGCTGTTTCAGTACAGCCTTCCCAAATCAGACATATCCCACTGGTACACCGACATTATAGGCTCACTCTCGATTGTTCTTGCACGGGTAGGTTCGAAGAGATCATGATACATATCTATTAAATTAACTGGAGCCTAGGACGAAGAGTGGAAAAGCCTTCGCAAACAGTTCAATCCGGGCTTCGCCCATAAGCATCTCATCACTCTGATGCCATGTATCTTGGAAAAGACACAGATTTTCTTAACGAAGCTTGATAATTATGCTAGCACTGGCGAAGATTTCCGGCTGGATGAGCTATGTACAAATTTGACATTTGACATTATCGGTGCGGTTACCATGGATATTGATCTGGATGCTCAACTCGGGGAAGAGAACCAAAGTGCAATCGTTCGACTCTTCCGAAAGCTAGGCGCAACATACCGTGATACCAACAGCATGTGGAAATTCTTACTTCCTCTCCAGAGAAAGTTAATTTCTCGTCAACTTGGTGCGCGCATCAAAGAGCGTATCCAGGAAAAGTTTGACGAGCAGTCAACCTCACAAAGGCCGTCTCGCAGTGTCCTTGCTCTCAGTCTAGCCGACACGCATGAATTAACGCCAGAAGTTCTAGACCGAACTTGCGATCAACTCAAGTCTTTCCTATTTGCCGGTCATGACACAACAAGCATCTTGCTACAATGGACATTCTACGAATTATCCCGGACCCCGCACATCTTGCGTCGTGTTTGCATGGAACTGGATGAGATCTTTGGTCCTAACTCGCACCCAAACCACGTCCGAGATCAAATCTTAGAGCGTGGAGAGAATGTCCTGCAAAGAATGACTTTTACCTCCGCCATTATCAAGGAAATCCTTCGTCTGTACCCACCAGCTGGAACATCGCGACTTTCTGCCCCAGACACTGGGTTTAATGTTCGACTACCGAATGGTCAAGACATCTGCCTGGATGGACTGATGCTCTACAACTGCGAGAGTATTATACACCGTGACCAAACCGTGTATGGTGAGAAAAGCGATCAATTCATCCCCGAACGCTGGTTGGAAACCGGCTCCACCATACCGGCGAGCGCCTGGCGTGCTTTCGAGCGCGGACCTCGCAACTGTATTGGACAAGAGCTGGCGAATATCGAAGCACTTGTGATTCTTGCGTGTGCAACACGGCGATTTAATTGGGAGAAGGTGGGACTTGGAGCAACCAAGCGGGATGAGTCAGGTGCTCCAATTGAGAAGGAAAACGGACAATACGAAGTCCAGGCAGAACTGTATAATGTAAGTACTCAAAAGTCTACCTGGCGGACTGAAGGTTATATTCGTTTACTAACACAGTTCAGACACTGGAGATTACTGCCAAGCCAGTTGATGGGATGAGGATGCGAGTGAAAATAGCAGGAGCATAGAATCCGATAGGTCAGAGTTTAAATAGATCACAAAGCAGAACGGCCAAAAATAAGTTCTCATACAGCGTGCGCTTTAGCACCCAAGAGAACTAATGGAGTCATTATGAGACATTTGATGCTGCCAAGCGCTTCTGTGCAGATGCCAGGCCAACTGGGCTAGAGTACTCCGTATTCGAGGAACAAAGAGACAAAAAGGCAAATCGAAAAGTGAATGCATTGGGCTGAAAAGGTAATTCAATAGCTAGGCTGTCACGCGACTGTCTATCCCAACTTGCATGACCATTATTGTTGAGGCGTCTTTTCCCGAAGGCATGTAAATAACTACGGAGAACTCCGTATGTGCAGTATGGATTCGACAAGTTCGATATAAAGTACGGAGTATGCAGAGCAACTAATGATATGAAAAGCTATAGATAGATATTGTCTCATCCACAAAGTAAGGGGGAATTATAGAAGAACAAGACCAGCATCCCTTAGTCAAATAAATATAACCAAGAAACAATATTCTACTTCGTATACAGACAGGCTTAGCTGAGCATAGAAATATACGCCACTCTGTACTCCAAACAATAGAAGACTTCTAAACTGCACGTCTGACCCCGGATTAAGATCGGCTATGCCGATTCCTCCTACGCCAAGCAAAGTAAATTTCAGTCTGAACCCATGTGGAGAGACCAAGTGAAACACACTCACTCAGATCTCCCAGACCGGAGTTTTAGAGCCCGAAGCTATAATTAGGGGGTGTCTTTTTGTCAGCGGCACTATATCGCAGACAACATTCCCGAGGTCTCTCATTGTACATATAAAAAGCCCGATTCTCGCCAACTTATCATTAAATATATTTCATCTACAATCTCTCTCTATCATTGAATCACCAAGTTCGAAATGAAGTTCACCACAGCAATCATCGCTTCCCTCGTGGGAACCAGCACCGCCTTATTCGATAAGAACCTGCGTATGCAATTCTATACTCATTCACAATACCCGAACTAATAGTAATATAGCATGGGGCAAACGCGACTACTCCTGCGTAAACGTCTACCAAGGCATCCCCGACAACTCAACTGTCTCGGCTGGCCAAACCGTGCGCGTCCGTTTCGACCGCAAGCCCACCGGACGCTGCCAGGATCCGTTGAGCCAGTACCCCGGTGACGACTACAGCGTGTGGCTGTACAATAACCCTGTCCGCAAGATGGATACCATCTCCTTCGATCAGTCTATCAAGATTACCGATGGGATTAAGGAGAAGGCGGGTCTTGTTGATGTTACTATTCCTAAGGATTTGCCTGAAGTTAAGGATGGTTCGGTTTGGTATTTGAGGGTTGCGACTACGCTTTCAACGGCGCCGCAGGTATGATTCTTTCTTTTTTCGGTTTTGCTTTTGGGTGGGATTATGTTCGGGCTGTGTTTATATTGGATTTTATGATTTCAGGGGCTAATTGATGTTATGCAGATGCCATCCTTGTTTAACGCTGCTGGGCCATTTACGGTTGTTCGTGCATAGATGATTTGGGCTGGTTTAGAACAAGGTTGATTGAAGAGTGGGTATGGTCTTATTTATGCATATAATTATAGCCATGTCACTACCTATCTTTGTTAAACATGACAGAAAATAAACTGGAGCATATGTGTATTGAGTTGGGATCCAGGCACTTGGCCGATTAGAATACCCAAGTCTTGTTGTTAATACTATAAATAACTCGGTTCTCAGGCACCAGCCTTGGGATAACCATGCAAAATTCCATCTAATCACGGTAAGAGACACTGAAGACCTTGTAGCCACTGGTAGGTTTAGTCTGGCTACCTTCGGCATTCAAGTGTCCCTTCTTGTCAATATCAATGTACCGCCCTTTCCCCACATACTGCATGGTGTGGCCAAGGCCATTCGCTAAGAAGGTGAATTGCACTTGAGCTGCATCTGCACTCTGACTTTTGGGAAGCAAAGAACCGCCAGGACCAATCCATCGGCCATCCAATGCGCTGGAGATTGTAAATGTATGACTTTCCTCGTTATCATTGTAGTGAATTACCCAACGCTGGGATTTATCGTTATGCCGAGGGCTTGCAGGGCTGGACACAAGGCTGTTGCCTCTGGACGGATTCGTGATGGCTGCTCCATTTTTCTCAAAGACAAGGTATCGGCCTTCGGTGAGGTAGCCGATCACCTCTTTGAACCCCTCTTCAAACCAGAGTGTATTGACATCCGTTGCATTGCTTTGTTCTCCATATGGAACATCTGGTCGTGTCTGCTTGTGACGTGACTGGCAGTTAGATGTACCGGTAAAATCGCCCTTTCCGTTAGTATCAGGAGTCCCGGCATCCGGGAGAACGGGAAGAGAGTAGTCTGGGTGGTCAAAATCAAGTGCGTTGACCAGATTAGACATGTGCTTGCGTCGCCATGAAACCATCTGATCGGTTGTAATGTTTTTGTGTCCCCGCGCAGTCAACCATTCCTCAACGAACAGAATCTGAGAGGTATGATCTGCCCGCTCAGTGAACACACGGTTTCCTCGAGTCCAGGGAGAGATCATATAGAATGGTACTCGGAAGCCAGGTCCTACAAAGATATCCGAGAACAGACCCAGGGGATCCTGCATCCATTCTCCCGGGGTATCCTTAGGAGAATGGAAGGGGGTGACATGGTCACCAAATCCACCAGTCTCATCGTAGCTAATCATCAGAAGCGTCGAGTTATATTTCGGGCTACTCGTGACCGCGTCGACGATCTTCTTCTGGAGCCAGGCTCCATCCTTTGGCATGTATGGTGGGTGCTCAGACAGCTCGGTCGGGCCCACAATGAAACTGACCTCGGGCAATGTGCCGTCGGCGGCAGCTTGATAGAAGGAATTGAGGCCAACAAATGACATGCCCTTTTTGGCCAGAGGACTATTTTTTGAAGCTTTTTGAAATTGCTCAAACCATGCGAGAGGGTTATCGTCGAAGTTGTTTGTATCTTGGAAGAGTTGCCAAGAGACTCCTGCGTCTTCGTAAAATTCATAGACGGTCTTCCATTTGAGTGGGTAGCAGTTGATACCATGGTCATCACAGCCTGGATTATGCTGGTCAGATTATCAAATAGCCAAAAATGAATGCTTAAGGGAATAAGAAGAACAGAATATGAAGCTGAGACATACCTGGTACCTCATTGTTGTCAATATATACACCTCCCTGGTCCTTGCTCTGGGGACTACCAGGAACGTTAATGGAGCCGCTGACCAAAGTGACCCGATTAGGACTTGTGGCGGTAATTTGACCTTCCTGTTTGCGAATCAGTTTTCAATTTTCTCAGAATCGAATCTAGCCACATACCTGGTACATATCTCCCGATGTCCAACCTTCAGCAATAGCAAATTGAACGGGGATATCTTGCCGTTTCAGGTAACCCCAGCTCCAGGGGGTGTTTTTAGTCACCCAGTGGTTGTTTAGCCCGTTGTTTAGAGATTGCTGGTTCTCCTGGTAGCCGTTGCTACCAGCGACCATGCATTGAATGGCATCATGCCAGTCGCCACCTTGATATCCGAAATACCAGGGCAACAAGGTCTTCGTCTTGCTGGACTGGGCCGGCTCGACTAATCTGACAAGGAATATTAGAACAATCTTTTCCCTTCCCTTAGATCTCTGTTACCCGGCACTTACTGATGCCAAACCGAGTTTCCGTCGGAGTTAACCTGGACATTGGGATCATTGAAGCCCCGTACTCCAGGCATAGTGCCAAAATACTGCAATTTTATAAGCACGGTGGAAATCTTTCATAGCGCATGCAAAGCATACCGTGTCCCACGAGCGATTCTCCTGCATGAAGATGACAACATGCTCAATGTCGCGTAAAGATCCACCAGAGACGACAGCAGTTTCCACAATTATCGCTATTGCGATACACACCAGCAACTTGAAAGTCATAATTTCGGTAGTTGCAATAGAGGGATGAGGGGAAAGACTTCGACAGGAGAGTCCACCACTTATGTATTCTCAGCGAGACATGTAGAGAGCCGAGAAAATAAAGAGCAGGGTATCTAGGTAGTATCAGGTACATGTACCCCGCGAGCTCTCAGACTTTGTTACATCTGCAGGTGTACCCTCATGACAGCTCCAACCTGTCAAAGGAAAGAACGAGCCAGAATGTGGATTGGAACGCCTTAAGATTGGAGCGCCTGAACACAGCACAGGGATAGGCTGACATTCTTAGGAATACGTGACGATCAACAATGGAATTATGCAAGTCCATAGTAATCGAGGCATAGTGACAAGAGGAGGCCCAATCTGATATACAGATGTCTCCACGTGAAGTTCTGTTCCACGGTTGAGTCGACGCTAAATAGGAACAGACTTTCGGCAGGAACGACCTTGTAAACTTTAGGATTAGTCCAGTGCCACACCGCACTCTTATTCGTCTTATACATGTCTTATGTTTTTATTCACTGGATAACTAATATGGGATGTCCATTCAAATGACACAAATTATATTATCTTCGCGCTGGTTGCCTAAGAGGGGCACGTGTGATGTCTTTCTGCAAGGTCGCGTTGGTAGCAAGGGTGGCAGGAGGTCATAGCGTAGAATGCTCTTTCCTCCGACACTCCGATACCTAGGTATTGTTTATATATAAGATAATTTATGAGGCAGTACAGGCCCGGATAACTGTTTCCAGTCTAGAACAAGTGAGCCCTCCACCTATGCCGGAATTATCACAACGGCCATGGCCGATTGTGAGCTGCTCATTGGCTGTTTGCTTGTTGGTCGGTTTGGTATACTTTGTCCAGTCAACGTCAATATCTCTCGTGCCATTGATATTGCCTGGGCGGCATAATCACAGTATTCAACAATATGAGGACATCACTGCTCGACCGCGGATAGAGCTTCATCCAGAGCATCATGCGTACCGAGCGCCAGCGACCCAATATTTGGACTGGCATGTGACCTCGGACTTTCGCAGACCGGATGGTGTATTGAAGCGGGTATATCTCATTAACGGTCAGTAGAAGGATCCACTGGTATCACGGTTGTCGATCTGACCGGAGGATATTGAACTAGGCTTGTTCCCTGGACCGACGGTAGAGGCCCGCTCTGGTGATACCTTGATTATTACTGTTACCAATGATTTACCGGATGAATCAATTGCTCTCCATTGGCACGGCCTTCATGTGGCTAGTAAGCAACCGGCTTTGTCGGAGCTTGATTAAGGCATTAAGGCTAATTTCATATAGATGCCATGGATGGCGCAGTGGGGATTTCACAATGTCCTGTTCTTTCTGGGGGACGTTTCGTTTATAATTTGACAATTCCAGCAGATCAGAGTGGTACTTTCTGGTACCATGCCCATTCGGGGGTCTCGCGGGCTGATGGCCTTTATGGTGGGCTGGTCGTCCATGCACCAGCTTCCAAACCGAACACTCGGGGGTTAACATCCCGGAGGGGCGATACACTCCACCGTTACACCTATGATAGAGAACTTTTGCTTCTCATCGGGGACTGGTACCATCGCCCTGCGAGTGATGTTCTAGAATGGTATATGGACCCAGGAAACTTCGGAAACGAGGTGAGTGCCGAAGTGTGGTCTCGAACTTTGGACAATGCTATCTAACACTGGTATTAGCCTGTTCCTGATTCCATGCTCATTAATGGAGTAGGATATTTTGACTGTATGATGGCTGTACCTGCTAGACCGGTGGACTGCATTGATCAGCAGGCGAATTCTTCATTTATTGGCTTCGAGTCTGACATGACATATCGAATTCGCGTGGTCAACAACGGGTATGTAACAGTACTACCAGAGCCAAAGTTATTAATTAACCAGCTAATAGAGCTTTGGCCGGGGTGAGTCTCGCTTTTGACAACCATAACCTGGACTTGCTCCAGGTGGATAGTGTTGATGTGGCACGTTCTAAAGAGACAAATATAAATTCCATCGGTATACTCTTTCCCGGGCAACGCATGGATTTTGTTCTTCGACCATTATTACAGACACCTGAAGAGCAGTCGCACATGAGGGTTCAGTTGGATCAAGAGTACGACCAGACTCACCAAGCACCACACCAGCTATTCGATGGTTGCTAATGTCTCACTAGTTCCTTTAAGTATGCTAACCCGGCATTGACTCCCGAGCAAACATTCCCCATCAACTACCATTCCTATGCTGTGCAGGAACCTCCACTCAAGGTCCACCATCTCAACATCAAAAATACACCTTCTGCTCCTTCTATCCTCCGTTCCATTCCTCCCACGGCGCAACAGACACATGTGGTCTATACCAAAATCCAAAAAATGGCACGATATTCCAACAAGCCATTCGGTTACTTCAACCAAACTACGTGGAAGCCCCAGCAAGATCCACCCTATCCATTGGCCTCGATACCACGAGCTAAGTGGGACGCAAACCAATTCGCAATAAGCACGGGGTCAGAGCCTGCTTGGGTAGACCTAGTAATCAACAATCTAGATGAAGGATCCCACCCTTTCCACATGGTAAGAAAGCCCCCTCCTCTGTCTAATGCCGACAATCCACTAATTAATATCCACTCCAGCACGGGCATCACTTTTACATACTCGCAGTTCACCAAGCTGAATTTGGCTGGGGCTCCTACAATCCTTTTGTCGACAAAATCCCACCACATCTAGAACTTGACTTGGATGGGCTGAAAAATGACACAGATGATGCCCAGACTCCCAACACTGGCTATAATTCCGATCTGTACGACATATCGCAGGCTACTCTGCGTGACACGGTCCAGATCCCAAGTCGCGGCTATGCTGTTCTCCGTTTCCGGGCGGATAACCCTGGCGTTTGGCTTTTTCATTGCCATATGCTTTGGCATTCGGCGACGGGTACTGCCATGTTGATTGATGTTCAGGGTGATCGAACGGGATTGGCTGCGCACACTGGCGGCGGAGAATTATGTTCTCGTTTTTGAAATGGATTGACTATCTTTTGCCTTGTGGTTAGCCAACTTGTTGGCACATACACTACAAACGCTATCTTTTATGGTGAGATGGAGGGACAAGCCCCTCCTGAAGAAATGTGAATATGCATGTTCCTAATGTCTTTATTCCAATCTCGTGGAATTCCTCCAAATTAACCCGAAGTGAATATTATCCGAGGTGAGCGACGATCCTCAGGGGCAACGGGAAGGAGATTTATCCACATTCTATTATTAAAAACGAGCTGACCAGCCGGATAATTCCAACAAAACAGTTAATATCGGAGCCGATCAAATGAGATTAAGGGCCCATAGAGCCTCAAATCGCGGCTTTTGGCCCCAGCGCCCCTTTGGAAGTGCTCGGGGTGACAAATAAAGATTTCAAGGCCTTCCTACATATGTAGCAGTTTCATACAACATACGGAGTACTCCGTACTCCTTCAGATGATTGATCATGGCCCCAATCATCCACGTCTAGGACAAAGCCCTTCAGCAAATTCATTCTCCCGAGATCGACCGTCAACAAAAAATTAATTCCAAATTATGAGCTAGTCCAAATTAGGCAAATGTTCTAATGAGCTGACGGTGGAGCTGAAGGTTGTTGGTCAGCCCTTCGTTTTCGCTCAATACCCCATAAGGAGAATTTCTCCTTTTCTCTCTTTTATATCCGGGGAATTACTTTGTTTTACAATTGGCTGTAGTGTACAAGATGCAGCTAGTTCCCTGGGTTCGGGTGTGGCTGCAGTCAGTGCAACTATACATTGTGACGACGGTTGAGGCTATTCGCTCAGGGACATGGAGGGAACAACAATATCAGCTCCTTCAAGGGGCTCGACAAAAATCCCAGTATTATTATTCCCGAAATATGAAGAGAACTTATACTATTCCCGGGGCGGTAACAGCTTTGTTACTTCTTTGGTATATTTTCTCACATCCACTGCTTTACTCGACGCCCTATGACGAACGTGCTTGTCAGCATCCAGTCGCTCGTCTTGTTTATGATGCCAATCAGGCTTTTAATGAAACATTGGGCCGCCAGTCCAAGTCATTGGACGAAGCAGTGGCAGAATATCGACGACGATATAAGATGCCACCACCTCCCCACTTTGATGAATGGTATGCGTTTGCAATGTCGCGAAACACAGTCTTGATCGATGAATTCGATACCATATATCATACGTTGCTGCCTTTCTGGGGACTTGCACCCAGTACGATTCGTTCGCGTGTGAGAGAGGACCTTGGCTATGATAATCGCGTTATGGGAATTGCCATTCGCGACGGCAAAGCTATTCATTTGGGCAACGGCCAGGGAAACTGGCAGAAAAATGCAACAATGGAAATTCTTGAACAGTTCGCCCATTGGTTACCGGACATGAATTTGGAATTCAATGTACACGACGAGCCACGAGTAGTAGTTCCGCATGAGGAATTACACAAGCTGATCACTGAAGGCTATGCAGCCCACGCCCGGCTGTCTGGTAACTCATCATTGTTGAATCTATTTTCGCCGGGTGATCTGGATGACCCCGTCCCACCAGTGCCGGTCTTCACGACCAGATTCAACGACCTCGGGCTCCAAGATACATGGCTTTACTCGCGGCTTTCATGTCCACTAGACACACCTGCCAGGGCACTAGATGGTGACGCGCCAGACAACACAAGTGCTTACGCAATGGGTCCTTTGGGCTTTGTGTTCAACCAAACTGCGGCTACTGATATCTGCAACAGTCCGTCATTGCGACATCGACTGGGACTTTTTAATCATCCAAACGCTTTCAAATTGACAAATGAGCTGACCCCGATATTTTCCACATCCAATCCGTCTTCATTCCAGGATATTGCAGTCCCCTCGCCGTGGTATTACGAAGAAATCTCAAAATTCGACGCAGAAACCTCGGTCAAATGGGAGGATAAGCTACACCAGCTATACTGGCGCGGAAAATCCAACGGTGGGCATAGTCGGAATGGCTCCTGGCGTAATCTGCATCGTCAGCGTATCATCGGGAACTTGACCCATCCACAATCGCCGCAATATCTCATGCAGCCAAAGAGTGAAAGCTGTATAGCAGACCACATTGACGGCTGGGATGTCCGAATAGCAAATCGATCACAGATCGAGGGATACTTCAATACCCATTTCACAGAGGTTGTAGATTGCGACGAGGATTGTGATGAAGCTAGAGCGTTTTTCAACGATGTCGTGGAACCAGATCCTCCCAGTGAGGCCTGGAAATACCGGTATCTGCTTGATATGGATGGTCATGCCTACAGCGGGAGGTTTTACGCCTTCATGCGCAGCAAGAGTGTTCCATTCAAGTTGACTTCCTTCCGGGAGTGGCATGAGGATGTCTTGATCCCGTGGATTCACTATGTGCCGATTAACCAAGACGGGAATGAGATCCCTGAGTTGATACGGTTTTTCGAGGAAGATCCTGCGGGCCAGGAGATTGCTCGATCTATTGGCGAAGAGGGTCAATCTTGGGCGGCTAGGGCGATCAGAAATGAGGATATGGATGTTTACATGTTTCGACTTCTCTTGGAGTAAGTTTGGTGTATCTGTTTTATTTTGGACTCTGCTAACGTGAACTTGCAGATATGCCCGTGTGCAAGATAACCAGAGAGAGAATCTGGGATTTATATTGTAGAAGTTGGGTGGAAGATCAAATCTATCTACCACAGTCAGATTTCTTTTTAAAAAAAAAGAGCTCCACGGAAGCAGTTGATGGGGACTCGAACCAAACTGAGTCCCAGGCTTAACAGTGCTGTGGCACTATCCCCAAATCGCCACGATGGGATGAAGTGACCATTGATATGGACCCTATCTGTAATCTGTACATACTTTTCATGAAGTTAATGTCTATAAGTTTCACCCCTGAATCAAGACCTATGGCTTGCGGTCGTATATCGAATGACCCAGTTCGGGGCTCGAAAACCCTAGTGACGTCCAATCGAGAACTGTCCTGTCTAACAACGATGTCGAGTCCACACAAGCCTGAACAGTTACAAAAGGGACAATCTGCAACAATTAGTCAAGCTGAATGGACAAATACGGCCATGGATAGGTCTTCATTTTCCCTGCTACAGCTACTTGGGTTTGCCCAAAATTCCAAAGTATGGAAAGGAACAGTCAACTGTCATAGAGCTATATCATTCCCTAATACCTAAACCCTAACCAGCTAAATCCACTCCATCACAACCCAATTCTCTCTCACCCATCCACCGAAAACACCAAATCCTGCCCATCCAATCTAAATCTCTGTAAGAAATCCGACGAAACCCAACAATACTTCTGCGGCGCACCCTTCAAAAACCCTTCGACAAGAGCCATCTCCAAACTAACAGACATCTTCAACTTCCACAGCACGAGAATCTCATACCCGTACTTGGATTGTTTCAATCCGGCATTGAACTCTGCATTACCGATCCCGCCGTCGTCAGAGACTTCGCCTGGGACTTTACCGGGTGAGATACGGGCGACGTATTCGATTCGTTTGATAGGGCTGGTGGTGTAGAACCAGATGTGCGTGATAGTTGGTGGGAGGAGGTAGGTGCGGTATTCGTGGTTTTTGGATCTTGAGGCTATGTTTTGTATGTGTTCTGGTTTTATGCTCATGAAGATGTGTGAGGTTGATTTTTCCATGATTGAATTTCTTGTAGGATGTGGGAGTGGTGTTGATGCGGGGTGGTTTCTGCAGGTCTATAAAATAGGGATAGGTGTAGTCGCCTGTTTGAATTTCCAAGGTTATCACTCTTATAGTCGAGTCCAAGGCGGGCAAAGACTAGAATGATATACAATTTCATAATGATAACAGTCACAATAGGTTCATAGGTTGAGAAAGTACAGTCTGTGTACAAGGAATAATGCCATAGGTAACGCCAATCCCCCAAAACAGAGAAGGTAATGGGTAATTACAAGAATGTCCAAAGAGAGTGAATTCAGAAAGTCATGAAAAAAAAACGAGAGGGAAAGACCAGCTTCGCCGTTCAGCTTCACACATTGGAAGAGGCCCACTCGACGACCTCCAGAGCACACATGACAAGTACGAGGGTCGAGGGGAGGATCCTGTAAAGAGGCAAGTTAGCAATGATCAATGCTTGGGATAGACGACCAGTTGTGTCTGTTCTCTGTAAATAGAGGATAAGGACTTACCAGACAACATAACTCTGGAACAAGAGTTTCGACATAGCACCAACATAGACATTATTGATCTGACAGATCTGCGCCAGCTGCAATGCGGACGGCGCACCCGTAAGCAGGAAGCAGACAATAATGAAAATAGGATCATCGAGGATACTAATTGGCACAAACTTGGCCATGAGTGCCAAAATCGGCGCCATGATGAGAGTCGGAAGAAGCATGCGCGCAAGTAGCGAGGCAATGATAAGCTTGCGCTCGTCGCGGGGATGCTCCAAATCCGCCATCGCCTCTTCGGGGATTGTATTGCGCGCGAGATTTGCGCCGAGCACGACCAGGATCAGTGGCACAGCGACCTGTCCGTTCTGTTCAATTGCGCGGGTGACCGAGTTGCGCACGAAGGTGCCATCGTCGAAAAAGAGACGCTGGAGTACTGGTACTGAGGCGACGATAATTGAGACCAGCATTGCCCACAGGGGCGGATTCATGAAGTCCCATAAGCCATTGAGGAAGCGACGCAGTCCGTTCGTGGTCGATGCAAGACCCTTTTGGACCTTTGGTGGGAGGCGCGCGTGGAGCGCGTTAATTTTCTTCTCTCGCCACTGGCTCAGGCTGTCCCGCGATCTGCGCAGACCTGCTTTGCAGCGCTGGAAACGCGATTTGTCGGCTTCCTGAGCTTCCCGCGCGGAGATTTCGACATTCGGGAATTGGAGGATGTCGCCTTGGGAGCTTTGGCGGGGGAGGAAGGGGCCAGTGGGTGGCGGTCCAATTACTGACGGTGCATCGTCTGAGTCGAGATCGTCCGAGTGGGCCGAGGACAGCTTCGAGTAGGAATAAGCTCGCGTTGACACGGGTGTTTGGTCGCCAGATTGGAACCGGCGGTCGGTGTGTGTTGCATGGTGCTCGTGGTGTAGATCATCTGAGCTGCGTGTTCTGACTAACGGTTCGTCCGGGTCTGTCTGGTCCGGGTTGTCGCTATACCGCGCTTGGCCCTGCTCGATGATTGACTGGTCACGCTCTGCTTCCTCAAGGTATCGGTCCTTTGGCGCTAAGAGAATGTGATATCCCCAACTCCAGCGCACGAGTTGACCTAGCTGCTGGAAGATAAGCAGGTATAGAATTCCACGCGCGGCGACTTCGTCGTCGTTGTCGTTTGGAATCCGGTCCCAGTGAAGGCCTTTAAGGGTCTGCGAGAGCGATATCACGAGGGAGATCGGGAGAGAGTTTGAGTTGCCGAAGACCTGTAGAGAAGGGGTGATTAGAATCAGCCATTTAATTCTCTCAACCGGCAGGACCTATCACATACCGCCATGGCAGCCACAAAGTTTGACTGCCGCTTCTTGAAGCGACAGCATTTTGCGACAACGAAGGAACAGAAGTATGAGACGAAGGTCTGGACAATAAAAATGACCGGGATGATAGCGAGGTCCGTCAGCTTTTCGGCGGTTAATTGTGAGCCCAATTTGGTAAAAACTGTTGATAGGAGTTAGCTAAGTCAAAGATATATCTCTCATGGTGAGAGCACAGAGGAATCCATACTGAGACAGGGGGTGAACAGAGTCACATTGAGGTTTGCCACCAGCTTCTGAGCATCTGCATCAAACATGCCCTGACGGGCGGCAATGTAACCAGGAAGACTGACGCATACGACCTCCAGCACAGCTGAAAAGACGAGCAGCACTAATTGAAAGAATGGGGGGTGGCTCTCATGGGCGCCTATGAAGAAGCTGTTGACGCCCATTGGGGCTTGGGCAATAGCATTGACATTTTGAAATGATCGGGGCACGTTAAAGATGGCCATCAGTATTCAAGAAAAGATTGATGGAAATCCCAGGAACAGGAAGTGAAGTTGTAAAGAAATAAGCTTGAGAGTTCGCATTCCTTGATTTTGATATGAGATCTTGGCAGTTTCGCCCACGTTGATAGCTCTTTGGTGGACATTTCTTGCCATCAGCGCTTATCTCTCCTATATTAGGAAATGAATGGCGCAATGGTTGTAATTTAAATATTTGCTTTTCCACTATTTCAAGTATTATCCTAATTTATACCATACATTACTATACTATTGTAAAGAAAGCTGGAGATTTAAGGCTTAGCTGAAGATCAGCAATGACGCATTTTTGGGGGGGGGGGGGGGGGGGGGGGGGGGTTTCTATGAGTTAGTCTTTATTTTATTGCTGGGTTTGTTTAGTGGGGGGAATTTAGCGAGGAGGTACATCTGCGCAGTGTGTCCTGCTCGGTTTTGGGGTGTGTTGGGTGGTGGGGGGTTGGATGGGTGGGGGAGCGATGGGATCACAATGCCAAGACCTTCCTAATCCGGAACTGAGGACCTCAAGAAATATCAACTTCATTTTTGATCGACATGTTAAATGTGATTGAAAAAAAACTGTCCTATAGAGAGGACTGGTATAATACATGAACCTACAAAAGTAGGTCAAGAAATCCAAAAGTGGCTGGGTACTGGGCCTGTGTACCTTTTACGCCTCAGCCACAAAACCCAACTTCTCGCCTACTTTGATGCGCTGGCCCTTCTCAATACTCCAAGTCCACCCATCACTGGGGGTTTCATCCGGCCAGCCGGCATCAATGGACTTGCGAGTTCCAAGAGGAGCTTCAAACACAAGTACAATCGAACTGCCAAGCTGGAATCCACCCATCTCCTCTCCACGTTGTAGTGGATGTCCATTAAGTGTTCGGCTGGCGTGGCGGTAAGTCGCCTCGACAAAGCCGGGATATTGCTCACCGCGCTTGGCAGCCAAGGCGGCAGCCAGGTCCGCAGCGGTATCAGTCAATAGGCTGTTCGTGCGCAGCTCCGAGTCAAAGTTGATTTTAATGGAGCCTACGTTGGTAGCTCCGACCGGTGTGTAACTGAAGAAACCCCACCGCCATCGGCCGAGGAGTGCAACTCGCTCGTTGAGAGTGAATAGACCGGGTAGATGTCTCTGTAGGTATGGTGAGACCGAGTATAACTCACCAGCAAAGTGGCGACGACTCTCCACTACCCAAGGAGCAGGGGAGTGGAAGCGGTGGTAGTCACCGGGCGCTAGGTAGATCACAACGTAGAACAAGGCATGATTGGCTGCTGTCTTGGGCGCGTACCATGGTGTTCCATCACCACGAGCCAAGTCCTCTTGCACTTGGATTTCCGATGTTGCCTTGGATGCGGTTGAAGCATCCAATGAAGCACGTCGTTTAGAAGCACCAGGTTCGCCCGAAAGAAGGCTTGGGAGAGTGTAGGAAATCCCATTCATACGCGCAAACTCTTCATGCGCAGCCATGTTCTCGACATCCTTTTGGGTTTCTTTCCCGCCCTTGTCCGTGAGTCGCTTGGTGTGGTCGGCGTGCGCAGGCGTGGCTGATCCCAGAAGAGCGTCCAGACTGTATGTCATTCCCTTGACTTGCTCAACCTCACCCCGCTCGATCGTTCCAAATTGCAAAATTCGACCGTCGGAGGGGGCCAGAAGAGCACGAGGGTCGGGATCCAATGGTCGAACGCCGGGCTTCAGTTTACGGTAGAAGAATGCTGCCAGATTCGGGTAGGTGTGCAGGTCGGGCTCAGCAACCTCCTCAAGGTTGACGCCAAAGGCCCATGAATATAATTTGAATCCAGGAACGCGCAGGTAGTAAGGAAGTTCGATTTCGTTGAACCGACCCCACAGACGCGACATGGCCTTCAGGGGTAGAGTGGACATGATCTGAACATGCCATGGGCCCGATAAACTGATCCTCGGACGACGAGGTGGCCGTTTTCCTTCATCCCATTCATCGTTGGCCGCCTCGCGAGCCAGCCGGTCCTGTTCCGCGCGGTGCGACTTGTAGAAAGACAGCAACCCTAGCAAACCAATTCCGAGTCCTACTGGGATAGGATACCATTCGACTTTGGTGTTGCGTAAAGCAAAACCTAGCCTTGAGCCAAATCCTCCTTTGTTTTCGGGATTATTGTCCTTCTGATATGGTTTCCATGATTTAGACGAAAAATGTCGGAGACTGGCCTTATGACGGGCCGTGGCCCGGAACGAAAGAAACTCCATCGACGCAACCCCAGTTCGAGGGGTAGCGGGAGCGCAGTGAAGGAGAGGCGAGGAAATAAAAAGGCGCTTGGCCATAATGTTTTAATCCATCGGCCTGGAGCGCTAAAATCAAGCCCCTAAGCTAAGAGCGTTTTTTTCCGAAATGGGGAAAATGGCTCGTGCCGATTGACCGCCTGGCAGAATTACACGTGGATACGCTGGAGATACATTGGACGAACTGTCTTTCTATATCCCAAATACATTTCATTAGAAATGAGCATTTCTGCGATTCTGACTCTTCGCATTTACACCCTTGCATCTTTCTTCTTGTTTTCTTCCTAGCTGCTATAGAGTCCCAGGACATCACAACATCAACATCGCTTATCGATTGATGCCAGATATCAGCAACTATATCAGGTCCATATAGGCTTATTAGCTTGTGCAACTACAGTTTTGAAGCAATGGCGACAGGATCACCATCCCAGCCTATGTCGGGGGAAAATGCATCGGGCACAATCACGCTTCATATTCTCTGCCAGTCTCTACCCCCTCCAAGCCGGTTTACACTTGACAATGTTCCACTCTCCTCCACAATCGCACAGCTCAAGCACCGGATTCAGCAATCCTTTCCGAATAATCCTCGAGCATCGCATCAAAGGCTCATATACCGAGGGAAACCCCTAACTGTCGATGAGGTAACACTCAGCACAGTAGTCTCATCTATGGAGGTTAGTAACTTGTTCTTAACCTGCGCCATATCACCTTTCGTCCTAACTGGACGGGATTTCCTTTTCAGGAAGGGACTCATAGTATGCATCTTGTGCTACCACCAGAGCCAACACACACAGAAGCACCTTCTGTCTCTGCCATGTCGCAAGATTCGCCTTTCGCGGGTTCTGCTCAAGCTTCCACTTCTTCTCCCACCTGGTTGAATCCTGATACTTCCACAGCCGCAACCAGTACATCCGCATACTCTAGCTTTCCCAGGGCAACGGGTGCCACTCCCATTTCCCCACGCGTCACATTCAATCAATATGCCAGCACCTCCTCATTTAACCAATCCTCACCAACTACAAATGCACCGGAAGTCGACGGTGCAGAACTCTCTCGGCGTATTCGCACTTTACGAGATCACATTCTGGAGATCGAGGGTCAACTGCACCGACGTGTGATGCCATCTATGGATAATATCATTCGTACACGGAATGAGCTTCTTGAAATTCAAGATAGACGACCCGCGGGACAACTCCCTGTACTTGGTGTGGCGGAACTGGTTACCCGTATTCTTGGTGCTCAAGAACGTGCACGCCTACTGGAATTTATCCAAGCACAGAATTTGCAGACAGGCATTAGTCAGAATTATGTCCCCGCCAATTCCCCAACCAGTTACCAAGCAAGCCACCAAACAAGCCAGCAAGCAAACGTCACTCAGTTCTTTATGTTGGCCTCGCCAACGGGGGAGGACCATAGAAGTTTTGTCATACGAAGAGACTCCGCATCCCAACTCGCAGCACAGCCGGCAGTCTCGCCTAATACAGCCCCCGCTAACGAACCTAGCGCCCCTCAAGCACCTCCAGCATATCAAGTGCCTCAGCCATACCAAGCGCCTCAGGTACCCATCCAAAATGCAGCGGTAGTCCAGAACGCCCTCCGTCAAGCAATGCTCAACCAACAGCGCCGAGGCAACAACATCGAGCATGCTGGCCTGGCACGACACATCCGCCGTATCTGGCTGTTCACTCGTCTGTGGCTATTCTGTTATCTCACCAGTGCCCCTGGTACCTGGAGGCGTTACATCTTCGTCAGCATTGCCTTACTCGTGACATTCTTTTCCGAGACCAATATCCCGCGACAGTTTGCGACTCTGGTCATCAGTCCTGTCCAACGCCATCTCGAGGGCCTCACTCACGCCGGTGGCCCGGCAGCTCGAGCCACTCAAACAGGAGCCAATGACGCTGCGGCGTCCAATATTTGGGACCAGCTCCGCCACGTGGAGCGGGCCCTTGTTTTTCTTTTTGCGAGTCTAGTTCCCGGTCTTGGTGAAGGGCATGTCCGCGCTCGCGCTGCGGCAGATCAAGCTTTCTTGGCTGAGCAGGAGCGTCTGGCGCGGGAACGTCAGGAGCAGGAGCAAGAGCAGCTACGGGAGCGGGAGCGCCAGGAACAGGAACGGGCTCAAACTGGCGTTGTGGAGGGCGCTGGAAACGAAGGTGCTCAACAGGAGGTCCCCGCGGCGAGTGCACAGTCTGGACAGGATCCAGCAGAGAACTGATCTATACCGGAAGGTACATCTGCTTTCATATTCATATCTTTACCAGAATAGTCGGCCACATAAGGCCTTGCGATGACTTTCCTATATTTTTTTCAGTGGTCTCTTTAGTGGTCATCTCAGATATCATTGTGTTTAGATGTACCATTTTTATACGACAGTTGATCCGTCTATAACAATTTCTTCACTCGTGTCATTCACAGCAATCCCCGCTGCCAGGTGTTCATTCAGGCATTGAAACCTGATCTCAATGACTCCCGGTTTATGACAAACGTCTATTATGAGTTCGCCTCGACATAAGAAGCTTCGAGGATTGCTCCTGGAACTTCCACAGCTCCTGCAAATGCCACTTTCTCGTCTAATAAAGACTCCAATTCCTCGAATCCCAATCCCAACTCTGACAAAAGGAACAAGTTCCAGAACAATCAGAGGAAAGGAAACAACAAGGACAAGGACCAGGACAAGTCATCCGACGGAAAGGACAATTCATCCAACGATAACAAGCCTCGACAGCGGTATGAGCGAGAAGAGAACACCATCTTCTGCAAAGTCCACCGAGCTCATTCTGTTTAGATGTGCCATTTTCTAAGGTGATGGCAAAAGAAATGCAGAGAAGGCTTTGTGCAGACGACTTTTCTAAGTATAACCTTTGATTAGCAGCATGTTGAATCTTGTTTCTACAATTGAACTCAGCTTGGATCAAAATGATACGCATAACCACTCCACAAAATCAATCCTTTGTGATTAAAAGAATGAGCTTTTGTCAATTTGGTTGCGCATACTTTTCGAGTTAGATGCTACTATGTCATAAATACTTCTAGGCTGTTTCACGAGATATGTCCATGTTCTATGTTTACTCTATGTACATTCATCGTATACCGCTAGCAAAAGCTCGTTGAGATCAAGAGGCACTCTGCGAGTCACCAGCTGGGCATTGCAGTGATCAACGATGACAACTTAACATATGATAGCTCAAATCGTTTACAGTCTTGTGTCGAAGTACCAGTAATTGACGACCTCAGAAAGACCCGTGTCCCCGGTCTATCCATACCAAGTCCTTGCCCCAGTATGATTGCTCAACTCATCAGCTCACAACTTCGTGACACCAACATTCGCAGGTGTCTCAGAAGGCGCAGCCATAGGACCCGTATTAAAGGCTTCTTCGCCATCAAAGTGCCTGCAGTCCGTATCAGTATCTTCACTCTCCGAAAAAGAAAGGAATAAACTCACCATCCACGCTCAGCACCACCACTCAAGAAGCTACAATCCCCATTCGCAACACAATTCCATCCACCCCCAACACCACGTCCGTTCCTCCACTGCGGCAGAGCCGACGCACGAAGCATCGTCGTACCCTCAGCAAGCGGCTTCTCTGCATTTTCTTCCTGGACATCGCTCTGTCCATAACTAGCAGAAACAGACCTCCTCTTAAACGTACTCAGCCCAGCTGTAAAAACATTAAAGTCCTCTTCAGAGCTATCATCCGGCATGTGCCCTGTCAGAGCCCGTCCCATGGCGATGAGCGGCGCGGCATGCGCGCAGATCAGGACAGACTTGCTGGTTCTTTGGTCTGGTGGTAGATCTGCTTCTAGGGCGGAGATTTCTGCGTCGATGTCGGCAATTATACCTTCCAGTGCTGTTGCTATGCGGTTGTGGAGCTGCTTGATTGTCTCGCCGCGTCTTGAGGGGACGAGGAGGGGTTTGTAGGTTTGGCTATCTGAGAGGATAGTTGGGAAGTGGGTGGACATTATGTCGGGTGTTGGATGGGCTGGATGGTCGAAGAAGTCCGTTGCGCCGAACCATTCTCTAGATTCCAGTCAATATATATGGCAATAAAGTGTTTGTAAAGTGCCTTTGTTTGTTGATCGGGTAAATGGAATGGAGTATGAGTATAAACGGAGCGTATAACCACTTACCCTAACCCGTTCTCAATTCGTACATCCAGTTCCGCATGCCGATCAATTGATCCAATCTGGCCATCTTTCAGACCTTCCCCGGATTCAGCTGATAGTCTCTTCAGCTCTTCGACAGACGGCTGGATTGTTTGAAGGCAGCGATAGAAGGGGCTCGAGTAGACACGGAATGGCTTCGGGTGGAATTCGGGGGCTGAAATGTGTTCGGCCAGCTCATGCGACTGATGAACACCGTGCGAGGTCAGGGCAGGGTCTGCTGGGTTTCCTGTTGGCGTGGGGAATTGAGCTCTATATGTACCGGTGCGAAAGTCAATGGTCCAGCTGAGGCGGTGCTGCAATAGTTAGGTCTATGGATTCACAACAACGACTGGCTAGAGTACATACCCCATGGCGAGTCAAATATATCGTGTCCAAAGGCATGGTGTACGAATGGGTTGTTCAACTATGTACCTGCCATGCCATTGTTGCGGGGGAATGGCAAAATACATGTGCATCCGAAAGCGGTGAATATCTGCCTCGGTCTAATGTCTACGATAGGAAGCAGAAAAAAGGAGAGGGTTAAAACATTGCAGACCAGAATCATCTAGCATTGACATACGAGCGAACCATGTACTCTGCAAACCGTCAAAAGTGCGGAACAGTGGGTATTTTGTTCACAGCTACAAAGTCCAGATTACATTCCAGGGTCCAGCCCAGTAACACCAACGCCATGCGTAACCAGTCAAAGCAAGAACTTTTCTCAATTCTTTTTTAGAACGATTCCATCTAGTAGAAGAAACCGAGGAGCTTGCCAGCAACGTGCTTGCGGCGAGCCTCCTCGTGGTCCATGATACCGGCGGAGGTGGTCAGGACAACGTAACCGAACTGACGGGAAGGAAGGAGCTGGGTAGCCCACTTCTCGAGGTCACGGAGCTGGACGGGGTAGCGGGGGTTGATGACACCACACTTGTTGAGACTGTAGATATGAGTTAGCTTCGTGTTCCACTGAAACTAGTGGTTGTAGTTATGAATACGTACCGGCCGTTAAGCTGGATAACGATCTTGCCGGAGCGGTGGTCATCGACCTCCTCGAACTCGCCAATGTAACCTAAGAAAGAAAGAGTCAGTATGTTGTGAAGATTTAAAAGTCGTCAAATACAGAAAATGCTATGATAGCGCTTTGGAAACGTGTAAGATCTTCGCAAATTGATATATCGGACACTTAAAAGGCAGACGTCGTAGGTGATTGAGACCGGCCGCCTAGTTATCAGCCCGAATGGGTGGGACAAATATTCTCAAGACATGAAGTGGTAAAATGCAAATAGAGAAGAAAATGCAAGAGAAAGGAAATGAAAAGACGAAAAGAAATTTCAAAATTCACGTACCGTGCTTCTGCATGACAGCAAGGAACTTGACGATGACCTTGGAGGAAGGACGGATGAGGACCTGGCGCTTGCCAGCCTTCTCGGCGTTGTTCATGGCGTTAAGCGCATCGTTGAGGACGGAGGTCTTGACCATTTTGGCGGTTTAGTTCGAGATTCTCAAATCGTAACGTTTAAAAGTAAAGATTATGAGGTATCTGTTCGACGAGACGGTACAAGTCAGCCACCACTAGTCTTCGAGCGCAAAGAGTGCCCCTTTTTTGCATTGCAAGGAGTTCTTCAGCCCGTGCCGAGTTGGGAGATGCGTATCATCTTGGCTTCCTGGATCGCGATTCCTGAGAATTATCTATAATTCACATATGGAAGCAATCTAGACAAGATGATTGCATCCCCAGACTAGCTGAGAGGCTGTCGTTGGGGGAGGGCATAACACATACCTCGAGAGATGGTCGTCGATGGATGAAGCGGAAGAAAACGACGATCGGTGAAAGTTTGGTTTTCGGGTGGTGCGCGGGTAGGGTTGAGTCGCGTATTAGCCCTTATCTCAATATAGACACGTGATGATAGCAATTGACATGTTGGTGCCTCAGGGTTCAGGGCTTGGAAGGCATCACTATTTTCTCCATAGTACAACATACAACTTACCTATCTACTAATGTAGCTCGAACTCTAGCGCTGTACCTACAATAAGCATAGCATTAAATAACAAGAGCTCAAAAAATCAAACAAAATCAGAATTGAGATACCAACAATAATCATACAAACACCTTTACTCCTACTACTACTAACTCATCAGCACATCATTCACTAATCCCATCCGAGAGCAAGGTTCAGATGGTTAGTTCTATACATGGTTTTCCAGCGTGATAGCATGGGTGTGGGCAGATATCGGCGCATACGAAGAAGGGAGACGAAATCAGGGACAGCTTTTTCATGACAATGGCTCTTTTCTGGAAGGGGTGACATGAGGGGAAAGGGATACATGAATGGGAGTACAGTTGAGGGGGAGGGGATACATGAATTCTTGGGCTACATGAGTCGCAATGCTATATGATGCGAGGGAGGGGGCTTGTCTAATTAAAAACAAAATAGAAGGGGGGTTGGGAAAGGTGAAAAGGGTTGTACCAAGAAGAAAAAGGAAACTCAGACAGGGCCATACAGAAATTGGGAAGGGTAACTGGGGCTCATTCGAATGTGTCATCAGGGAATTGAGCATCAGCAAAGAGTTTTGGGAAACAGAGTTTGTGACCAAAGGGTAGTGATAGGAAGGGAGTCCTGTGCTGGGGAATAAAGGGGAGGGGGATTTGAGGATATCAGCCAAGCGCTCTGGTTCGACAACGTCGAGAACAGGGCAGCCACCCTGCACACATCAGGAGCACCAATTGGGTGTGGGCTCAAGCAGCCCTGGGATTTTGTGGCAATGAGGCCAACAGGCCCGATGTGAGTGGCCTATGCTTTGGGTGACGGAATCGGACTACAAGCACTCCTGATCAATCGGTTGAGATGGTGACTTTACGCCATACCAGCACCCAGGTTGATCTGGCGCTTGACCTGCTCACGGGTCCAGCGCGCAGTCTCAATTGTGCGCTCGCTGTACTGTCTGGTTGTGCGAGTCTCTCTCACGAGAGCGGTGACCCAGTCGTTGCGGAAGTAGGCAGCGAGTTCACCGTTGGGGAACGCATCAGCAAGATCACTAGTAAATAGTTAGCATAGGCTATAATCGAAACTATAAGCAGCCGAGACATACCCAATAACACCCATAGCAGATCGCATCAGACCTTCACTGCGGTTGCTCTCCTGGGAGATAATGTGAAGAAGCTGGAAGATAGACTCGATGAAAGGCTGGAGTTGGGTGACTGTAATCTGATTAGCATGCTGACATCCTATATGTGGAGAGTCGATAGTAACGTACTGGAAGGAGTGCCCTTGTAGGACAAAAGAATGCCACCCCAAGCATCCATGATGCCTTCACGGAGAGAAACGATGTAATCAACCATGTCGTATGGGAGGTCGGAGCTAGTGGTCACGCTGGAGGCTTGCTGGAGAACCTGGCCAACGACCGCCAAGTACGTATCGAAGTTAGTTCCAATGGCCTGGGCGATATCACCGAAGGTCTCAAGAATGGCAGGCTTGAGTTGGTTGGTGGAAGTCTGTTTTGCGAAATTAGCATTGGACGTCAAATCATATCTGATCGGAACAATCTCACCTGGAGAGTCTTGAGCAGGAGGTTCATGAAGGTGTCACAATAAGGCTGGACCTTCTCGTTCAAGGCACGAGCAATGTCACTGACCAAGCCAATGGCCATGGAGCAGAGACCGGGCTCTTCCTGGTTGCCCAGAGCGTTGTACAAGAATGGGCTGAACGACTCCATGTACTTGATGAAATCATCCTCAAGGGCACCGGCAATAGCACCAACGGTGGCGAAGATGACATCCGGCACGCTCGACTTAGCACCAAGGGTAGTCAAGACCTGAAGCAACACGCTCATAATACGGTCAGCCTGGGGCTTGATCTCGCCCTCGAAGCGCTGGACAATGGCCAGAATGACACTGATCAAACTAGTCTGCATCTCCTCGAGGAGAATACGGTCCTCAGCGCTAACGACCTGCTGCTGCATGGGAACAGTGTGCTCAAGACGCTGGATGATAACATCTGAGAGAGTTGCGACCATGGGCAGGCTGTCATTAGCAGAGTTCATAACAAAGGAGTTGAGAACTTCGTATCCAGCGGTACGGAGCTGGTTATCGGCGTCTTGTCTGTACGGGTGTTAGATCAAAGGAATCAATAGCATATCATGCAGGGAACATACCGCTCGGTCACGGTCAACAGGGACTTCACACTGTCCTCAAAGTGCTTCGACAGAGGGTTGGTCTGCGAGCCATCGTCACCAGCGAATCGGTCTGCGACGTTCATAAGAGCCCAGCAGCAGGAGCTGGCAATCTTGGGGGAGTTGGCGAGGCCGTTGAAGAGGCACGAAATAAGGGGCTGAAGGTGGACCTCGGGGTCGAGAACCTCAGGGCAGCAGTCGCAGACGCGACCCAGGGCATAGGCAGTGGAGTCACGAACGGAGACGGAGCTATCCTCCATCATGCCAAGCAAAACAGACAAGGCCTGCTTGATCAGGGGCTCCAGAACACTGGGTTCGGGGCCTTCCATAATAGCGCCGAAAGCAGCAACGGCGGCATCACGACGGTGCCAGTCCTCGTTGCGGATGTTCTCCTCGACAAAAGTCACGACGGGCTGAATGACATCACCCTGCACACACTGGGCGTAAAGCTGCATAGCCTGGTAGGCAGCGCGGGACACGTTGTACTCATCATCACCAGCATCCTCGTCCTGGCGGCACATAGATTGCAGCAAGACGGGAACAACCTCGCGGGTAGCGACGCGAGCAAATCCAAAGAAGGGACGAGCTTCAACACCCTCTTGCTGAGCCTGTAAAAAAAAGTAACGTCAGTATATGGTCAAAATTCACTCCGTCTCATGCGCTTGATACGTACCTCAGCGTTGTCATCCTCGATAGCAATCTCCTCCTCGCAGACAGTGCACCAGAACTCAATAGCCAACTTGGCGACTTCCTCCTCCTCGCTCTTCATGCCCATGATGCTCAGGCCAAACAGAGCCTTCTCCATGTAGAAGCGCATCTTCTCGTAGTAGGATCCCATAATGCGGTTCAAGCAGCCGAATGCAGCAGCCTGCACACGAACCTCATCGGCCTGGGTGGCCTCGCAGACGACCTGCATAATGTAGTTGCGCTCTCCCTCATTGTCCATATTGGTTCGCACGAAATCGACGGCATCACTGAGAGCGGCGATAGCAGCGTAACGGACATCCATGTTCGGCTCCTCGCGGCGAGCACCCTGGACGACGGCAGTAAGGATAGCATTGGAGTGTTGAGTCAAGCTGGTGCGGAGTTCGGGATCTTGCGACTCGCAAATGTAACCGATAGCAGTGAGGGATGACTGTTTCAGTGCGTCGTTTCCACTGGCGACATTCTGGACAAGAATTCCCATCAACTCGGGCCACTCACCACGGGGCAACTCGATGGCGGCGATCGAAACAATCAGTGTGGCGGCGGCATTTCCAGCGCGAGCATCGGGTGACTGCAGGGTCTTGAGCGCAAGCTCTTTGACCTGTTTCTTGGTCTCGGGGTTAATGCTCTGAGCCCATCGGAGCTGCACCTCGCGCAGCTTGGCTTGATCCCGGAAAGTGAAAGCGTTCTTCAAAGCGATACCAGCAGCGACACGGATGTGAGCGGGGCTGCTCTCGTTGGCGAGTTCCTGGCCGAGGGTGATGAGGTAGGCAGCCTACCGGGGTAACAGAAGTATCAGCATTCGAGTCCTAGAGAAATATTTCATGACTCGTGGCAGCACGAGGGGGGTAAAAGAAGACACATACGAAGTCAACCTCAGCGGCGTGAGCGAGTTGCTGTTCAGCATTGCTACGCTCGGCCGCATCTGGCGCGAGGGTACTCTGCAACACCTGACGGGCGTCCATGATGTGCAAAGAAATGGAAGGATGTGGGGTGGGAGAGAAAAAAGAAGGAAAAAAGAGGTGGATAAAAGATTAGAAAAAAGAATTTAAAACCCCTCTAGACCCGGATCAATCAAAGGGTTCGACACTCGGAGATCACCACGATAGAAGCAGTGGTGGAAAGAGGATTTCCTGTGGAAGAGTGGGAAGAAGGGACGGGTGTTTTTGTGGATATGACGAGGCGGCATGCACTAGGTCTTTCCGCGACAAGAGGCACAGAGAGGAAAAGGTGCCTTGAGTGCACGCCCAGATTTCAACACAAAAATAATTGAGTGATTTGAACAAGATGAGAATAGCTGTAGAAGTGCGAGATATGTGAAGAGACTAAAACAAAGATTCGAAGCAAGAAAGACCACAATGAGTTGAGGTTCTACGGGGGTTGCCTTCTGATTGGCCCAACTGCGGGGGGTTAGTCAGTCACACGTGATATTTATGCCTCAGGCCTTATATCACCCTTGCTCGGCCAAGGAGCGAAGACTTTGTTCACTTTCGCTTTAAAAAAGTGTGGATCTGAGGAGATTCTAGTATTTTGGCAAGCTCAATTGTCGAATTTCGCAGCTGGGACTATTTCCTGAGGTCAAATGTTGAGTCTGTGGAGTCTCCATCATATTTCCAACTACTCCGTGTAGGGGTCTCGACTCTCAACTGTATAGGCTCACAGCTACGCAAGAAAGGATTCTAGTTTATGCTCCATAGTTTTGCGTGAGTAGTTTCATTAGTTTGTATGAGTCTTCTAATTATTCATGGATTATCCAAGGCATCTGCTGGGCTAATCTCACTCGTGGTTGAGTTCGTGTGCAAGACTTCGCTATTGAAATTGATGAAGAGACATGTAGCTTGTACAACTTCCTGTAAACATGGCCTTCTCGATATATCAAAAAGCAAACCCTACCACCAAAACAGTAAAAAAGACAGCTGTATCTTAGGCCTACACATCGTGATAGGTAACTCGGCCGGGTAATATATATCACGGGCGTAGCTCAATCTCTATATCAGCGCGGCTGGAATTGGATTTGTAATGGAGCAAGCGTGGTAGTGAAAGTATCCCGTGTCTCTGTTTCAAATGCTTCCCCAGTTTCGTCAGGACCGAATTGAATGTGGAATAACTGTGCCAAAGTAGAAAGCGAAATGCGAAGACTCATCATCGCCAAGTTCTTCCCGGGGCAAGCATAGGGTCCTAGAGAAATGTGTTAGAGGTTCAACTGTGAATCTTATGTCGGCCAGTAGTTTACCAAGTACAAATGGAAAGAAAGGAGCGCCCTCGGAGCACATTTCTTTGCTCTCGGTCCATCGCTCTGGTACAAATTGTTTGGCATCGGTGTAGTATCTTTCATCCGTCTGAATCAATTGCACTGGAACGAAAACATTAACATCCCCGGGAATATACTCCTCATCAACCTGGATTCCCTCGATTGGGGTAACCCGGTAGCCACCCGTCATTATAGCAGGTCGCAGGTGAAGTGTTTCGTGGATAATATCGTCGAGATAAGTGACAGACTTAACCTTCTCGTATGACCAATCTTTTGACCTTCCTGGCATGGCTTCATCCAGATGGCACTGCAGCTTTGACAGTATGGCGGGATTCTTTGCCAGATAGTAGAGCGCAGATGCCGAAGTGGTAGCTGTAGTCTCGCTGCCAGCAACTATAACCACTCTTGAATCCTCATGAAGGGCAGCCTCAGTCGGAGCCGCAGAAATGTCCTTCTCGACATAGGCCTTCAACAGCCACGAGACAATATCCTGTGGGCTCTTGTTCATATCCCAATTCTGTACTTATTTATAAGTATCGTGGTTATATGTGCAAAGTCGAACTTGCGTACCTTTTGCTTTTGCTCAATTTCATCTCCACACCACCGAAAGAAACTAGAATATCCAGACGCCGCTCCTGGGATACGGCTGGCAAGGTTCAAAAGCCAAGGAACATGACCCAGTATCCCGAGAATAGCCATATGGTCATGAACGCCTCTGATCGCCGGATGCTCCATGCCTGTGGCCAGGTTGTTAAACTCTTTTCCAAACCCAACATTTCCCATGATATCAAAACCGAGAAACATGGACCATGCACTAGCATCGATAAGCTGACCTAGGCTGCTTTTAATATAAGAAGCAAGCTGGTCTACCTTGCCCTTAACACGTGGCTCATAAGTCGCAAGAGCTAGTGATTAGTTAATATTGTTACCAAAAGAAAGGACTTAAGACCAAAACAGCCCTACCCACCTTTGATGCTGAAGCTACGATCCCATGCCTTGCGGCGCTTCCGATGATCCATTATATCGCGCGTGTGATGGACCGAACAAAATTTGGACTCCGTCGACACTTGAGCATAATATGTTGACTTCAAGCACTTGGACTGGGGACCGAATATCAACGGTACTGCAGATTTGCGAACAATACAGATTTCTCGCGGTCCTAAATAAAGCAAGTTTTCAAATCAGCCTAGTTTTATGCACCCACTATCATGTCAGACTGACCAGTTCGAATAAAATCCCCGTAGGTGCTGTGCAGCTTCTCAACTTCCACATTATATTGAACCTTTCTGCCAGCAAGGTAGGCATCGTAAAAGCGGGACAATTTAGAAAGCACAGGGCCTGGAAAACGATGAAGACGGTGGAAGAATAATCGGTAAACTCCAATACTGGACGTAAGGCCCCCATTAAATGCGAGGACAATCCAGCCCACACGCAAGAGTACTTGCGGCAGCGTAAAGTTTGTGACAGAGATATATGCGAGCGTGATCAACAACAGTGTCACAGGATACAGACTAAGAAGTCCATAGAGATATTCCTCTACGGGCAAAGTGCGGAAAATTGAAACATGAGATAGTAATCCAAGACCCGCCGCAGAAAGCCCGAGACTGAGAAAATCTGTGCTCAATGCTCGATCGAGTCTCTCCATGGAGAACAGTGATAATAGGGAGGACGGGGCATGAGAGGAGAAAGACAACACAGACTCCCTCCAGACCGCACCATGCCGGCTCTGTGTTCTATAGGTTCAAATAATGATAGCAGTATGGATTGGTGCTGGATGGAGAGGCTGCCGCAGGGCCGAAGATATTTCGCCCCCAAAGATCAGGCCCCACGAAGATATCGCTGAATGGCAGTTCAAAGGAGCCATATTACAACCAAGTGGAGTATTTATGCAGCTATTCCCTAGCGCTTTTCATGTCTCGGTCTTACGTCCTTCCTTTGGACTCTCGTTCAACCCTCCGATAAATACCCTACGTGTATATCCCTCTTTCTAGCTATTTTTCAAAATACTTCTCCCCAATATCGATACTTTGCTCGATTACTGCGAATTGTCCCCATAATGGCTAGACATTGTTTTACCTCCGGGTATCAAACGGACGGTTCATTAGCGTGGAATTCCCCGCTGTGGAGAGAGTAGATTGCATTGGGATTAGCACTTTTCGAAAAAGAAGTCATAATATTATCTGAAGAAATATTACAAAGGAGTAACAGAGACTTCTAATTGGTCTAAGATAAAAGAAGAAACAAAAATTCGACACCATTAAATCACCCACGTACTGTTAACGTGTCCTTTATTCCCCAAGAAGACCCTTCAAAGACTCAGCAGCTGTAATCTTGGGTGGAGCAAGGTCCAATACTGCTTTGCTCGTAGTTGAGGCTGTGCATTTTCCTTCCCATGATGTCTCCTGTGCATGCTTGACAGAAAAGATCACATTCCTTGATTGACGAGTTGGCGCAAAATTGAGCTCGTAAAGCACGTCAAGGAATGACATGTCCTTATAGGTAACATCCTGCACCTGCACACCAATATGCTGCTCAACCAATTCCACAATCTGCTTCCCGGTAATATCCTCTGGTCCATTGAGAACGTATTTGGCCTTGTTGTGCACAGCGACATCATCCTGGGACAAGAGACGAGCCGCAAAGACTCCAACCTCGGAAGCATCGATCAAACCGACAGGCGCATCTTCCGATGCCATTAATCTAAGAGTTCCCTGTACTCCAGTGTTGCGGTACTCTTTGATGAATTCCACAGCACTCGAAAGGGCGAAAGATGTAAAGAGGTTGGGCTGGAGTGAAGTCCACTGTAGGTTGCTGAATTCGGGCGAGCTCAGGAGAGCCTCGATTGCCCAATGTGTACGTGGATAGTAAGCGGGACAATCTGGACGGACGTTCGCGGCAGTGGTTGAGATTCGGACAACGTATTTGACTCCGGCGTTTAAGGCAGCAATGTAAAATGTAGACTCTTCGGCGAATTGATTTGGGTCATTGTGTGATGCAACGAATGCCCTGGTTACTTGATGTTCACGGAGCCAGTCAGGGGTGATTTCAACCCAGTTTTGCTCTATCACTTCAACTCCAGGCAGTTTGGCAAGCTTTTGGGCCACTGGACTCTTCAAGGAACGAGTAAGAGCAATGATGCGGTGCTCAGACAAAGTGTTGCTTGATTGGAGCAACTTCGGTAGGTTTTCAACGACAGCCTGGCCAGTGTTGCCAGTGGCACCGACGATGAGAATGGCGGGAGTCATGGTGAATCGAGAAAGGTAGTCAAATTGTTAGACAAGAAAGATATTCAGATGAGATGAGATGTGTATTGTCAACGAGGTACATGCAGTGAACTTATACCCATGGCTAGGGCAATTTATAATATATTAACTACTCCGTATGTAAGATTAAATTACTAAAGAAGACGCAATTGGAAATGTAATAAAATGGATGATTGCAGGAGGCCGGATGTGGGATACCGGTGGGAGACCGGTGGGATGCCGCGCGGGATACCTAATCAGCCAATAGCCGTCGGGACCCTTCGGGATATTAACACGTCATGCTTCACATCCAGTTCTCGACCTTATGGCAAGCCTAAGAAACCAATTAGATCTCCAATCTCCATCCAATTCCCAAGCCTTCAAGTGTCACTTTCCTGGCTGCAACGCCAGTTACCGGCGCAAGGAGCACCTACACCGCCACGAAGGAAAACACATTCAACAGGCCTTTCCATGTTCCAAATGCGGTCGAGAATTTGGCCGAAGGTATCTAATGTCTTCTTATACTCATTCTCACAAACACCCACCCTAATCTCGAAATCAGTGACACACTTCGACGCCATGTCCGTCAGCGTCATGGAATAATTGAACCTCTCAAGCGAGCACAGCGAGCTTGTGAGAGCTGTCATGCAGGGAAATCACGATGCGAAGGAGGTGTGCCCTGTGATGAGTGTACACGTCGTAAGATTCAGTGCTCTTTCGACAACGCTGCTGGTACGGCGGAAACCCAATCTCCCAGATCCGCAACACATGACACATCGAGCGTGGAACATGATCAGCCACGGTCACAGAATACAGAGAAGACGGAGCAGTACATCCGTCTTTATTTTGAGACTTTTCATCCCTCCTGGCCATTCATCCACGAAGGATCATTCGACATACGTCGTGAAGCGCCCTTCTTGATCCAGTCAATGGTTGTTATAGGCATGTGGTCTACCAAGGAACAGTCTGCGCAGTCTGCAGCAATGGAGCTACATGGCAAACTTGACTTGGCTATTCGAGATCAAAGGGTTCGTGTTACTAATTCCCCCACAATATGCCAGCTTTACTAAGGCTCGGTAGGGAAAATGGGATGCCTCCGAGTCAACTGCAGCTTGCAGTACCTGTGTCTGGCCAATAGCAACATACCAGGCTATCTTATTACATATCATCTTCTCGTTTGTTGTTAGCAGCCGGGCTGTTATCGATTTCGACTTGAAAATCTCTCTTCCCCCAGCTGATATGGAATTACTCAAAGCTCTTGTTCGGAGTTGTCGAAGGCTAGGGATGTTCTATTATCCGAACATTCTTGCTAAATATGAAAAAACGGATCTGGAATCGTTCATTTGGGTTTGCATTGAGGAAATCAAACGATTTAATATAGCCTTGTACAAGGTTTGCGGGAAGGCACGCAGTATAACAGACGAAAGCCACGATGGTACTGATTCAGTATGGTCTTCGCTAACCGCAGGTGAGCTTCAGTTCCCACTGCCGAGCAACTGCTCTTTGTGGAATGCTGTTAGCCGAGATGAATGGACGGCTCTTTCCAACGGAGACAAGCTTGTTTCCTTAGATGATACCTGCGAGGAGAGATGGATATCTAATTTTGCAGAGGTATTAGAAGTTTTTGTATTATAGAATTTAATGATTTGAGCTTTGGATAGAGAGGCATCTTCAAGCCTTTTATTTCGCGGTGCATCTGATACTCAAGCGAACCAATCTTGGAACGTCAAAAATCCAAATCAATCTGGAACGACGTTGTTCAGGCAAAAGGTGACTGAAAAGGGGACAGACAGACCAGACTTGACAGAGGCGCATGGTCGTTTTTCTAGTCGCTCGTAGCTTTCCTCTTCTCTTCACACATCTCAATGACTTTTCCCAAATATCTACTCCATCTCGTAGATAATCTCTAACACTGCCCCAGCCTGTCTTAGTCTCTCTGCAACCTCGGTGTGACCTCCCTTTACTGCTAGTCGAAGCGCATATCTACCGCCAGAAGTAGGAGGATTGACCTCGGCTTTAGCTTCCAGCAGTCTCTCAACCACTTCGAGGTGACCTCCAGCTGCTGCTGCCTCAAGTGCTGTATATCCATCAGCAGAAGCAGCAGCATTGACATCAGCTTTTGCTTCTAGCAGTTTCTCCACCACTTCAATGTGACCTCCCTCTGCTGCCGCTTGAAGTGCTGTTCGTCCCGTCAAGCCACTAGCAGCAGCATTGACATTGGCTTCTGCTTCTAGCAGTCGCTCAACAACCTCCAGGTGACCTCCTCCTGCTGCTGCTTGGAGTGCAGTGCGTCCTTCCCTGTTAATCGGAGTATTAACCTTAGCATCTGCCATCAATAGTCGTTCAACCACATCGAGATGACCCCCGCCTGCTGCTGCTTGGATTGCTGTGCGCCCTTCCATCGAAGTTATAGAATTGACCTTAGCTTTTGCTTTCAATAGTCGCTCAACCACCTCGAGATGGCCCCCACCTGCTGCGGCTTGGAGTGCTGTGTGTCCTTCCCCGTTATCGGGAATATTAACCTTAGCGTTTGCCTCCAATAGTCGCTCGACCACTGCGAGATGACCACCGCCTGCTGCTGCTTGGAGGGCCGTTTGTTCTTTCCCTTCAACGGGAGTATTGACCTCGACATTCGCAGCCAATAGTCGTTCAACTACCTCGAGGTGGCCTCCTTCTGCCGCTCCTTGAAGCGCTGTTCGGTTATCTACCCGAGCAATCACATCCATCCCCTCTCGGAGTAAATCATCGACTGAAGCAGCGTCTCCTTCTCTCACAGCATTGAACAATGCGTATTTTCTTATTTCGAGAGAATTGCCGATTTGTTGAATGATCAACTTAGTGAAGCGACCGCGATCTTGAATTCTGGCGTTTTTAAGGATGTCAAGTTTGACCTTTTCAGTCAAAATGTCCGACTCGTTCTGCGCGTAGTATAAAAACAACGTGAAATGACCATGCGTCAAAAGCCACTGTATCGCTCTTGGTATATCGTTTCTTTCGTCGTCAGTCTGATCCGTTGACTTCCATGGTCTGTGTGCAAGAATAATATCGCCGTCTACACAACGGCTAAAGAATTTCCACATCTGAGTATCCGCAGGGCTCAGGTCTGTCACATGGTGGACCCAACAAGAGCGCGCGTAGTCGAGAAACTGGAAGTCCCGATTCTGGAGGTCCTTATCGAGACGTGAAGGCTCTAGATCCTTGAACAATTTTCGAGATTTTCTTTCTAACTCTCGGGCGCTGAGATGCCGCAAGTGCTGACGATGGGAAAGTAACTTCATGGCCATTCGACTGGTATCATTTCGTGAACGGTATATCGGGGTGATTCCAAGTTGAATAGGGGTTATTGGAGTGTTCGAGCCCTCGGTGACCTTGGCTACCTGTCGTCTGAAAGTAGTGAAGTCGAGATAGGTCATACAAAGTAAGCCGAGATGCTGATCGAGATTCTTGATATCGAATTCGTCTGATAACGAATGCTTGATGCTGAAAAGGTGTTGTTTCACACTATGATGGACATAGTGCACGGTGCTGTCCTCTTCATCCACGGAGACTAAGCCACAGCAATTACGCATGACCTTGTTCATGTCATTGGGAAATTTCTGGCTGTCAAGAGAAGTTTGTCCCGGGCTCAGACTCAAGGCTTCCTGGTACTCCATGACTGTCAAAGATCGTTTTACCACGCCACAGAATTGGAGAGTTGCAATCGCATCCTTTGCTGTTGTTCCACTCCGGACTCGATGTAGCTTTCGATCGAAGATTTCAGACAGCCCACGTGGCAGATGGTTTAATACCGCTAAGATGTCATTGTCACTCCCCTGTGCGCATAGCTCTTCTATCAAAAGACGCGTCCAGAGGAACCTGTTCAAATCAAATTATTAGCGGTTATTCATGATCAAGTCCTCCTGACTTACATTCCATTAGATCCATCATGAAGTGCGTTGGATATGCTCATGATAAGTGTCGGATCCCCCAGCTTCAACTGTTCCTCATCTAGGCAACGACCGAGAGTCGTCGCAATGTATTGGTCCATGTCAGACTCAACTTTTCTCTCAGTCACGGCAATTTTGCAGTTAGGTTGGATTTTTCTGAACAACTGCCTTTCAAGCCCAGGGCGACCAGTGCAAAGGAGTTTGAGCCCCTTAACGCGAGTACTACAGAGTTTCGCTATGCCTTGCGCAACCTGTTGAATCTCGCTACCGTCACACTCATCAAGACCATCGAGGACGATATAATATTTCTTGTCATCTTTGAGGTGAGTTAATAAGAACTGAATAGTCTCAGCCGTATTGAGATCCCGGCTATCCTCATATAAGCGTTGTAGACTATGGTTTTCCGCAGCCTCGATCTCTGTGTCCAACAATTGACGAGCAAGACTTCCAAAAATGTTTCTCGCTGACAGAGATGCTTCATAGTCGGGCGAACAGAAGTAGTAAGATATAATATCGCCAGGCTCGCGGGACGCATGTAGATGGGCAACCACATTTGACATAAGCACCGTTTTACCCACCCCCAGAGTACCAGAGCACCAGAGAATGTCTGTATCCCAACGGTCTTTCCAGTGAAGAAAGAGTGGTTCCTTCTGTAGCCACTCAGCTGTAGAGGGAACACGTTGCCGTGAAGCTTGTTTCCAAGGCTTATCGTAATCGATGCTAGAAAGACTATCTCTGATTTCAGATTTCAATTCCGCAGCTTGTCTTTTCACACTGTCGAGTCGCGACTGTTCCGCCTTAGCGTACTCATTTCTAGACTCTTTATGGAATCTCAAAGTGTGTCGACGGAACGCGGAGTTGCCGCGGCTTTCACGCTCAAGAAGACCTTTAGCATCCGCGTTAGCCTTCTTCGAGGCATATGACAGCTGCAGCTGTATATCCTTCACAGCTTCATCAAGCTGATCTAAAAACCGTTTGAATTCGGCCTCGAAGGGATTCCAGATTGAGGATAACATCTGCGTAACAGGCGTCCGTTTTGAGATCTCAATGATCTTGATGCATAACTGGATAATGACGGCATAGTAATCACATAAACTACGCTTGAGACCAACGCAGCCGGGGTACAGATGACCGAATTGCTGATATGTCGGACATGACTTGCCGATCGCCATAATCATACTCGTGACTTTGTCAAAGTACGATGCGATATTGCTTGCTGTCAAAATTGCCGTCTTGATGCCTCCCCATACTAGAGCAGCGATTTGAGGATTGGAACTGACAAATGTATCCACAATGCTACTAAACTGTTGTGTCGCCTGTAGAAAGGTGTGCAATCTTGGCGCTACACATCTTCTTGCCGTGCTATTTTTGTTGGAATCGATCTCTGCGACGAATGCGATGACGCTCGCGGCATCTGGCTTCGTAGTACTTGTCTGATACTGTTGCTTTTGGTCGTCTGTCAGGATGTCCTCGAATTGCACCAAGGCTTGCTTGAGAGATAATGTGGGGTCCGGCGCCCGTATTTTATTTGAATGATGTGAGATTGCAGAAGACATTGGGGGTTCTATGCATCCGGTTTAAGGAGACCTGGAATTGCCTCTGTGAATTATAGATAATAGACAAGGCCAAGTTCAATTGAACAAAGGAATGCCCCAAGTGAGGAGGGGAGTGGCTGTGTTAGCCACACTGCCCTGTTAAGGCAGCGGGCGAGAAGTGTCTCGCGCATATTCACGCTAGTCGTAATTATTGTATTTGTTTCAAATGCATACATGGTGGAAAGGTAGGCGGTAGCAATTGAACTCGCCTATAGGTCTTGATATTGCATGCGTTAATGAAGGTCATCCTAGACCTCCGCAAAACCCATAAATCCCACAACCCAACCCAACCCAACCCACTAATGGGCTAGGTTTTGGGCCTGGGTCGGGTTGGGCCTTAAGGCCGAGCCCATAGCCCACTGCTGGTTGGGCTTTGGGCCTGGGGTTCGGGCCCATTTGTGGGCTGTGCAGAAGTCTAGGTCTTCCACAGTATGATTATCTCGTTTATGGCTCTTTCTGCCCATAATCTCCACCGGTCAGAATGTAAATGATGCAGAGTAGAAGAGGGAGAGAAGAGTAGTTAGTAGTCGGGATAAATGTAACAATGAAATCCTAATTCTCATTATTCTCTTCATCACTATCAAAGACTTCCTCATCGTCATCATCTTCTTCTTCCTCCTCATCACCATCTTGATAATCCTCATCTTCTTCCTCATCCTCCTCTTCCATAGCAGCATCCAAGTCCAGAACCTCATACCGCATAGCATCCCCATACAAAACACAAATAGCGCGCCGTCCCTTCCGTCCATTAACATCAACATGCATAGGTCGCGCCTTGGGGCCATGCAGAGCAAAGCGATGTACAAGGACGCCCACGTGAGGTGATTCAGGCGAGAGATCTAGTGTTGTAGCCGATGTAGTAGGTTTGAGAGCGGATGACATGCTATCACACTCAATGTAGTCAAGCACCAGAGGTAGTTGGTCGGCTGCCTCGCTTTGGGGTTGTGTTGAGGCGGGCTGGAAGGGGAAGTTGAGGAGACTGGAAGATCCTTCTATTTGATAGATTGTTAGATCGTGGATATAGATAGAATAGAAATGTGATATTTCATGACTTACTGCCGTCGCGCCAAAGCACCATAAGTGTGTTGTCATTGACGAATTGGAGTTGGCGGGCTTCGCCGTTTTGGAGGTCGAGGATTGCGAGAGATGTACTTCTTGTTGAGCTGACGCCGCCGACTGAGTTGAGGACGACGCGGTAGAGATAGACTAAACGGTATAAGTGACTGGAATTTGAACAGTGATTTTGTACGAACCTCGATTTTTTGATGTGACTGATCGCGTGGCGACGTATATCGAGCAAGGATGGTCTTCCATGGCATCCTATGGCGCAAGTTAGTTAGTGTAGGACGAAAGCAATCTATGTCAAACTCACCTCGTAGCAGAAAGTCAAATCGGTAACCTCTTGGTCGCAGTCAGAGTGAAGCGTCAAAGGTGAGCGATGGAGAATTCCCCTGCGTTGAGTCAAGGCAATATCTGCGAAGACCTTCTCAAACTGGACTCCTAGACGTCTCGTCAAGTCATTGAGCTTAGGCGTCTCGACCGATGTACCATCACCACCTTTCTCCCGAGCCTCGCGTTGCTGCTGAAGCAGTGACTTGTATGTGTCGAAGAACGAGCGGTCGTGGCCACCTGGAAGCCACTTATCAGCGGGAGGAGCAGGGGGTGGAACAACTCCGATCATCGGGAGTTGGCGGATGAAGTTCCGTAGAGCACTCTTGGTCAGTGCACCTTTGATATACTTCACAGTAGGAGGGACATCAAACAAGTCTCTCTTCTCCTGCATCTCTTCTAGTGTTTGCGACAAGGGGTCGCTGTTAAGAACCTGAATTTCTTGGCGAAGCCATCTGGAGAAAGCGGCGAATTGACCCAGTTCCTCGTTGGCATGAGTGAGAACACGGTGCGCAAGAAGATGGAGACAGTCAAGTGTCTCCACAATGGCATTGAGTTTGGTCGTGTCCAGGCCAAGGACATCACTTAGCTTATGGAATTTAGATAATCCAACCAATCGACTTAGAAGCACCTGACTGCGTTCCAAGGCTGGAAGGAGACATTCGTGTGTCAGTCGTCGGATATTCTCATAGCCACCCGAGACAGCCTTATCCCATCGCTTGTGGCCCTGTATCGTTCATTAGCAAACTATCTCCCAAGTAGCAAGGCTCACATACTCTATCTCCAACAATATCAATGAGGAACTCTTTCATGGGCTCAAAGCAATGACCAGTGACCACCAGGTGATAGATAGCAGTGATAAAATCACACTGGCATTTCTCCCGCAAGTCCTCATTAACACTGCGCAAGAACCGCGCAGGAAGTTCCTGGGCATTCTTCCACTCAAGCTCAATCTGCCGCTGCACCTGACCAATATACCGCAACAAATTCTGAAGCTGAGTAGTCTTCGACGCAAGAAGAGACAAATACCTCCCAGACTTCGTAATAAAGCGAAGGTCCATAGTAACAAGCTCAAGCGGACCTCGAGTATCTCCCTTGGCCGGCGATACCAGCAGAGCATGTGTAGAGCTTAAAGGATGCGAGGCATGCCGCAAGATACGACACGAGTCGGACACACCCGTGGAGCTTCCCACAGGGAAAGAGCCAATCTCAAAGCAATCAAATATGCGCAGGTGGACGGTTCCATCGTTGAACCCGACAGAAAGCACATCGACCGAGTCATTGGTATCCCTCGAAGAATGGAAGATGGCATCGAGGGACGCCCGCGAGCTAAAGACGTCGTCTTCGCCTCCTGTTGCAGGCAGAGTGCTCAGCTTTGGTAACGAGCTCTCAATATCCAGCAAGGCAAGTTCCCTCGGTAAATCTGCTTTAAGCATCTCAGTCGCCTTGGAGGGATAAACTCCTGGGGCTAAAAGGTCGTCGACGGATATCTGGCCCGCGGACTCATCCAAATGCCGCTGTGCGGCTTTGCTATCAGTGAAATTAACGCCCCACCCGACGCATGTGGCCTTGGGTGTCGCTTTTTCATTGGGATTGGAGTCCTCTTTCTGCTGGTAGGTCTGGTAGTGGTGCACCGTCTTCCCAGTGTACGAACTGATGATGCGGAGTGAGCCATCTCCACACGCGACAGCGAGGAGGCGACCTGGTGTAGTGTTAGTAGATGCGTGGTATCAACTAGCAAGGCGATAAAATCTGATTATAGACAGATACACGTAGTAAAGCCCGGCGAAGAAATTCAAACTCACCATTCCCCTTCCATGCCATCCCTCTAATCTCGCCATCCTCTTCATCCTCGCCCAGGTACGGATCTCCACCAAAAGAACCCCCGAACACGCGCTGTCCGTTAAGTCGGAATACGCGCAGTTCCTCGTCCTCGGTTGCCAGCGCTATCAAGTCCATCGTGGGACAGTACGCCACGGCCTGCGCCTTGCATTTTGCTGGTAGGGACTTTTCCCCGACGGGGGTCAGTTGGGGGCCCTCGGCTGCCATTATGGGTGTTTCTTTCTCAAGATAAATAGCACATTCAGCCCATTCTTATTTTGGAAACATCAGAGGTTCAAGAATTGAGGTGTGGCGCTGTTCTTTTTCGACTGAAGCTGTTGATCGCGGGTGGATACAGAGGGATTCTTGGCGCGTTTTGGTGTTCCAATCTGTTGGTATGGGACTCACCAACTTCACTCTGGAGTTTATACTGGCTTCTACTATCTACTTAGGGTTGAATTTATAAATTGGAAATCATTTTCTTTCAATGTATGTTCTTTGATTTTATCTCTATTGAGAGCTAAATGATATGTGCGGAGTACAGAGCCTCCATACTGACGACCAGCGCCAGTAATATAATAGAAACAATAAAAATACGAGATGAAAGTCTCTGATGGGAATTCTCTCATCAAAATGGAGCCCCATCCATGTCAGCCTGGATCAAATTCTTCAGATAGCTGAGCTCATCAATCAACTCCTGCATGGTAGCATTCCCTTGGAACGAGGCATTGCTGCGACGCGAGCGAATGCGCTCAAGGGAAGTCTCGCTCACTTTTCGCTCTGCGATAGAGAGATTTTGCTCCATATCAGAGCCTCTGGGGACTTCAGGGAGCAGAATCGGGGAGCCATTGGGGCTGCGCGACAGCGCGAGAGCCTCCATGGATTCAATGGCGCTAAATAGGGCAGCGTGGCGCTTAGGGTTGCTTTCCACTTCATCCATGCTATCGATGCCCAGACCGGAACAGTCGAGGCCGGGTGTGGACAGGGAGACGGTGAGTTCAGGGAGATCGATGCTCCAGGGAGGGAGTTCTCCGGATGCTGAGTTCGGAGACGAGGGTTTGGAGTAGACAGTGAGGTGGGGTGTATTTGGGTCGGTATTAGTTGCGCCATCGCCAGACTGTGAGAGGTCGGGTGTTCTCCATCTTTCATCGGCCGACTCATCCTGGTGCTGGTCTGATGCGGAGGCCGATGTCATCGATTCGCGCGGGTTGTAGTCGGTCTCGGTGTCCGTGCTCCATTCAGAGAACCGGCTGCATTCAGGCACCACGGAGTTGGTAGAGTCGATTGTTGTTGCTGTCATGCTGGAGAAGTAACTGCGCGGGATCTCGGCATCCATCGCCTTGTCTCTCTCGTCGATGGCGCGAACGGCTTCATCCATGACTGATGATGGTGTGTTTGGGAGTGTAGGGAGCCTCTTTTCTTTAGTGAAGCCGGCAGTTGGTGTGGGTAAATCACCAGAGCTAGCGATATCTTTCAGAGCTTCCCTGATGGCACGATTTTCGTCAAATGCCGCGGTACTTCCGTTTGCGCTGCGGGAAGGACTGCGCTTTCGGGGCTCCGGACGCGTCTGCACTGTGAGAAGACGGCCCGGTGTCGTCTCGCCAGCGCTTGTTTTCATTGCGCGGCGACTTTGAATGGTGGAGGGACCAAGTTTGTCGGAAGAGCTGGATGGAATCGCAATGCCAGCATTGACCTTGATTCCAGGGATATTGCGACGGTTTTCAATTTCTTTCTGCGGCGGTACCAGTTTGGGAGCATTCACTGGTTGCACTGGCTCGAGCTTTCTATCCGCTTCGGCGGGTTGCCTTAAAGCAGCCAGAAGGGCTCGAGCCCTCGGAGGAGACATAGAACGTGAATCTTTCTTGTGGCCCTTGCGACCGTTACTCCATGGCTGAGATGCACTCCGATAAATTCCAGTCATCGGAGATCTGCTCGAGGAGTGCGCGTGGCTCGGCTCACGGTGGGCTGGTGCAGCTGTCTGAAGTCGAACAGGCTGGGGCGGCGGCTTCCGCGGATTCATAAACTTGTCTTCTGGGTTCATGGTCCGAAGATATTCGGAGTTTTGGGAACTGCCACTCGCCGAGCGTCCATGTGAGTAGCTGTCGGGTAAAATGATAGGGACATGTAACACATTCATGGGCTGTCCTGGAAGAAGCGGGCACATTGTGGTCGTTGGCTCTGCCTCGTTGTAATACTCTATATCATCATCGAGCAGGTACTATTTTTCTTCATTAGCTCTGTAATCTCATATCCGTGAATATAAGCCTCACATAATACCAGTATGTACCACCCATCTTCAGACCCCCTGTTCGCCATTGAGTCTTGTCTGGTCCATCGCCTATCATATCGGTAAAGGTGTGGCATCCTTTCCAGTGTCCCGGTCCGACTCGCTTGTCTCTTTCCATCACATATTGCTTCGAGAAATTATCCCATGATCCGAGCAGCTTAACCGATCGGATCTCCGGTTTGGTAATCCTGAATTGCGGTTAGTGCGTGGCGATATCAATTGCATTCGGCACACTCACAGTAGGAAAGTCATGAGGGTAGTCGAGATCATCGCAAAGTAAGACAGCAAGAAAAAGAGTAAACGAGAGGTAATAGCACAGATAAAAAGCAATAAATCACAGAAAGAGAATGCAGAACAATGCAAAATAACCAAAGAAATGCTAAAAGACAGAATCCCAGTAGAATACACGCAAATGCAAGGCAACAAAAGGACAGTCTATAATCAAAAGAAAATAGGCCAGAAGCCCGAGCTCATATAACAAAACAAGGCTCACACTAGCCCCAACACAAAGCCAACTCCACAAAGGCGGTTCTATAATTACAGCCAGTTGGAAGTTGTGCCTGTTTCAGGTTCGAGTGACAGGTCTAAGAATAAATGGTTTCAGGTGTATTCGGGGGCAACGCCGTACAAAATCACCACAAATCCATGGCCTGGACAAGCCCGGAATCAAATGAACAAATAGAGACGGGGGATTGCTTCTAGGAACCGCGACGTAATTTCCCCGACGACAGTGCAAAGCGACAAGGTTGGCCAATGAGAGGGGCGGAATAAGGAAGCGCCGACCACTCGGGTTGGTGATGTTCCTGCGTAGGGGCGGCGCTAAAAAGAGCTGCAGGGTGATAATTTGAAACAGGGGAAAGAAAGAGAATTGAAACGAAAAGGAAACGGTTAAAGACTCGGAGAGGAAAATCAAGAGACAAATAGGTTTTGTGGAAGATCGGCGCGGGGATAATTTGATGATCCAAATTGAGTGGAGTTAAGGGTTTTTAATATTTTGTTGATCAAGATAATCCAAAGTATAACGAAGGGGAGAAAACAAATGTGATTTCATATGTATTCCTCGTTGGATTATGTGGCTTACGATCGTGAGTTCGTCGATCTCTATGCAACGGAGTACTCCGTTCGCACAATTAGCTTGAGGTTAGTGAGATTAGTTTAGATTAAATTAGATTAAATTGGTTTTGATTTAGGCTAGGCTACATTTTACATCTGGTGAATATATCCGAGGACTAGTAAATAGAGTAAGACTATATTATTATAATAAAAATATCTGTACAGAGTACAGAGTACAGAGTACAGAGTGCAGAGTACATACAGGAAGCAGCAAGGGCGAAGAGCCATAACCTGATTTAAGCGCTTAAACAACACACTAAGGAATTTCTCCACCAGGTTTCTATTAATTCTCAGTTTCATATTCAAATGTAAATAATAAAGTAATATGCCTAAAATCAAACTAAATCTATACCTTCTTCCTATCCAACCTCTTATTAACAGCCCCAAGCACAGCCTTCAAAATCCCATCCCCCTCTAACCTCTCCCCATTCCGATTCTTCCAAGAAACAGTATCAACAATATCCCTCAAATGTAAATCATTACACCGTTTCCCAAGATCCTCATCCAATTCCTCCAAATACTTCTGAGCCATCTTATCATTCCCAATCTGAAAGAATTGAATCCCAACCTGCCACGGAATAGCACAACAAGGTCCATCCAACTTCCTAGCAGTCTGAATAATAACACTCTCCGCATCATCCGTAAACTCCCCATCAGTAATCGTAATGATATTAATCGGTGTAACCGACTCTATCTTCCCCCGGTCCAAACTAAAAGCATGATTCTGCGTTCTCTTCGCCCTCTCCGTCTCGACTACCAGATCCACATACGGACCCAGGATATCACGGAGTCGACTCCCGGCTGCTGTTCCGCCGGCGGGTCTGACGGAGGCGAAGATCTCGCTGACTCCTTGCGCAGTTCGGATGTTGTAGTATCCGCCGCCGAATTGTGGACATTTCGAGTTGGAGGTGGTGTAGTTGGGATTGTAGTTGGGGTTTGAGCGATGGTTGATGAAGTAGATATCGATTCCCTCTTTGTCATATGCTGTGCAGACTGGAGCGATTGCTGCGATGGCTTCTCTAGCTTCTTGCCAGGATTTGCCTCGCATGCTTGTGCTGTCGTCGACTAGGAAGATCGTGTGGAATTCGCTGAGGAAGGCGAACTGGGAATCGGATTCTGATTCTAGTTCTTCCGGGGCACTGACTTTGATCGTTGGGAGCTCTGTGTACGGTGGTGGGAGGTCTGATGATTGCTCCAGGGAATTTGTATTGGAGCTACGTGTGCGACCTCGTGTCCATGATGGATAATGTGTTGGTGAGGTGGCTTTTGTGGTCGCTGCTTTGCGCTGCCTGCGTTCTTGTCGATGGCTGGATGAGAGGGAGTGCCATATAGACGTCTTTTCGGAAAACCCCATAGCTGAAGAGTGTATATGGTTTAGACAAAGTGTAGATGAGGAAATATCTGATAGACTGTCTTAGAGGCTAGTCAGATCCTTAAATGGTATGTTCCAAACAGAGGATTTGATTCAGGAAATCACGGTCTTTATATCTACTCCGTACAAGTCCGACATCAACCAGGGGCTCGGCTGTGGAACTATACAAAAAATGGATATAGGGCAGGCCAAGGCACACTTGGGCAGTCAATGACCAACAAAGTTTTACCCTAACGCATTGGTCAAGAATCTAGAAATCAGCCCGAAGGATAAGGCACAAAATCACTTCGGAAATTACAAGGCAGATTGCTTGATTTGTAGCCCTATCATAACTGACAGGGGTAAGCAATCTGGGAATGTTACTCATTGCCATATACTCCGTACAGCCACCACCCTAGGAGCCGGGCAACAGTTAGGTAAAGGAGTCATCGGATGGTTCCAATTTAACCAATCATAGCATACATTTTCTGTGGGTTTTAAAGCGCACAGACAAGGTCCCTTTTGACTGGTGGCGGAGCGAACACCACACAGCCCCGCATACGGCAAATGGAGCACAGGGCGCAGCGTAGTCATCACACGAGGATGACCTCGGGAACTAAAGACCCATGTTAATGTTCTTTCTAGAATCCTATTGGAAGCTATGACTATATAGAGCCTCTAATATTCTTTTGATTGTTTATTAGAGACAGTTGGTGATTCATAATAATAATCAGAACACGAAGCGCCCTAATCCCCTTAGGCTATAACACAAAAAAATACGCAAATCATTAGACATGTACCTAGGTATTAACGCTGTTGGTGCAGGGTAATAAATAACATGAAGGAAAGAACTTGAAAGTAAGGAACAAATGTATCAGTCGCTTTATACCCCGAGGCAAATATCTCCTTTGTGCCCCAATTGAACTAGATATCGCCTTGTCAGATCACACCAACTATACACTTCAGTCCTCTTCCTCGGTCGCAGAATGTAAAACACCAGGATCAGCAGCGACAATATCCGCCACCGCTAACGCCTGATCAATACCCATAGTGTTCCCAATCATTTCCAAACACTTGACCACCCAACGGCGCAGCCCATGTCCGGGTTTCTCAACCACTCCAGCCACAAACAAATGCCAGAGGAGCACAAGACCCCCAATATAACTTTCAGGCGGCGGGAGATTAGGCTCACTCTGTGCCTGGTGGGCGTTCAAGTGAAATGGCACACTACGACAGATCTCCACAGCCAACCGCCGGATCGTTGATCGTAGCGTCCTGCAGTGTAGACGGAACTCTTCGGACAACGAGGCCAGCGAGGAACTGTCGGATATTTGCCGGACGCGCGAAAGGATGATTTCGCTGACAATAATCCGGGCGCTGCGATATTGATTCCACGAATTACAGACCCACTGCGTTGGATACACGTGGTACTGGTCGTCATAAGGTGATATGCCTCGGAATTGCTTTTGGAAGGCAAAGTCGAAGCGAGATCTTACATGGGTTGTATATGTGAATTCCGGTGGAAGAGCTGCCAGCCAGGCAATTAAATCGGCTTCGATGGCTGACGCTGTTGATATGATTTCCCGGTCATCTTTGTATGTACTGGTGCTGATGTCTGCGCGAAGGTTCGATAGTTTGGCAATTATCATTGTTAGACGGTTACCGTGGGCTTCTGCTGGCTGCTGGAGAAACATTGCGAGTTTTGTGCATTCGAGCAGTGACTCGGGCACTCGTGCGTCCCGCTGTAGACAACTGATGATCTGTTGAGGGGTTAGCTTGAGATCGAAAGGGTGGTTGATGACACTCACAATCTGATACCGAAGGTGCAAAAACAAGAGGAGACCGGCATTAGTCTTGAGTTGCTCGGTGCCCCGTATATTGAGCAGGGCTGTTGCTCCATTGATATGGTTGGTCCAACTTTCAATATTACTCGGGGCTCTCGATGTGACCACCTATAAACAGGGGGTCAACAACCATCTGCGGGGTCGAGAATACAAAATATCTTACTTCATATATGGCAAGCAGGATGACGGCGCCTAATGTTTGATTGGTTTTCGCCTCCTCTATGTCGGCTAGAGCGGCGTTAAGCAATCTCAAAGCAGTTCCATACTCCCGACTGGCTACATCTCTAAGCGATGGTAACCGTCTTACTCGCGAGAGCATAGCCGTGGCAGAAGCAACCACGCTTGCCTGCATGGCTCTTTGGCTTGGCGAGCCCCCAGGATGCAACAAAAAATGGGATATCGTATCACTATTCCAGAAAGTGTTGGGGAGGGCATTGGATCGCAGGAAATAACAGATTGCTTCATATTTGGCGGTTTCGAGCTCATACGACGGCTGAACCTCCAATGGGAAATTTCCGAGCTGTCGCATAAGATAGATATGCTGTGGATCGGAGTTGAAATCAAAGTCCGGATCCACTGTCGTACTGAGCTCAGACCGCACTGGATTCCTTTCTGGGATTGCAGTGCGAGGCGATCGCTCCGCTTGTTTATTCTTATATGTTGCCGCGATCGCCTTTCGGACTACCGATTTGCTTTCGTCGCGGAACATTAACGACAGTTGATCCCGATATCCGGGGCAGTCCCGCTTGGCTCTGGTGCATTGCGAACAGGCCGGTTGGGCTTGGTCACACCGGATCTTCCTCGACCTGCACTCGCCACATCCTTTGCTTGGTTTACCACAGTATACCATATTCTGCTGATAAAGTATTGTACATTATCCACAAGTATGGAGTAGAAAAATTGGAAGTCATTAAGGCAGATGTTGCTCAGCCCCATCTGGGCCGCGCTTAACCGCTTCGGGTATGCTTTGCGACCCCAAAACTCCGTTGATCTTACTTAATTACCTTGGAGCTACCTAGGTACATAAGATAACATCTGATAAGGCCAGTGAACAAAAGTCCTACGATATATTCCGTGTAGAAACTAAAAATCACCATGGGCTTGTGTCTGGGGCAATAAATGGGTGGCATGTACAACATAATATATATCCCGGTCCATGCATGAAATATACCCCACCAGAATATTAAAGATCCGAATAGGATTATCGACTACTGTTATTAGTCCTTTTGAGTCAACTAAAGTATCCACATCGAAAGATCCCATGAACTAGGTTGGTCCGAGGTATACAGACCCATGAGCACGGCCAAGATGAGGTATGGGACCTGTATTCTTGGCAGTGGAATTGTTATTGAGTCCTCTATAAATAGTTCTGAGTATGATATGTTTGATAACAGAAATGCATCCAACTTGTAGGGTTTAATCCGTACACACTCGTAATATACTCATTTGAGTTGATAGACACTATGCCGAATGCAAGTTCCAAAACGCCACACTCAAAGAAACAAGACCCTAAAAACTTTTGCTTTAAATTCTCCTTTATTGTATTAAGTATCGAAAGCTCAAGATGCATCCGTAGCGCTTTGTGGCTGTTACTCTGTCGCCTCGGTGGAGGCTCAAAACTCAGCATCGGCCTGGTTCACACGCTTCCTCTTCCCCCTAGAGTGTCCGCGGGAGTCCGACTCCTGCTGCACAAATGCATTGGTTCCATCATCATGCCATTCGCTAAATTCCCACTGGATTGAAGTCGATTGATCATCACTGACTCCCATACCACGCCGAGAACGCATCAAACGACCCAGGCGGCTCCCTTCTACCATCTCTTCGAACCAAGGGATTCCCCCCGTTCTACCATATTGTAGACTCCTTGAGATATTCGGAGATTCATTAGATGACGGAACAATAACCGAAGATGAAGCGGTCTCTGAGGCTGGTGCTAGATCAGATGAGGTCGAGATACCGGCACGGGGAGCTTCCTCATCAAAGTCTTCAGGAAGTAATCTTAAATCGTCCAGTGCGCGCTGGTCATCCGCTAGCAGACTGCCAATCGCCACTGACATAAAATTAGATTCTTCAATGGGTTCCTCCGTCCAGAATGTCAAAGGTGTACCGCAGTAGCCACAAAAGACGCGCTGGGTCTGGGGTGCATGGCGTGGCGAAAAAATGCGGCGAATGGAAGTGTGAGATTCATCTGGGAAGAAGGACTGAGTGTGGGATTGATACCAGGCAAGAGGAACTCGGAGCCATGCTGAAAGAGGTGTGCCATGAAATAGACCTAGGATTCGATATTAGCCGGGAGATCGACAGGCTTGGCTTGGATTTACTCACGATTGTCTCGACTGCTGTCGAAGTACACTTGGGCGTGATCTTGCACGTCGTCCGGAATATTGATTTGGTATGCATTTCGACCGCAAGAGCATGAGCCGCGAAGCGGCTCGAATTCCATGGTGGCACAAGACTTCGGCGTTGGTGATTTGGTAAGGGTGGGCTAGAGCCTGAATGGTTATAGATGAGAAATAAGCGACCAGACAACCGTTTCGTCTAGTAGAAATTTCTATTTAGAGCGAAAACGATCCTTGTTAGAAAAAAGGCGTAGGGATTAAGTTACAAGGCGTGAGAATAAAATTGACATGAAATAAAGAAAAAGCAAGATGTGTTCATTGGACCCTCTCTATGACGTTTAGAGGTCGCCAAGGCCCGTTCCCGGCCTCCAGTTTACTCCGCATTGGGCTTGGGCCTTATCGCTTCCTATCGGTTTCCCGCTTCTCCCTCCTTTCATATTCTTCCATTGTTTACTTGCGATCACATCCCTCATACATGCCTTGCCTCGACAGAGACCCGGAACAACAGCGATAGCGGTTAAACTTACCAATCCAAATTGCGAGCTTCGAACCCTATATATCCTCGGCGCATCTACCCCACGCCCTCATCTCCTCTCAGAATCCCCCAGTCATCAAGTGCCACGATGAATCCGGACTATGACCATGATCGGTCGTCCTCGACACCGAATGGTACATCCAAGCAGGGATCTGCCCAGGACAAGGATAAGCCTCGCCTTACCGATCAAGAAAAAAAGAGCAATCACATTGCCTCGGAGCAAAAGCGACGCGCGGCCATTCGCGAAGGCTTCGACCGCTTGACAGAACTAGTACCTGGTCTGGAGGGCCAGGGGCGGAGTGAGAGCATCGTTTTACAAAAGACTGTGGACTTTATTCACGTGAAGCTGCAAGAACGCCACGATCTTATCGCAGAGATCGAAAGCAAAGGCGGCCGCGTGGACGACTCATTCCGCCCAACATGATTCTTTTCCCCTCGGCATCTCATTGCGCTTTCGATCGGAATTTTGCGACCCCTGTTCCTATCCGCTGGTCGAAATGTGGGATCTGGGGTCACAGGCATGTGCCGAGGTCCGAGCGGTTTTCCTCGAATCTTCGACCACATGGACTTTATACCCACACTACGAATCTCTTTTCCTTGTCTATCCATTCAAACCCTATTTACGAACGAGATCTTCGAAATGATCAACAGCGGGGCTTTCTCGTTATCTGACAGATCTGGTCTTCGCATATAATTCGATGTCAATCACACATCTTCCACCGCGTTCAGTGGGCTGAATGACTGCCAATATGGTGCCACACCATTTGTATTTCTTGTCTTTGTACTTCTTCTGACTATTGTACATTGAAGTTTTCTGTTTCTGGGTTGTTTCTGCTCCTGGGTACCAGAATGTATATGGTCACGGCTGTTGCTGCGAAGCAACTGGGGCGTTTTTCTTTCCCAACGGCTAGTCTGAAATTGAGTTCTTTTCAGCTCTTAATGAGCACACACATGGACCTCCTTATTTCCAACCAAAGTCGGAATTTTTGGACCGACCCGTACTTTGGATCATCACGTGGATAGGGTTACGGAGAATAATTGTAGTGCGGTCTCGGGTTGCCAACCAGATATGAAAGGAGCATATCTTACAGGTCCAGAAAATGAGATAAAATAATTGGTCAATGCAGCGGTGACAAAGTGGTCTCTCAATATAGACATTGCACATGTGTTTTATGGGTTGCTACGGCCATTACATCGATGTATAGAGTTTCGGCTTACCGCCTGGTATCTGCCGGAGAAACCGAGCCATTTCAAGGTGAAGCAACACACACTCTACATTCTACAAAATCCATAACATAGAGCATCTTGTGGACAGTCGGGATCTGCAATTGAATATCCATACATATACTTGCAAGGTCGATCAACTTCACACAACGACCATTTGCATCGACAAGAAAACGGAAAGCGCAGCTGATTCCCCGCATCACATTTCTGCCCGCAACATCCACGACACTCAAAACACCACAACCACAAAACCACCAACATGACAGACTCCAAAGAAGCTCTCCTGTCCCACGCGGAAGTATTTGACACTCCCGAATCCGACCCACCCCCAGCCTACGACAAACCCATCCCCAAAGCCCGCGGGGCACCACTCCCCCGCCCGCCACCCCTCAACCTCCCCGTCCTAAACAACCTCCGCAGCCAGCGCGTAATCCTAGCCTCCCAATCACCACGTCGCAAACAAATAATCTCCTTCCTGGGTCTCCCAAACATCGAAATCATCCCCTCAAACGCCGCCGAAGACCTATCCCACAGCCTCGGCCCATTCGAGTATGTTCTCGCAACAGCAACGAAAAAGGCCCAAGCAGTCTACGAGCAAGAAATAAACAACGAGGCAAAGGGTGAACCAGCCCTAATCCTAGCCGCAGACACGGTCGTCGTCGACCCGTCTACCGGCATCATCCTCGAGAAACCCCGTTCAGAAGCACACCACCTCGCCATGCTGCGCTCGCTGCGTGATGCCGGGACTCACAAGGTCTACACTGCACTTGTGGCTATGGCGCCGTTAGCTAGTGCGCGCGACCCTGGGTACGCGATTGAGAGTACGGTTGAGGAGACCTCTGTGCGGTTTGATGGGGATGTTACGGATGAGTTGATTATGGCTTATGTGCGTACGCGCGAGGGTGCGGATAAGGCTGGTGGGTATGGATTGCAGGGGCTTGGGTCGATTCTTGTTGAGAAGATTGATGGGAGTTATGATAATGTTATTGGGTTGCCGCTTAAGGCGACGCTCAAGATTATTGAGACTGTTATGCGGAGCGCGGATGATGATGAGGGGTTGCTTGAGGATGATGAGGAGGAAGATGAATGAGGGATTGTTGGTATGAGGTCTTAGGATCTCTTGTTTGTTAGCCTTGTCTGTTTATGTCTTTGCACCATCATTACAAGGGAATTAGAAATTAAAGGACTAGAATTCATGTTTAAGGGAACGGTCTTATCGGATAGAAACACTGTATTTATGTATGCCATATTAAATACCTACTGCTAACAATCTACCGCATATTTTGCTATATACTGCAAAGTACACAAAGAATCCGGCTATAGATCTACGTAGTACACATAAAGAGACAAAAAGCACCAAGGATGTCTTCTCGTACAAGGGTTATATTCCGTTCTTTTTTCTATAGCTCAGAAACAACCCCAAGCAGCAGGAATCCGGCACCGACCAATAAATTCGGGCTGAGAGACAAAAGAAAAATAATCAACAACATATACAGAGGCGGAACGGAACGCCTGGATAGACCAGAACCAAATCGGTAATCAGTGGGAAAAAAGGAAATAAAAAGACAATATGTCTGAAAAAAAGAACCGCAGCAACACTCTATGCTGTCCAGATACGACGCAGAGCCTCAGTCACACCAACATCGTTCGTCTCGAACTCGTACAGACCAACAGCGGTGGTGAGGGTGAACGCGCGCAGGAGCCAGTTGCAGGTGGCGCGGAACTTGGGCACACGGGAAGGAGGGAAGTAATCGACAATGGCGGCCCTGGTAGAGATATGTTAGATTGCGATTTCCGGATTGCAGATCTGGAGAAGATCGGAGGGGAATAGCGGGATAGCGCGGGGAAGCTCTTACTGGAATCCGATGTGCGAGTGGGCGACAATCAGAGAGCACAGGATGGCGTCCATGACAGGGTTGAGGGAGCCGGCGGCGAAGGGAGCGACGCTGAGAGGGACCAGGCCGACGCAGACCAGTCTGGGATAGATGTTAGTCGGGTTCTTCTTTTTCATCGCGCATGTCGGGCTGGTCGGAAAGAGTTGAATAGGTCGGCATTGTAGTGCGCGAAAAGGAGCACAAACCTCTCAAAAGTCCAGTGGTAGCTGCCCTCAGAGGGGTGGGTTTCGGGAATGGGAGCAGGGTCGTTCACTATCGGAACAGGTTAATATCGAAGAATCCACGGGTGGTATTGCGATTCGATGGGAAGCATTGTTTAAGCGCTGAGAGCAACGGAGACTATATATCTCCACATATTGCAGGCGGTTTTATACTCAATGCTGTCGAAAGCGAGGGGAGGGCCGGGATAGGAAAGGCGCGGAAATCACATACTGGTTCCCTCAACAGTCTCTGTGTCGCGAGAAGCACGTTAGCAACTACTCATAAATAACACCCAATAGATCTCTCCATTGGCAGTAAGCCTCGTGGCAGGACCTCTACTTACGAGGCAACGGGGGCAGGATCTGCTTCTTAGCGGAGGCATGGAAAGCGACGACCTGCGACACGCCGACATTCTTCTGGAGGAAGGGCCGGGGGCCGAGAGTCTGTCGCAGCAGAGATGAGCGCGCGAATGAAGCCATTGTGAGTGGAGAGTATGGTCGTGAAGAAGCAGAAACGCCGTTCGAATACAAGCGGATGAAGTTGGAGACCTCGGGAGTCCGTCTCGGTATGTCATCCTTTTACGGGCCAGTTGATTGGTCGATGGCTGTCCGCCCAGCCGAAATTGGCCGATGCTCACATTTAGCCCTGCAATTATCTTGTCTACAAATGTATTTTTGAGGCATACATGGAGTTGATATTAATGTTGGTTCTATTGTATGTTCTTATTTTGTTATATGCAATGTTCATTTCATTTGCACTACTAATTCTCAAAGGTATTCATCTTATTTATATATTGAAGAGTCCTAACCGAGGTATGAAATACCTCCTATGTTTAAACAAAAAAATTAATGCTGCAGACATCCCATTATTTCATCAGTCTCATAAAGCACTTAGAACTTGAGGACAGCCTTGCCCAGGTTCTTGCCGTGGAAGATGCCAACCAGGCCATCGGCAGCGTTGTCAATGCCCTCAGTCTCATGGATGAGCACCTTGAATGAGCCATCCTTGATCCACTTCTGCACATTCTCCTGGTGCTCCTTGGCGTAAATATCACCCATGCCCTTATCACCAACGATGAAGCCGCGCATAGTGATACGCTTGACGAGAACATTGTGGATGTTCTTGATGGGGTAAGGGGCAGCGTTGTACTGGGAGATCAGACCGCAGACGACGATACGGCCGAAGTCCTTCATAGCATCGAGGGCAGCCTCGAGGTGCTCACCACCAACGTTCTCGTAGTAGATGTCAATACCCTCGGGGGCGAGACGGGCAAGGGCAGCAGCGGGCTTCTCGGTCTTGTAGTTGAAGCCGCCATCGAAGCCGAGAGTCTTGGTGATGTACTCGAGCTTCTCGTCGGTGCCGACGGATCCAATGACGCGCAGTCCCTCGTGCTTGGCGAGCTGGCCGACCAGCTGGCCGACGGCTCCACTGGCAGCGGAGACGAAGATGGTCTCGCCCTTCTTGGGCTTGCCGATCTCGTACAGAGAGGAGTATGCGGTCAAACCGGGCATGCCCAGGGGACCGAGGAAGACACGGATGTCCTCAAGGCCGAGGGGGTTATCCAGCTTCTGAATGCGGACCAGCTCCTGCTCGCCGAGGGCGATGTATTCTTGAATAGGAACGTGGCCAATGACCAGGTCACCTTCCTTGTAGGTGGCATTGTTGGAGCGCAAGACCTTGGCGACGGTGCGGCTGTCAATGGGCTTGTTCAAGGTGAAGGCGGGGGCGTATGACTTGATGGAAGGGTCGCGCATACGGCCGCGCATGTAGGGGTCGAAGCTAGTGTAGAGGGATTGCAGGACGACACCGTTGTCGGGAGTGGCAACGTTGGCATCATAAGCGGCGGTCTCGACGGCGACATGCTCCCCGGGAATGGGGAATCCCTGGGGGATTTTCTTAAAAGTGAGAGCCTTGTTGACAGACATTGTGTATATGTAGAGTATGAAAGATAAAGATGGGAAATAGGAATTTACTGTGAAGTGGGAGCTCTTTATATATGTATGACGATTGAGCTCTTCAGTGAAGCGGGGCTGTACCGAGGATACAATCTTTTTTTCCACTTTGCTTTTATTACCAACCTAACTCGGAGAAGCTTCTCGAGATGGTGATGCTCCTGTCGATAGACTCCACTTTCATGCCGATTTTTTATATGCATAATTTGTATGCTCCTAGCGCCTATTCAACAGTTGTACTATGAACACATAATGGTGGCAATGGGTCCGGTTTTTCTTAAAAAAACAGTGGGGAACGGATGAATTGAAGACAAACTGGGCCGACGGAGACAGCCATATTCGGCAGGAAAACCGTGACCCTCGGCATACCAAAGGGAAATAATTGTTGATTATTATACAAGCCGATAAAAGCAATGATTGTTAAGCAACGTAGATGTTCGTCATTATAGAATAAAACTGGTATAGAGGTATATCTTGGACCATTATACATTGACCTATGAGTTACTATATCCGGTTAGCTTTTAGTGTTCCCGGCTTAGCGCCTTGATACCCTGTAACCTTCTTACCCTGTAACCTTGTCAACCTCTCTCTCGCCCCATAAAAGATATGACCTCGCCCTTTTAATCTCTTTTCTCCTCTTAACTCCTCTACCTTGTACGGAGTACTTATCGACCCCTTTCTGGTATCCCCGGCCACTCCGACTGCAAACCCATGCCCTGATCACAGCGTCACCTATCGAATGGAGAAGTGGCTGATAGTGCGGGCAGGGCAATGATTATTCCCGAGGGAATGTCCTAATTTGTGTGCAGTCAATGAATTCAATACGAAGTAGAGGGAAAAATTGTAAAACGGCCAGGTCGTGCACGAGACAGATGAGGCAGATCTGGCATGCATCGCGACGTGGGGGTCCAAACGGAAAGGTTACCGATGTGCCCGAAGGGTCATTGGCAGAAATCCTGGAAATGCGCATTATAATCACGACATATCACGCGGCGAGTATCATGTGAGATATCATGAAAGACGGCCCCTGAATAATAATCTGGGGTAAACAAAGAGATTTGGTGTTTGACGCCATGTCCAAACGACGTCTTCTTCGGCGAGAAGTCACCTACTCAGATGTAAAAGATGAGGAACTCAACATCCTCCCCCAGCTTGACTATTATGCTAAACAGGTTCAATTTTTTACTCACCTTCGCGATAAAAGCGACTGGATGAGGGCAGTTGTTGCCCATCATTTAAACTTGAGTTCACCCGATGTATGCGAAGTTTCGGCAATTGAAGATTGGCTTCATGGTAGCTTCAATCTCTGCGTGCCGATAACCATTGGCAGCCAGCAAAACAAGCGAGTTCTTCTCCGGTTCCCTCTGCCTTACCGTGTCGGTGAGGCCTACAATCCTGGTAATGGCGACGAGAAAATCCGCTGCGAAGTAGGGACCTATGCTTGGCTGCAAGAGAATTGTTCAGAAATACCAATACCCCAGCTTTATGGCTTTGCCTTATCGTCCGGGGAAGTGGTATGTAGCGAATAAATCCTGGTGTCCAGGAGAACCCACTAATCCTTGCCAGTTTACTCTTCTCGGATGTTTGCCTTTATTCTCTCGTTATCTCTGTCTCGCCCGCCAGAAACTTCTATCGTGGCTGGGGAAACCTATTCCATCAAATTATACCCGTCATCAGTACAGCAACGCTATTTCCATTGGGGGGCTGGCCGATATTGGCTACATTCTGGTCGAGTTTATCGACGAAACACGAGGAGCGATGCTCTCCAATACGTGGAAGGAAGGGCGACATGACCTGAAGCTACGAACAACCCTTTTCCATGATATTTCTCGAATTTTTCTTAGTCTCTCTCGAACACCGCCCCCCAAAATTGGCTCGCTAACAATCGACAGCTATGGGTTTTTGAATATTGCAAATCGACCGCTTTCAATTGAAATACAGCCGCTAGAGAATGAAGGGATACCCACCGATATACCTCGTGATTATACCTACTCAACTGTTGACTCATACGTGATTGATATATTGGGAGCTCACGATAACCGATTTCGCCATCAACCAAATGCTGTTAATCATATCGGAGACTGTGCTTACCAGCTCTCCACGTTAACTGCTTTGCGAACAGTTTTTCAGTCAATTTACAATCGGAGTTTTCGAAGAGGTCCATTTGTGCTTTGTTTCACCGACCTCCACCAAAGCAACATCTTTGTCGATGAGCAATGGCATATAAAATGTCTCGTGGATCTTGAATGGGCCTGCTCCCGACCAATCGAAATGATGATACCTCCCTTCTGGCTTACAGACCAGGGCGTGGATGAGATTGTTCCTGCGGAATACGATCTCGTCCGTCGAGAATTCATGGAGGCTCTAGTCACCGAGGAGGAACTGACTCAGCAGAAGAATCATGATGGATCTACACCGTTGCGTCTCTCAGGGATTATGAATCGTGCGTGGGAATCGGGTGCATTCTGGTACACAGTGGGGATGTTAAGTCCCTCGGGGATGTTCTACATCTTCAACCACCACATCAAGCCTTTATTTTGTAAGGAAAAGTACGATGATGAGTTTGGTATCATCATGCCTTTCTCTTCGAAAAGAACGTGGGAAGTATAGCAGGCCGCAAGCTTGCGGACAAAGAGAAATACGACAAACATCTTCGGCGCGCCTTTGAGCACTATGCGGACTATCTGTCTAAATGATTGTTTCTCTTTCCCTTCGTCGTTCGAAACCTGCTCATGGACTGCTTCGTCTAAAGCTCCCATGATTCTTTTCTTCTGGTTCCCGTCCCTCTTATTTTATGCCGCCACTCCCGAGGAGCTGAGCTGGTCAGTGTAGCTTGAGAGTAGGTCCTGTTACTTTTACTATACCTTGAGGTCATTAAATTGAAAGAGCGATATTTGTGGTGATTTTACAGGCGTTGAGTAGTCTGCCTCGGGTAGGAAGAGCGCTAGATTGTTGAGTATTACGAATACTGCATGTAACCAGCGTCGATTTCATCCTTGTAACCGCTATCATTATTTCGCTGAGACACTCGCTTTAAGGAAATTATGTATTAAGTACATGAGTATATAGTCATCGCCAGAATATGTATGAGCAGTCCAAACCGAAAATGCGCGAAAATGAATACATCTAACCATGTCCAGGGATAATCTAAGCCTTGCCAGCGAGTGCGCCAGCGGCCTTATCAATGAAGTAGTGCTTGCCCTTGATCATCTTGACCATGAAGCTGAACGGCACGAATCCAAACATCTGACCAGTACCACCAGCTTCACCGACAGGGACGACCATCAAAATGCTATCGCCCTGGTCGTAGGTTTTGATCGCAGCGCCGCCTACAATCGCAGCTTTGAGGTTGGCAGCGGCCACATGCGCCTGCTCCACAGCCTTGAAACTGAGACGCATTGAGTTGTTGGTGATATCACCAGCAGCAAAGATAGGCAGAGCCGACCCATCAGTCGACTGAACGCGCATCTCTTTGTTGACCGTCACCCAGCCGTCCTTGTCCAGGAATTCAGCTGGGATAAAGCTGTTGTTGGGGTTGGCACCGGTAGTGGGGATATACAGGTCAGCCGAAATCTTGTCTCCGCCTTCCAGAGAGACTGTCCAGTTGGAACTATCGTCGGCCGGAGTCTCGACGCCAATAACTCGCTTCGAGGTCACAATCTTGACCTTCTTTTGCTGTAGCATCTTGCGTGCGGCAGAGCTGGCGGATGACTTAAGCATCGGGAGCACGCGATCTGTTGCTGAGATAAGCGTGATCGAGACCTTGCCGGCATTGCCACTTTGTTCCACTGCTTCAGCAAGCTCACCGGCCAGCTCAACGCCGATTGGGCCTGCACCGCCAATCACGATCTCCTTCGCGCCAGCGATGTGTCCCTGTGCTGCTTCGATCAGCTCCTCCATGTCATTCTGGTTCGACGGCTTGAATGGGATGGAGGTGCCGGTGAGCGAGCCAGTGGTGGCAGATGTTGTGCTACCCGAGGCGATAACGAGATAATCATATGATAGAGTCTTGGGCTCGCCCTCGTTGGGTGTCACGGAAACTGTCTTGGCAGCGGGATCGATAGCAGTCGCAACTCCAGGGAGGAACTCAAACGCGTCGGGCCGGTAGCTTGCAAAAGCATCCTTAATTGGGAGCAAATACTGCTGGGGGCGGAAGGCCTTGGGTTTGGCGAGAATGCGTGGGGCAGCAATATTCCAGTAGTAGCTGGTTGAGGGGTTGATCAGCACAACCTTTGCATCGGGTACATCACGAAGCACAGAGTGAGCAATATGAAGGCCTGCAAATGAGCCTCCAATGACGACTATGTCAATAGGTGCCATGATGTAGAGTGGAGTGGACAGGGATGAGTTCCTTGTTTTGTTTTGGAGCAGGGACGGGATGTTTTTATATGTGACAGATTAGATCTCTTATCCACCTTAATGCACTTAATTTCTTACTTCTTGCCCTTCCCTTTTAGTGCATGGACCTCGCCGCTTTTTGATCTCCGGGTAAAATTGAGCACGCCCCTGAACACCCCGGAGTCCGCTCACAAATCATTCCAAAATTATTATATAAGCTGATTAAGCATTCATAACTAATCTCCAGTCCCGGTTGTCTCACATCTGCTGGTGATCATATTCGCAATTTGGTTTGTTCACAGAGGAAGCTCACAGAATAAGATCACAGTGGAGAATTGAATGAACTGAGTACAGCATAAGCCACATCAATAAAATGCATACGAATGCTGCCCATACTATTTCTTCCTTTTGCACGCCCTTGCATCAGGCCAACGATGCTCTAGCCGAGCCTGCACGTCCAAACCCATACATGGCTAATGTAGTTTAATGCAGGCCAAGCCATTGCTCTAGGAACTGCTGGTCTAATGGCTTTATGACCAGGCTTCCTAACGAAGCTCTCTTGGCGGTGACTTGGCAACATATTCCTGGGCAGTGGAATCAACTCTTTATGGCCGCAAATAAAGCATGTTATATCATGCAATCGCAGTAGGTCTACCTCATCGTAAGACTGGCATCTCTTCTTGTTTATTGATAGGCGTGAATTCTTCGCTGGAGGAGCCGAAGGCCCAGCGGACAACGTTGATGAAGAAGAAGACACCGCTGAGGGAGACAACCAATTGGCTTTCTTAAGGGTGCTGTTAGGGAGCCGATCTCGATGTTTCCATTTTGATCAATTATGTTGTTCATTTGAGTGGTGGTGATGGAATGTTGGAAGATGCAGAGACCCAGACTGACGTCCGTTGAAAGATCACCCTCCTCAGTAATTATTGGCTACTTGCATCACGACCGAGCAATCTTGATTCCTTTTTATTCTTCTATATAAATTTCTGGCCCGTCACCGTCATTGCTGCTGGCATTAATTGAGAATGTTAGTTCATGTATAGGCCTCAAACCCTGAAGCAGCACACTAGGGCCTTTCTCAAAGACTATGTAGATAAATATATGTACACATGCATGTATCGACTCATATAACGTGCTGAAACTGCCTGAGAAGACCACCGGAGAGACCGTTGAAGAGACTACTGAAAAGATGTCACAAGGCCACCTATGCAGCCGACTATTCTTGTAGTCAAATAGAGATGTAGAACTTTTTAGACCTAGATAAGTACTAGACTGTCTACCAAGCCCTAGAGGTATGAAAGTACCGCAAATTCTGTGACGGATGGCCTTAAACTCTTTCTCATTTCTTGCCTACTCCTTTCACCATGCCTGGAATGGAACCCCATCTAGTCCTTTCCCATGACTGGTGAAACAATCACCACTCCCTCCGGACTCTATTCTTTACTCCCGTCGCAACTGGATCATCGTCGAAAAACTGAGTGAGCATCCAAGCCCTGTTACTCCAGAGGACTTACGCTATGGCATGATCTTGTATATGCCGTTGGAGATATCCTTGTGGCCTTGCAGGTGCCGAGCAAATTCTCAGCTTCCTACGTATTTACAAACAAATCCCTGTGACTGGCATCGAAGTTGACAGCTCGAGCGTTCGACAGGCACAGGCCTCGAAGCCATACCACGTGGAGCTGGATGCCTTGAAGCCTCTCACCGAAAATGGGTGCACTGCTACCCCTGCTTTTCTCGGGTATCGAATCGACAAGTAGGACGCAAATTATCTTGGAAAAGGAAGACCACCTCAAATAGTAGCTTATTTACAAACAAATATTATGATCAGAGGCTTCTCTGTTGGTAAAATCACACCCAAATCTGTAGCATTGGCTTCCGGGTGGCGATGGCATGAGATGTCGACATGCCAATAGCCCTCCATATGCTCATGAAAACCCAGAAAACGAAAGAGTACTACCAAGCTCAAAGACACCCTCATCCTTCTTGACGTGTTCCTTGACCAATTCCTCTCTCAGCTCGAGTGCCTCTCCCATATCCATTTGCGTCGCAGACTCAGCGCCGTCGCCTTTGATCCAATCAGGCTGCTGGGGTGGAACGTTCCATGTAGAGCAAAGCCGGTAGGTCGGATCGACAAGAGACAAAGTGAGAAAACGGCAGTGACCGGGCTTGCTCTTGTCCTGAAGCTGTAATGGGCCCGTTTGGTGCTGGAAAGCGTTAGGGAAGGAGATTAGGCGACCCGGAGGCATTTTAACCTCACCGAGTTGGGGATTGTCCTCCGACCGGGATTTTCGTTCTCCCATAGACAAGAGGAAATAAAGACGGATCGACGATATTCACCACAGCTGACTCTGACTTCTCCCGAATGGCTTGCTGAGATAACAGCCCGACAAAATCCGACAGCTGTTAAATCAGATCAGAAGAGATCGCCGTATCGGATTTACAGACGCCACTCCTCGTATTGAAGACGACCAAGCGGCCGTCTCGGTCGAACTGTCGTGCCTTGTCTTGCAACTCTTGCAAGCACCAGTCCCATGTTTTGTCATTGATCAGCGACGACGATGCAATGGCGTCTTCTCGCCATTGAGTGATAATTTGCTGGTCAAAGATGGCACGGTGCCAATCCGGTCGGTCGGTGATGGTATTGATTATATTCAGCATGGCCAGTTCTTTGGCCGTGAGAATGGGACCATACCAGAGTCATTTGCCCCCGTGGCGAATCGATCTCGGGAGAGTAACACATTTATGGGAAGATCATGGAGGCCGGGGACTCTTAGCGAGGTTGTTTTATTATCCAAGGGAGTTTAATGACCCAGTCATTCTCCAGTGAAATGGTGACTTAGGCTAGGAATGAAGAAGACCGAAGAAACCTTTAAGAATAACATGACAGAAGGCATCAGACCATACATCTCCAGTAATAGGGTAAAGCCATCAAAAAGTCGCGAAGTAAACAGTGGGGTATATTGCTTCTTCGGTTGTGGAGTATTGGAGGTCCACTGGTAGATTGAGTGCTTAGTGAGTCCGAGCCCGTACTGAAATTTACTCAGCCTTAGCGCCCTCATAAAAGCGGCGGCAGTTAGGATGGGAAAGCCCCACAGGAATTGAAGTATATTGACATATTATGAGATTCTTAGAAAAAAAAGTGTTGGTCAGCGACCTCGAAATTTCTAATCACTTACAAACCCCTTGCTTGTCAAGCTCTACCTTAGGGTTTACTTTTGAACCTTGAAGAGTTTGGCATGTTTGACCTGTTTGTTTGACACGTGAAAGTGGGACCTATAGAAGGCGGCATCTATGTATGGACTAAAGGTACATATGATGTCTTTTCAGTGGTCTTCCCAGTGGCATGTTTAATAGTCTTCTCAGATATCATTCTTCTTAAATAGGTCGACGGCGCAAAAAGGCGGAAAAAGGCTTAATTCGTGCAAACGAACATCTAGGTACTTTGGTTTGGCCCAATATTTCGGAGGTCTTGTACAACATCAAAAACATGAGGGAAAGATATCTAATTATGCATGGCATCGATAAAGCCATAGATCATATGCTTCAAGCTAGCCCCGCAAAACTATTTATTAGTGTCAGCTACTTCCAAGTTGACGCAACATTCAAGCGGGTCGAAGTCTTTCCATAGAGACTACCAACACGAGCATACTATGAGTGAGAACCAGTGTATGTTGCTGGGACATGGATGGAGTACATAAAAGAAGATGGCCATTTTTCCGTGATTCGTAGGTTACTCCCACACGGTTACCACGTAAACACCTCGCGACCATTCTCTCTGTCTGTATGCCATCCTACCAACATTGCCCAGGTAAATTCATGGCTTGATCACATCAATGGGTTAGATTGATCGCAACAAAGTTCACCCGACCTCAGTCAAAACATGGTAGGTCTGACATCCATATTTAAAGGAGAAATATCTATAATTCTCAGCCTTTTCAAAACCATGTTCGAGTATGCAACTCTTTCCAATGTCGTTTAGTTTGATTGGTTTGTGTAGATTTGGCAGATTTTGGCAGATTTGCCATGTTTGCCGTGTTTGCCGTGTTTGCCACAATTGTTTACAATTTTCCCCTATCTCGGGATGTTATCTATCGATAAGGATCATGTGACCCCGTAATTATTTTTGCGCTTCTCCTTGGGGCGCCCCGAGTACAATTTGCAGTTTTATCATTCCCCCATCCCATTTTTCCATAGCATTAATCATGATGCTTGGTACAGTTCGCCGATTTGGCGTTTCCCACGCGCTGCGCGCTACTACGCCTCGCTCAATCTCAGCGCGGTTCGCTACCCAGCTGCCGAAATGGCAATCTCCTTCTACTCTTTCATCTGCTGTTGCAACCAGATCGCTTCATGCATCTTTCCCGAGGATGTCTGCGGCTACTGCGGAGGCAGTTGCTGAGGAGATCGAGCCCTCCAAGCCTGCGATTATCACAGAGTTTGCCGACCTGGCGTCGGGGAATCTCATTCACAACTCGATTATTAAAAACATCATTCAATCTGACCGGATGAACCTCAAGACTATGACCGAGGTGCAGTCTCTTACTCTCCACGAGATTGTTAAGGGCGATGATATGTAAGTTATGGACAGATTTGCCTTCACATTGATTGGTCCGCTAACGCGCGAATTTTCAGCCTCGCCCAGGCCAAAACAGGAACCGGAAAGACACTTGCTTTCCTTGTCCCCACTCTGCAGAACATTTTGAATGACCCCAGTGTCGATTTGTCCAGGGTTGGCCGCCGCTCGGGCAGAACTGGCCCTTCGGAAATCCGTGCTCTTATCATCTCCCCTACCCGTGAACTTGCGGAACAGATTGCAGTTGAGGCTAGAAAGGTTGCATTTGGCACTGGTCTTATTGTTCAGACCGCTGTTGGTGGCACCCAGAAGCGTGCTGGTCTTGCCAAGATTCAACAGGAGGGCTGCCATCTGCTTATCGGCACCCCCGGTCGTCTCAAGGACATCCTCTCGGACCCCTGGACTGGTGTCTCTGCCCCCAAGTTGAACACTCTGATTCTCGATGAGGCAGACCGTCTTTTGGACCAGGGTTTCGCTCCTGATATTGAAGAGATCCAGACCATGCTTCCCAACCCCACACAGGTGGACCGCCAGACACTCATGTTCTCAGCCACCGTTCCCAGAGAAGTTATGCAGATGGTTCGCCAGACCCTGAAGCCTAACTTCAAGCACGTCAACACCGTTCGTGAGGATGAAGTCCCCACCCACGTCAGAGTGCCCCAGAAGCTTGTCTACACACGCGGTCTTGAGAACAACTTGCCCGCCCTCCTCGAGCTCGCTCAGAACTGGCAAGCGCGCCGTGATAACGGCGAGCAGCTGCGTCCTTTCAAGGCCATCGCCTACTTCAACTCCACCGCTGAGACCAAGGTTTCCGCCGATGCTTTCAACGCCATTGCCCGCTCTCCCGAGTTCCGCAAGTCTGGTATGAACAACATGAGAATGCTCGAGATTAACTCCCGTCTCTCGCAGGCTCTCCGCACTCGCGCCGCAGATAGCTTCCGCAGGGCTCGCGAGGGTATCTTGTTCTCTTCCGACGTGACTGCTCGTGGTATGGATTTCCCCGATGTCACCCACGTCATTCAAGTTGGTGTTCCCCGTGACCGCGAGACCTACATTCACCGTCTCGGCCGTACAGCTCGTGCCGGCAAGGAGGGTGAAGGCTGGCTGTTCATGCACAGAGCCGAACAGGATGTCTACCGCAAGCGTCTGGGTCGTCTCCCATTGAAGGTGCACGAAGGCTTGGAATCTGCCGATGCAGATCTTTCCCAGACCTTCTCTAACGACACACCTGTTGGCCAGATCATCAACAAGATTAACGAGGGTCTCGCCCAGTGTGACGGTGCCACCAAGGTCAAGTCCTACATGGGCCAGCTTGGTACAACCACTGGTAACTTCAACAGCAAGCGTGAGGCCATCCAGGCACTCAACCAGATGTTCACCATTGGATACAACATGCACACCCTCCCTGAACTCAGCCCCAAGTTGATGCAGCAAATGGGTCTCAACAAGCTTGACGGTGTCAGCGCAGGTGACGGCTCCCGCCAACGTCGCGAGGGCGGATTCTCCCGCGGTGGTGACCGTGGTGGCCGTGGTGGCTTCTCTCGCGGTGGTGACCGTGGTGGTTTCTCCCGTGGTGATCGTGGTGAGCGTGGTTTCGCCCCTCGTGGTGGTGACCGCGGCTTCTCTCGCGGCGGTGATCGTGGCGGTTTCTCCCGTGGCGGTGACCGTGGCGAGCGTGGTTTCTCCCGTGGTGACCGTGGTGACCGCGGCTCATCGCGTCCTCGCCGCTCTTTCGACGAAGACTCTTTCCGTTTCTAAATTTGAGTTGAATCAGAGATCAACTCTTGCCAGCCGCGCTGGCATTCATTATTGATCTGGTATTTCGGACAGCAAGGTTGCTATCCGGTACCAGATCATCCAAAAGTGAAAAGAAGAAGCATCCATTCTGGCATTGGGCGGCGTTCTCCCATCTCTTTTTTCGTGTACTATACACTGGGTGCTCTGTGTTTCTAATTTAGACTTCTCTCCTCCTTGTCTTATATACTCCGGTTGTTCTGCGGGATTATTTTCTGGATATGAAGTTCTGACCTTCACCTTTGATTTCATGTATACTATCTTCTAGTCTGCCATTCTATCCAGGACTCAATTTTAATTGACACAACATCTACCGAAATATAAAGCAGAAAACACTTAGCCCCTCTAACCAGATCCATTTTCGAGACATCTAAATCGTTGAATATGGGACAAAAAGGAACCTTTATATCACACCCAAGTATATCGCAATATGAACGAAACAGTCACTTACTCGTGAGAAAAAAACCCAAACAAAAAAGAAAAAAAGAGACACACTTAATCACGAGCGATCATGTGGTCTCTGGCAGGACCAGTACCGATCCACTTGATAGGGACACCACCAATCTCACGCTCAATGAACTCGATGTAAGCACGAGCATTAGCAGGCAAATCCTCGTAACGCTGGATACCCATAGTGTTCGACTTCCATCCAGGCAGAGTAACATACTCGACCTGAATCTTCTCGACGACATTAGGATCCGCAGGGAAAGTGCCCGTAGTGCGCTTTCCATCCGGCAAGATATAAGCAACACCAACCTTGATCTCATCAAAGTCATCAAGGATATCAAGTTTAGTCAAGTTCAGCGCGGTGTAGTGGTTGATAGCGTGCGAGTAGCGGCACAGAACAAGATCCAACCATCCACAGCGACGACGACGACCAGTAGTCACGCCGAACTCGCGTCCAACCTTCTGCAGCTTCTCGCCGACTTCGTTGAGCTGTTCGCTGGGGAAAGGTCCGGAGCCAACACGCGTCGTGTAGGCCTTCACAACGCCGATAACGGACTTGATGCTGGCGGGGTTCAGGGCAAGGGCCTGCACGGCGCCGCCGAGACCGGTCGATGAGGAGGTTACGTAGGGGTATGTGCCGTGGTCAAGGTCGAGCATGAGGGCGTTGGCGCCTTCGACGAGTGTGTTGGGCGAGTTCTTGTGCTCCTGCAGGAACTCGAGCTGGTCGACGATGTAGGGCTTGAGAAGGGTGCGGTATTCCTATATATTGTTAGTGGTGCTTTTGAGCAAAAACAGGGATTTGTCCATGTCGCGCCATGGGGGCTTTTTTTGTCATGGAAAGAAAATGACCGGGTTTCATGCGTACCTTGAACCGTGCAAGCTCCTCCTCAACATCGTATGCAAGTTCGCCGAACCGTGTGCGGTAGGAGGTATCCAAGGTGCGCAGCTTGCGCTCGAAGGTAGCCTCGTCCAGGATCTCGCCGACGCGAATACCGCGGCGTGCGGCCTTGTCGCTGTAGCAGGGACCGATACCCTTGCCGGTGGTGCCGACCTTGCGGCCACCGAGACCCTTCTCCTCGAGACCGTCGACGACGGAGTGCAGGTCGAGACAGACGTGTGCGCGGTCTGAGACGAAGATGCGCTGTGCGGCGCCCTTCAGGCCCTTGGCCTCGATATCAGACAGCTCCTTGAAGAAACTGGGGACGTGGAAGACGGTGCCGGCGCCAATCAGGTTGATACATTTTGGCGAGACGAGACCGGAGGGAAGGATGTGGAAGTCGTAAGTGACATTGTCGTGGACAATGGTGTGGCCGGCATCTGAAAACGGGTTGGTCAGTCACTGTCTGGCTTTTTGGGCCTATTCGAAATCTTCAAGGGATTGCAATGCGAATTGAACGTACTGTGGCCGCCAGCTGCGCGGCAGCAAAGCGTCGCGTCCTGCGACAGCATGTCTGTGATCTTCCCCTTTCCTGTTCGGTTGTTAGCATATCCAGTGTCTCCCTTGGGGTCTTGTTCGTACCTTCATCTCCCCATTGACTGCCTAGAACGATTGAAACCATGATTGCACGCTTGACTCAACAAATTCCACGATCAATTGGATGGTGGGGTACGTTCGAAGGTAAAAGAGAATATGTCTGGAGCCGACAGCGGGGCCAAGATCAGGTTTGCCGGTGTGATTTTTCTGGGCAAAATTGACCAACAATTTGTTGTTAGGGAGTATACTAGGGATTTCTATTTTCACTATACTAAATTGCGCTATTTCCTTCTTAATAAATTTCCTCTCCCAGTGAGTCAGACCAATTTTCCGCAAATTCCCGTTGTCACACATCCGGCGGGGTGGCGGGGCTGCCCTGCAGCCTTAGTGCCTTGTTGCCGTGATGCCTTAATTTATATTGGTGCCTCAGGCCTCAAGGGTTAGGGCAAGGGCTCCTATATAACTAATCTTTGATGCCTCTTGGATACATACATGTACCCATATTGCATCTACTCTTCCATTTGAGCTGACCTGCTGAGAGAAAGGTCAATAAGCAGATGCCCTATCCTCTAAACAATTAAGAAAGAGAGCAAGAAAGAAAGCAAATATCTAGACATTTAGACCCAATGCCTAGACTTAGTTAATAAACTACATACAATCCTTAGTACTCAACAAATAAGTCCATTCAATGGAAAGCCGAAATGGCATATCCATGTATGATAAGAATCCCGGGTATTCACGAAAACACCAAGTCATTATGCATCGCAAAAAAAGTGTAGAAGACATCAGTAGAAGTGAAGAGAAAAATTGACAAGCCAGAAGGGAGGAAACATGTCAGATTAAATCAGAGAGTATAGCTGAAGACACAGCTTTACCCCCTTTATCATGAAAAAGGCTCATGACTTAAGCCACCTTTCCACCATCTCGAATCCATTCTCTCAATCGGCCAAGATCAAGGATGCATTCCCGGTGCATCTCACAGGCAACTTCCCAATGCTTGCGCACTTGGATGTCCTCCTCGATACCACGGAGATAAGCACTGAAGCCACCCTTGCTGCTACCAGGGACGAGGAATTCGTCAATGTGATAATCATCGAAATCCTTCTTGGCTGGCTCGTCGATGCTATCGTCATCTGCGCCATTGAGTTTGAGACGGGTCGAGTCCCCAACGGCACTGATCCAACCGGGTGAAAGACCGGTTTCGTTTGCTTGTTGGCGCGCGTTGAAGTGTGTGAGCATGCGGCCGTTGAACGCGTTCCATTCATGCATGTATGCCCCCATTGCTGAAACGTACCAGTTCCATTTTTCCCTAGGCAGGACGAGGTGCTTAGAGGTTGGTCCTAGGAAGACTGGTTTGGGAGCCCAGGGTCGCTTGGGAGGGTTTGGGAGTTCAAGCGCGCGGGGGCGGATGTCGCTTTTTGTGGCTCTTTGCTGCTTGGCTTGGGATTCGAATGGGAGAGTGGTGTGGAAGTCTTCTAGGTTTTCGATACCTCCGCCGCTCGGATTGGTGAATGGCACAGTATTGCGGAGATTATCGAGGTTAAATAGAGGGGCACGGGGTTCTGTGCTTTGAGGCTTTGGCTTCTTGACTGGGGGTGCATCTGGCGCAGTCGAAGCTAAATCGGGATGGCTGCCACTGCTTGGTCTTTCTCCTGGTACTTTGGATGGCATACTCGGAGGAGTGGAAAGGTCATAATCAAGGTCCATCTCTTCAACTTCCGGTGCTGCTGTCCCAGTTGGCATATGAGCATGGCCATTGACAGTTTCTTTGGCTTCTTCTGCTTCGGTAGCAACACTTGCCGGCTGCGGAGCACTCCGTACTTTGACGCCTGCTCTGGGCTGCTTCTTGGGACTACGGGGCGGCGCAGCATTTGCTTGTTTAGCTTTCTCGGCCTCTGGCAAATTCCACGAGAGGTTTCGAAGCTGCTCAGACCACGAATCTGCAGAGAACTTTGCCTGTGCAAAGGGGGTTGGGGGTTGTGGCTGCTGCTGTGACTGTGAAGCTTGATAAAGAGGCGTGGAGCCGAAAGGATTTGGAAGTGGGGATCTAGTCGACGATGTTTGCGTCGGGCCGTTTCGAAGGCTTGTACGCCCACGGCTGTGCGAGGCAGGCGATCTCGGAAGAGATTCCTTGCTTGGTGAAGCAGATCCTAGGAAATCAAACTGACCCAAATGATCCCGCCAATCATCAGCAGAAAACTTCTTGTGCAAGTCACTTGTGCTGCTACGACCATATGCGGCAGATTGGGGCCTTGGTGTATTGTTTGCCGAGTCGGTGCTGTAACGGGGTTTTATCAGATAAGGCAGACCAACTTGAAAAGAGGTGTGTGGAACATACTTGAGAGGCGAGGAAGAGCCCGACAGGTTGGGCTTCTGCTCCGATCGATACGAGCTTTTGGGGAAAGCAGCACTATCCGAGGTATGTCCTTTGAGGCCGTCCATGTCAGCAGGGGTACGTTGATGAGGGAAATAATGCCGATGGCGTGAACAGAGATCGTCGCTATCATCTGATAGCTCGATGTTTGGAAACCATAGTGAGCGGAGGAAGGAAGTGTAGTCCATACCATTTCCAGCGCTTGCTGTTCCTGTGTTATAGAAATCGGCAAACTTTTGGTGTGGCCCGAGTCGACTCTTTGGCACAGCCTTCGGTTTGGGCAGAGCCTCTCCTCCTTCACTTGAGCTGGTAGAGTCATAGTTATTGGGATTCCGCCTGGGCGAAGGGCTGGCGCTACGGTATCTCCCAGATCGGCCAGAGGCAGGACTGCTTTTACCTGTATGTGTGTTTTGATTGGAGGAACCCGAAGGGGTTCGCATGGTCGCGGAACGTCCTAACCCAGTGCTTGAAAAGAAAGTCCTCTCACCCTTGCCCGCCTGGGCGTAGCTTCTGCTGGGCCGTTCGAACTCCGGGGTGTATGAATGGCGAGGTTGGGGTCCAGGCTCGGGTGATGCCGGTTTCTTCGCAGTTGGGGGCACCGCAGGCTTGAAGTATTGGCTGCTCATCCGCTCGGTCCGACTGTTATTGCTATAAGCAGAGGTGTTGCGAGCCATCGGTTCGTCTCCTCCAGCGGCTCCTGGCGCAAAGCCCTGCTTCTTCTTGAAAGACTGCGCGTTGGAATGGGAATTGTGAGCTTCAAATGCAGATTTAGGCCGGGTAGCCTGTGCAGACGCGCCGAAGGGATGACGCTGTGCCCCAGGAACTGGGATACCACCCGTGGCACGACCAGTTGCAGGATCGAAGCCCTGCCATCCAGGCGCCTGAGCTCCTCTCATATTATTAAATCCACGGAATGCATCCGCTCTTGTTTGCGCATTGTCCTGTTGTTTGAACTGTTGCGGACCGGCACGAGCGTGGGATGCATATCGTCGGGCGCCAGCCGATGGAGTAGTTGGGCTCGGTTTCGCGTACTGTGAATTTGCAGAGGCCGAGGCAGTTGGTGTAGGGCGAGGAGGATAGGTGGGAGGTTGTGTTTTCCGCTGTGTATTCGCCTTGGCCGGTCCGTAGCACTTGCCATAGCCCGCGCGTAAACGATCCGTGTCGTACTTAAGTCGTAGTGAGGGGTCACTGAGGATCTCGTTGGCGGCCTGGATGGCCTGGAATTTAGCGTTGAATTCGACTTCTCGTCCGGGGTTTCTGTCTGGGTGATATTTGAGTGCTTTCCTTCCAAGTTAGCAATCACCCCTCACTTCATGACACAGCTGCAAAACTAACCTAGTTTTCTGAATTGCTTCTTGATGTCTTCGGCCTCCGCGCTGGGCTGGAGCCCAAGGTCCGCATAGTAATCCTTGCGCACGTCTGATTTCACCATGTTGTCCGTGGGTTTCCGAACTTATGGAGTCGTGTTTGGCTCAAATCGCATAATCGGTGTTCAAGTAAACAATGGGGTGTCCCACGCATGTCCAGGCATAGAAGGTTAATCTAAAAGTAAGGTGAGATAAAAAAAAAGCACGTTGCACCACGGCAGGGCGTTTTAAACAAGACCAGACAAGCACCAAAAACAAATGCTATGTCCTGCAATCCCAGTAAATGCAATGTCTCATAAAATGTTAAAAGGAAGGGGAAAAGAAAAAAGAAAAGAGCCTCGTATGCTCCGCGGTCTCGGTTGGCCGCAGGGTCCACCCCGAAAAGCGCTAGTCAAAGCTCGGCTGAGAAACAATACGCAAAGTGTCAGGTTTGTAGTGGAAGTGGTCTTTTCTCAGTGAGGCCGGAATGAGGCGGGGGAGTAGAATAGAAATCGGAGATAGTGGGCACCTGATTTTCAAGATCAGGCAGTTGGGTCCAAGCGCTAATCGGAGTGAAGCAGCCAACAAGAAGAGTTTGTGTAAATGTCAGTGGAGAGTGGTGTGTTGGGGGGGGAAAAAGGCGGGAGTGTTTGTTTTGACGTTGCTGCCCGAGGCACATCTGCAAGGTTATACTATCTTGATCTTCCAGGGTTGTTAACCCCCCTTGATGATTTAATTCCTTAATCTTTTGTATAGTGTATTTGTATATGGTATCAAATAATCAAAGGGCCTATACACCCTTGCTAGAAGTCCTTTGAGAAAAGGCATACAGGGGATATGAAAGGAAAGCAAAAGATACTCAAAAAGAAATGGAAGAAACAACAGACATCCTAGACATCTCCTCCAGATGCGCCAGCCCCAGAACCACCAAAGAAATAGCCTTCCAGAAGATCGTAATTGGGATTCTCACTCCAGTCATGCTGGAAGTCCATCGCCATACCAAAACCAAGATCGATTCCGACATTCTGACCCAGGTTGGAACCCAAAGGCATACCCATCGTATTATAATCAGGATTGGCTTCGCCTTCCACATTACCGTGGCCGTCGGCATCACCAGACCCAAAATCCAAGAAATCAAGGCTCATCCCCTGTGGAGCTTCCGAGTCGGCAGACGGTAAACCATGAGTGTGAGTGTTACTACCGGGAGAGCCACTATGCTGGGGCGAGTTCGCGTAGTAAAACTGCTGCTGTGGTTGTGGGGAGTTTGTGTTCTCGTACTTGAGATAGTAATCAATCGATGGATTATAAGCCCGGGACTGGTCTGCTGTGAAGTTGGGGGCCATCGATTCTGACTGAGGGTATGTCCCTCCGGGTCTGCTTTCGGGTCGAGGATGGTCGGATAAGGGGGTATTATCGTTGAAGAGATCAGCCAAGTTCATGTCGAACTTGGGGACGGGACGAGATGGGCGTGTCTGCGTCGCTCGTCGGGTTTGCCCTTGGCCTGCGCGGGGTCGCTGGTCCATGGGCTGCCGCGGCCGGCCGTGATAGAGTGAGCCGGCGGTCGATGTGGTGTGGACACGACTGATGTCTACTTGTGATCCGAATCCGGTCGTCGATAGACACATTTGGACAGTTGCTTTGCTCATGCGCTCGAACGCGTCCCGGCATGCTTCAGCCGGTGGGCATTTGTGCATCAGGTCGCCCAGAACAGAAGTTGCGGCGAGAACGGTGAAGTCGACTTCGTCGAGGGTCTAAGGAAAGCGAATGTTAGAATAAGCGCAAACCTAAATTCCAGTGGTACGTACTAGGCGGCTTCGAACCAAAGGCGAATGCCAAATGGCATATAAGAAGGAAATTCCTAATATAGTGTCAGTATTAAACCTTGTAAGTGACGAATAAAACGCAAACTGACCAGCCATGAAAATGTGATGCGTAGCAAGGTAGGTATAATTCACCAACCGCACTCTATGTAATTGGCGATAGATGCGAATGACCTTCTGACCAGCCTCGGCAACATTAAGATAGACATGATCTTCCTCGTCGCCCTCATCGGGGTTAGAAAAGGACGGACTAGAAACGTCATCCGCAGGAGTGAGCTCTCCTGCCAACTCAGCAGGAACTGTCAAGCTCTGCTGGTACAGTAAAATGATAGCTTGCCAGTAATTCAGCTCAAGCAACTCGATGGAGAATCTCACGCCTGTTTCCGGCCGTGTCGGTGCAGTATCTTGCCACTCGACTAATCGGCGATGCACATCATGGCGCCACGAGCGGAACGAGTCAAAGCCCTGCAGGAAAGGGGAGGAGAGCTCCGAGTGAGGAAGAATAACAGCACCAGGGCCTCTCCTCCGCACAGCACGCGCCTGTTGGTACTGGAGGACATCATGAATCTCAGATTGGAGAAGTCGCAGTTTGAAATAATGGAATGCGACATGCTTATATGTCGGGGCCCCGTCCGGTGGTGTCACAAGACCGGACTTGGTGATGTATTTATCGTCCATAATAGACGGGAATTCTGTGCTGATGGCCTGATCGCTTATGCCGAATGGCCGTCCCACACACGTGGCTACCAGACGATCAAAGCTATAGACGCACCACCACAACCGCCGGCGAATATCACGTACCCATTCGCGTCGTCCGCGTTCACGAGCATCGATCCGTGACTGTGCTTGGTTGCCATCTTTTGTTGCAGAATCAATGCCTGCTCCATCCTCGTAATGGAGCCCAAGGTCGACAGCTAAGCGAGTGGCCACACCGACGATATACCAGAGACCAGGAGCAACGGGTCGTAATAGGGCAAAGCTAGCTAGAAGGAGCACTGCCTGCAGCTCTTCCAATCCACCAAAGCCCTCACTCGAGGACGAGCCAAGGAACGATTCCAAATGAACGATTGCCGAGGCATGGTATTCCTCTGGCTGGTACTGATGGCTCGATAGTCTCTGTCTCTTCGTCCCAGACGAGGGCTGGTCACGGTTACTTCGATTCTCATCATCAGACTTCTGAGGCTTATCATCAAAGATGATACCAGCGCCAATAGCAAACACGATATTAAGCACATAAAGCGCGCGCGCAGAACGCTTCTTCTCTTCTAACAAATATGTCTTATCCAACAGCTCCATGAAATCTTCCCGGTGGAGAATCGGCATCTGAGGATTCGCATGTTCAAAGTAAAGATCGACCAGCCGTTCAGCCAGCTCCCGGTCCGGGAAAGTCGCGCATTTCATCATCGGCCTCGTCTGCAGTCCAAAGAAGGAATCGCGCATACTACTCCCTCCCCCAGCAGTGCCAGCAGCACTCTGAGGCAATCGATCGCTCGCTCGAACCTGTGCCCGCTCCGGCATATTACCGGGAAGTGAGCTCCTCACCGCAGCGAAGACAACACGGGCGAACGAAATCCCCGATGTCGACCCTAGATATCGCGGGTCGGAAGTGCCTTGTACAGAGACCATGCCGATATTTGAAACCAGATTATGCAGGCGCCAATTTTCCTCGTTAGCGGGGTCATCGTCCGCATCGCGATTATCCCCCTCTCCTTTCCGCTCCAGTCGTGCATTTTCTTTATTCTTCCACTGCCTTTTCTCCGCCGCTGACCCCTCCCCGGTCTGACCGTCGGAACCGGACCGAGTTGGCGCGGTGTCGCCATCAGCCTCGACCTTGATAGCCTCCTCTTCGTCGAAAGGGACGGCCTTTTTAAATTCAATGTTGTTGTCTGCTAATTGTTTTTCAAGATGCGCCACGCGCGACTCCAGGAAATACACGTAGCTACGCGGAATCTCCCGCTTTGTTATGGGGTCGTATCCGACGCAGCGCACGCCGGCCTTCTCGCAGGACTGGCAGCGCGGGAGGCGCTGGTCGCAGCGGTTCTTGCGCAGTCGACAGCGATTACATGCGGAGACATTTCGAAATGAGGAGGAAGCGGACGAGGGGGTGACTGTTGAATGGGCGGGTGAGGTGGAGGACACACCCGCCGGGGCGGAGTTGGTCGCGGGATTGGTCGCGGGGTCGGTCTGCGTTGGAGTGTCGGAGGGATGTGGTCTCTTCTTGCCTGAAGAGACTGGTGATAATGGGGAGGAAGGGCTAGGCATTGTGAGAACCGAGTGAGAGCCGCAGAGTCGCGATCATCTCTTGGTGGAGTTTTGCGGGGACTGCGGTCGGGAAATGCGGTCTAACTCCCCAGACCAGATCAACATGATAAGATCACGGAATACTTTGACGTTCGTCTGAAGTGTTTATTCGGCAATTGGAGGTTCTTGTGCCGTACCAAATACCAAAATCGAAGGAGAGATTGGCTTGAAATGGAGATCTGGGGACAGCTTCAAAGCTCCGGGATTAGATTATCTGAAATGATTGCACAAGCCCATAGACGAAACCGAGAATATAAGAAAAACATGTACAGAAGTAGTTGTTCTGGTGAAGTTGAGAAATTGAGTTGCCCTCGGGAAGAGCGGCTTTCCCATTGATAGATAAGCCGAGATAAAAGGAGTTTGATGGACTTCTAACTGGAATTTGATATAGCTTCATCTAGGAGATTTGGTGGACCTCACTATCAGAAGTACATAAGACATTGAATATATGGGGACGTATAGAGAACAGGGGATTTAAACATGTGAGGGCTTAACCGGGTATTGACATGTGCTTATCCTGTGAAATAGACAACATTGAAAGACTACGAGATGATGTTGATAGAGACAACGACGGTAATATTGAGCAAGTCCGCAGTATACTCTAACAAAGATATGATCTTCGAGAGATCAAAACAAAAAAACAACAATAGCCTCCCAGATGCACATGAATATAGTCATAATATAACCTGTTGATGCTCCAAGATAACATGAAAAGCAGAGACCCAAAATTTTATGCTTCTGCATATGCAATGCAACCATCTATAAATGCGCCGTTTCCCGATCTCAAAGAAAAGTCATGAGAATGAAATAGCAAAATGAGGTATCATGATGAGGGGAAAGATGAAAAACAAAAGGACGAAAAAACAAAACGAAAAGAAATACCAAAAAAAAAACCAACTCGCGCCTCAGCGCTGAAATAAAGACACCTTTCCAGAAGGGTGAAGAGAAAGTAATGGAGAGAAGGTAAAAAGGTGATGCTGCAAAAGCAAGCTTCACAGTTTGATATCGGTATCATGAGAGATATCGCCTTGAAGTTTGGGGAAGTTGTCGACGGCGTTCAAGTTGAGTTGAGAGATGTCAAAGTCATGGTCGACACTAGAACGCAAGGAAAGCAACCGCTGCTCTTCCTCTGGCAACTCGTCAGAGACCTGCTGGTTTCCGAAGTCCGAGAGCACTTCACGCTTCATCTCTGACTCGCTGACCTCAGTCTGACGAGTCTTGAAGCGCTCAGGCTCCGGAGATTCCTCCATCCAGAAACTTTGGATGGCGCCGATCAGGCAGACAAGACCGCATGCCCACCAGGCCAGCACGGAGTATCCACTATCGAGACCCTTGGAGTGGAGTAGACCGGTGATAGTCGGACCAAAGGCTCGGCTGAGACTGGCAGTTGAGGCGGCAACGCCGTTGATAGATCCCAGTACTTTAGAAGACGGGGCGGCATTGGCCAAGAGGATGGCAGTAGCTGGGAAAGCGATGACATGGAATGTGATCTTGCTGATCAAGGACACATAAACGGCGAGCATTTGAAGCTTGGCCGGAAGAAGGACTAGGTAGGGTACAGCGAGGTAGAGAGGGGGCCATACAAACAAAACGAAGCGGAAGGTGCGCAGAGTACCAAAGTGCTTGACGACAAATGGAAACAGCCACAGTTGGGCGATCATCGAGTACACGCCTTGCACAGCGAGCATAAACCCGATGGTCTTCGTGGCCATTCCCAGTCCGCCGGTAAACTTGAGGGGTAGCACTACGTCGTCATCGGATCTTGGTGTACTCAGTAAGACTGGCATCAGCTGATCAAACGAAACACTGTGGCTGAAAGAGGGCAATGCATGTCAGTAAGTAAGTTTAGACGTATCGGGCAGAGAAGGGTGTGGCGTTGCAGAGCGGGGGAGGAGCCAACTCACTATGCAAGAATTCCGTAAGCAACTATAGCGAGTATGACTTGTCGGGTAAAGGCCTTGGGCGCGGGGCTCTTCTGCCCCTCCAAATCACAATCAGGCGAAGCGCCATCAACGGGACGCAGGCAAGGCGATGATTCGGCCGTTTCGTATCCAGGCGGTGCATCAAAGTACTTCTCCTTGACGTCGGAATTATCGGGAAGCTGCACGCGCGAGCCCCAACATAGATTGACCAACCAGTGGCCGAGTTCAAGACCGGGGTCACGTCGATGCTTCTTCTCCGGGTGTGTCTCCTCCAAAAACAGGAAACCGACCACGATTCCACAAACCAGCACGGTGATGCAAACGAGGTTGGGCAGCAGGAACGGGAATTTATCCCACAGCGTGTTGCGTGCGAAGAGGACCGGGTAGTTGTCGCAGGGTTGGGCCAAAGCGCCGCCCATAGCCGGTCCAATGATTGATCCTAAACACCACACGAAAGGCATAATCGAATAAGCTCGTGGCTGGTGCTCTTTCTTCGTCACGATCTCCGCAACCGTCGTCTGGAGAACCCCGATATTTCCATTCAACATGCCGCCCAGAGCGCGCGCAATCATCGCCGTGGCCAAGTTGGGCGCAAACCCGAATACCACCATGCTGATGGCCGTGCCCACAAGGCCCATGATGAGTACTGGCTTACGACCAATCCGGTCACTCATACGTCCCCAAAACATGCCCGCAGAAAACTCGGCAAAGGTGAATGAGGAGGTGATCATGCCGGCGTACAGTGCGATCTGGCGGTCGTTATCCGTCACATGGAATGATTCCACCATGTGATACACGTATGGGAAAATTGACATGAAAGCAATTGGTTCACAGATTCGAACAAGAGCTACATCACTTTCGTCAGCAATCAAGATCATATATTGCGGCGCATTTTGCGGCTACATCTTTTTTTTGGTCTTTTTTTCATAGTTCGAACAAAAGTACCACTTACCTAAGATGAATAGTTGCCGAATTGGGAATGTCGAGAAGTCATCACCAGAGCCATTGCGGGAACGTCTGCCCTGTAAACAGGCTGGTCGTTGAAACATTGTGAAAGTTGAAAAAAAGAAGATCGAAATGAGCAGCAGACAGGGGATTTCAAGAGAGGTTTCAAGAGACCCCACTTCCCTTTTGGATTGTATAGCTCAGAAGTAAAAAAGAAAAAGGAAGAGGAACAAAGTACCAGATCAAGGTGCTTTTGTTTCCCTTAATTTTCCCCGGATGTAAAAGGGAGAGAATGTAATAGTGTAATTGGAGCAAGGAGCAGCGTCTTTTTGATTTTAGGGCTTCAGCATTGCTCCCCCTGCGGTTGGAAATTCTATGAGATCTCAAGGAAGATATGAGACAGCTGCAAGGGAGTCCGGAGAGTTTAAAGATGTCAAAAGTAGATCGAAGAGAAAGTTCAAAAGAAGAAAAAAATCTGATGGGGAAAGGGGAAGTTATTATATCTTAACAGTGGATAGGTCTATAGAAATATGATCAGGCGCCAAAGAACTAAAACGTCAACCGTTCAGCATCACAACTGAACATTTCGGTTACAGCTGTACATGCAGTTGACAAACATTGGATCAGGATACAGACGAAAGTGGGTCATTTTATTTTTCTTTATTTTTGATTTTATTTTATTTTATATTTTATTTTTTTGTATTTTAAATGTAAAATACTTAATTTTTTTGGTTTTTCTATGTGGATCTGTAGAAACCTGACATTTCCATTTAAGAAGAGTAGGGGGAAGCGGAAGAATCCCCCCGGAGGCAAGGAAAGGGGGTGGAACCAATGGGAAGAAATTGGTACATCGTCATTCATATTTTTTATATATATATTTTTTTTATATTTGATGTATTGAACTTATTTTATTTGAATTTACTTTGTACTCAAAAGTGTGTACTCAAAGGAAACATATTGTCCGAATTCTTAAGGGGGAAGGGAAATTGATATGAATCAGATCAGATTTTTTAGAGAAAAAAAAAAAAAATAGAAAGTTTCTTCTTATTCGACAGATCCCCCAGATCCAAAGAGAAAACAAAAAGAAAAAAAAAAAAACAAAAGACCCACGGTCCTGAACATCGGGCCCCCGGGGAACGGCATTAGGGCTAGCAGACGCTAGATGTTTTTATGAAGATCGATTATCCCAGAACTGTGGTTTTAGTGTGAATTAGTGAGATGATAGATCTCGCCTTATAGATATCTTTTACGCCTCATTTCAAATCATTTTAATTAAATTTTTCTTCTTTTACTTTTCTTATTGTAAAATCATATCGTCATACTCTCTCCACCCAGGAAAATTCCAAGTTACCCACTTCCAGAGATGATCAGGAGAGATGGATGGAGTACGGAGAGTACTCTAATAAGTCGGGAACCAGCTGATTGGGTCAATATGGTAATGTTTAAGGTATAGTAGAACAAGATGCGGTGAACCCCCGTAGTACTCTCCCTCAAAGCGAAACTCCAATATTGAGTATCCCGTCTATTGTTTCATTGTTGAACGTTAACCGTTTTTCAAGTCCCCAAACCCAAAATACAAAGTTTTAAATCCCGTATAAGATGGAGATGTAAGATGAGTTGAAACTAGTATAGAAGACATATTGAAACCGGAGTACTACTCCGTACACACCGTACCAGTAGTAAAATAGATTTGAATTTTAAGACCTTCGAGAAGACTCCAAAGAATCAGCTGAGCTTGTCAGAAATTCACCGACACTCCCGAGCCCAATCTATTGGCCGTTAGGCGTTGATCGGCGACAGGGGAAAACAATGCCACCCCTTTCCCTCCCCCCCCCCCCCTTATAAAGATATCAGCCATTGTGGCGAAGCTGAGCGGATGGCTGCACCGTCATGCCGCACGAACTACATTCTTGTCTGTACTTTGTCTGTTTAAATCGTACTTTTTTTTTGATCTCAAAAATGGAATCTATCGAAAAAGTCGGTAAAGTGCCGACCCAACAAGAAGGGACTGCATACCGTAAGACCCAAGGGGCTGGAAATAAGTGGGACCCCATTATTTGTCGACTCAATATCTACTTCATATCAAGATGCATT